CTATGGCATTAATAAGCTTATATAGAAGGCCCTTTACCCGATCGGACTACTTCTTATTCCTCTTAATAGCCTCTTAAACCTTAGTAGAAGAGCTCTTACTACTATCCTCTTTATTAGATTCGGTAATCTCAAATATGGTATAAATAGAGTACCTAAGAGCGGATAAACGCTTTAAAATAGTCAGAATCTGTAAAAGAGAATCAAGAAAAGAGAATACAGCGTCTTTGGCAGTTGGAAGTTCTATAAGAAAGAGCTATATAATAGGGATATAAGAGATCGGAATAACTAAACAAGAATAATTAGAAGCATACTTCTAGTAACGAGAACCTCGGCTAATAGTATTATAGCAAGAACTATTACTCTTGCCCTTTAGAGCGGATGAGACTATATTAAGTCAAAACGAGCTTTGGAATGGTATAGAGAACTTATGATAACCTATATAAGAGATCTCTCTGAGACTAGTACAAGCAGGATAAGGAGTATAAGGCTTTGGTATAGACTTCTTTACCTTTAGTAGAGGGGTACTAGGAGTATTAGAAGACGCTACAGGGATCTGAACCTCGATACTCTATTAAAAGTGAGCTTTGCATTAATAGTTAAGAGCTATACTTATGGCGGACTTGCAAGCTACTTAATACTATCCAAAGTTAGTAAAAGGTAAAGCAAGAACGTATTTTGGGTTGAAAATACCTTGGATTTGCGAGCCGGAATCGACTTAATAGTAGTACGAGAAAAGGTAGAAGCCATGTTTGTAATAATTAGAAGCTTGGGAAGAGATCTCTGGAAGGATATTAAAGAAGAGTATTTGATTAGAGGCTCTGGAGTTAGTAAAAAGGGGGGATTTATATAGGGATCCCCTGGAATTCGGTAATCTGGGGAAATAATACGCACTAAGCCTATTCGGATCGGAATATTAATACGGCTCTGCAAAACCCATATATCGGACGAATTTCGCTATTTCAAAGCTCTCTAATTAGGCAAAACAGGTAAAATACGGTATCGTGCCTTCCTGGGGGATATATCGCAGTGAGAATTACTGAATTAGGGCTAGTATAATCGCTCTGCTTAGTCAGGATCTGTATACTTACTTCCTGAAGCTTTATACTTTACTTAAGCTCTTTTCTAGCTAGTTTAATAAACTCTTTTACTATCCAATGCAACTCCCTACTCTGCGATTTATACGTGCATTAGAATATAATATATTTTATAATAAGTAACTTATTATAGACTACTTAACCTTTAAATTAAGTAGGAAATCTGAGGACCGGGCTTGTAATTTAAGTCTTATTAAGGTTATTAAAGTCTTTACTAGCTAGTACTATAGATTTAATAAAAATATTACGGGAATTCTATAGGTTCTATTCTAATTTATCTAGAAAGTATATATAGTATATTTCCTTATTTATTCTAATATTTATATATAATTCCTGAAAGCTAAACTATTACCTAAGGGGAAAATAAGAAGGCTAAACTAATATCTTTAAAAACTAAGGCCTTAATAAGTTTATTTAGAAAAGCTTACTAATTCTTCTAAAAATAATCTAAGAAAAGTTTGAGTTTATTATATATTATAACTTATATAACCAGAGATAAAAACTATTCTAATAGGCCAGAAAAAATTTCTTATATAGCTTATTTATATAACTAGGGATAGGAACTTGAGTTTATTATATAAAATTACTTATATATAGAGATTCCTATTATAAACTTCTTATTTGAATTAATTAGTTAAACCTATTTTTAATACTAAGTCTTTATTAAGGTAACTTCTTACTTCTAGAGGCTTTAGATAAAGTAGCTAATAAGTTTCTTAGCTATTAGCCAAGACTTATTAGCTAGAAAATCTATAAGTAATAGATAAGATTATAAAATAGAATTCCCCTAATTATAATACTAAGATATTTTACTATAATATAAAATAATTAGATATAGAAGTCCTATTAAATATAATATATTTTAAACTATAAGTTTATAAAATAAGTATAGGAAGTTTTAGTATTTAACTAGTACTATAGTCTAGCCTAAAAGTACCTGCTATTTTTTATATCTAATTTAATAAGAATAAGAAATATTTATATTTTAACTCGAGAGATAATTAGAACTTTTATATAAACTTAGGATAGCGGTTTACTTTATAGAGAGAAAATAGACCAGAAATACTTATACTATATTAATCTTTAGAAAAGATTATAATAAATACTATAACTCCTGGAATATTTTTAAGAAAGCTTTTCTAAACTAAAGTAGGCTAGTTTATAATCCCGAAAGATTTATAAGAGTCTTATATACCCGAAAGTATAAGTACTTAAAGTAAATACTATTTAAGTCCTAATTTATAATAAAAAGAAAGTAAAATATATAAAATAAAATATATAAAATAAAAATAAAATAAAATACCCGGATATTTAATAAATAAAAAGCCTAATTATAGGTTATAAGAACTAGTACTAACTAGATATATATATAGTAATATTAAAGAAGAGGTAAGATAAGGGAAACTAAAAAATAAGTTAGTATATATTCCGTAAAAGTAAACGGAAAGATATCTAAATAGCCTAAAGATAAGAAATATATATTAAAGGAATTAAAATTAGAGAAAGAAGGGCTATTTTCTATAAAAATAAGTTAGTATATATTTTAAGATAAAGAATAGAAGTACTTAGTAGTAGCCTAAAGGCTTTTATAAGTATTAAAAAAGGAGAGGAGATATTAAAGTTTAGAAAAATCTAAATAGGAATTAGCCTCTTTTTTGGAAGTTTAAAAGAAGATATTTCTAAAGGGCCTAAAAATATAAGAGATATTAGAAAAGAAAAGAAGAAAATATTAGAAAAGGGAAAAAGGAATCTAAAATTTAGCTTTTTAAAGAGCAAGTAAATTAAAGACTTATAGTATAGGAGTTCTAAATAAAAGTAACCCGGAAGTAGTAATTAGATACTAGCTTTTAGTATTATTAGTAGAAATATTAAAGGAGGAAAGGTTTAAAGAAAGAGAGAAAGGTTATAAGGTAATTAGATACTAGCTCTTAGTATTAATAAAAGAAGTATTAAAGAAGAAGAGATAAAGAAAAGAAATAAAAAAAAGAGGTAAGGAGAAATAAGGAGGAGAAAAGAAAGGTTATAAAGTAATTAGATACTAGCTTTTAGTATTAATAGAAGTATTAATAAAGGTATTAATAAAGGTATTAATAGAGAAGGTATTAGTAGAGAATAAAAGCTCTTAGTATTAATAGTAAAGTCGAAAAAATATAGAAAAAGAATAGAGGTTTTAGAGTAAAAATAAAATAAAGTTATAGTTTTATAGAAAATAAAGTTACTAATATAAAGTAATTATATTATTATATAATTCTATATTTACTTTTATTATTTATTAAAGATATATATCTCTTAGGAAAAAGTATTATTTAGAATTCTTAAGCCTCTCTAATTTAATAACTATATATTCGAAAAATAAGAAATAAATATAATTATATATACTAGAATAAGAGAATTCTTCTTATCTAAAAATTATAATTATAGTATTACTAAATATAAAGATATAAAAGTTTATATAATAAGCTATATATAGAGATTTAAGGAGATTTAAATTACCTTAAATTATTTATAATTAGTAAAATAAATTAGCTAATTATACGGGTTAAATATAGTTTAATTATTATTAGTATATCTTAGCTTTTATAAATTAGTAAGAAAAAGAATATTTATATCTTTATTTTTATAACTATAATACCTAAAATTATAATTTTTTTAATATTTAAATATACTTAATCTAGGGCTATTAAATACTAATATTTCTATTTTCAGGTATTATTTATTATAAATTTATTCGGATTTAAATAATTATATTAAATATATATCTTTATATTCTAAAAATAAATAATAAAGATATAGCTATACTAGCTTTAACCTTAGCCTTAACCTTAACCTTAACTTCTTTCCGAAAATAACTTTAATTCTAATATATAATATTATTATTAAAGCTTTTCTTTATTAAAAATATATTAAATATAGCTTTAGGTAGCGGCTCTAGTAAAAGCAAAAGTAGTAGAAAAGGCTATAAAGCTATAAATAAATAGAAAGATAATATTTATAATATATTCTCTAATAATTTAGACTTAATCTATAATATTCTTTCCTATTAATATATTTAATTAATAAATTCCTTTACTTCTCGACCTCCTCCTTATATATAACCTTCTTTTTCTCTTCTATAATAATACTTTAATTTCCTTATATTACCTAATAATACTACTAAAGTAGTAAAGCAAATTAATAATAAGGCTAAAGTTAGAGAAATAGAACTATACTAGGGCAGGAAGCTAAAGAAATTAGAGAAAGGCAAGGTAAATTTGGAGGCAAGCTTAGTATATACTTATAGAACTGAATTCTTTTAAGCTTATATTACTTATAGTAATAAGAAGAGACCGAGAGGCCCTTTTAAATACTATATAGTTATAAAAGGCAAATTCGATAGTACTTATATAAATTATAGATATAATAATAATAGTAAAGTCTATATTTTCTATTAACTTAATACTAATTCTACTAAGTCTGGAAAGCCTTACTCCGTATCTATAAAACCCTTTATACTAAAGCCTTAATTATTTATAAGATATAGAAAGCAAGTATAAAGACAGATATAAGATTAGAAGGTAATAGGGAAGAAGGTTATAGTAAAGGAAAGTAAGAATACTAGAAGAGAAGGGAATAAAGGAGATATAGATAATTCGAGTAATATAGGTAGTATAGAGGATATAGAGAGTAAGAGAGATAGAGATATGCCTCGTAATCTATGGAATTTGCCTTACGGACTACGCAAGCTAAGGGGGGGTTAGAAGTAGTCGAGAATAAGGCGTATATACTATACTTTTTTTTTTTGGTAAGGTGTGGTGGGGGGGTATGGGCGCGAAAATCAGAAAATCAGAAAATCACTTTTCGCTTCTCGGATTTGTCCGCTAGCCCGCTAATGGCCTCAGTACTCAGACCCTTTCTCTGCTTTTCAGGTTCCACTCCTTTAAAATTTACCTGATGCTTGCTTTGATTCTGAGAGATTTAGAGAAGGGAAGCCTGGCGAGATGATTCCCCTCTTGCCTAGCCAAGTTAAGACACGCGATTTATTATACAGTAGAGCTCCTTTATCGAGCTTCTCGCGCCCTTCCCGCGGAAGACAGCGTGTCTTTTCAGCAGCGGCTCGTTCTGCCCTCTGTTGGATCTCTCTAGCTTGTCTCGCCTCCTCCTCATCAATTTGCCCGTCGTCCTCCTGAGCTGGACCTTTCAACTTCGAAGAAATACTTCCAACATAAGTAGCCCGTGCTGGCCGAGTGCTTATTGAAGGGGGTGGAGGGGGTGGAGGGGTGCCATATCCAGAATAAATAGCCTGTGCTAGCCGAGTGCTTGTTGAAGGAGGTGGAGAAATTGCATATCCAGAATAAGCAGCTTGTATTGAGCGAAGTCCTCGCGGAGACAGTAGAGGACGTGTATATCCAGAATAAGTAGTTGTAGCTTGCGCTGAGCGAATTCCTGGAGGCGGAGGAGGCGGAGAAGCAGGTCGTTCTCCATAAGTAGTGGTAGTTCGGGCTTGCGGATATCCCAGAGGCGAGGGTGGAGGGGCAACAGTTACTTCCTTCAATGTTCTATTTTTTGGCGAGGAGGTACTTGAACTTGACCTTCGTGCTCTGGTATGTTGAACAACCTGAGGTTCGCCATTATCTCGCCGGAGATGATTATTTGTTTGGGATCGCCAAGCAGCGGGGTCATCTTGAGAAAATGCGGCTCTAGCAGGATCTCTCATTCCTCCTGTGATTGATTCGTTTCCGCGAGTCGTGGATGCTGTATTTCCTCGATCGCTCTTTGGTTGATCTGGTTTGCTCTCATCTGTTCCGCTATCATCCGGTTTGCTATCATCTGGCTCGCTACTATCCTTCTCAGCAGCTGTGGAATTAAATGTTTCCGAACTGGATCTCCCAAACGAGGAAAGAGAGTACGCGGTTAGAGGGCTTCGGTCCATCTTAAGAACAGGCTTCTCCGTAGATCGCTGCTGCAACTGATCATAGAGTGGTCTCTGGTCGAATAGCGAGGCATTTAGGTGTTCGAACAAGTCAATTCTCAGTCTTTCCAACGAGGCGGGTGCCCTGTAGCCCTCTCCCTCTGACATTTTTCTCGAAATAGGACGAGTCAATGATGGACGAGGAGATCCAGAGATGCCCGATACTGCTTCCCCAACGCCCACGTTGATATGTGCCGTACCAGCGCTTGGCCTCGGCACCATATCCATGTTCTTCGAGGGCATCTCTATGTCATCAATACTGCCATTAAGGCTTCCCTCCCCGCGCTCTAGTCTGGCAGTCGACGTATCTTCGTACTGAGCCTCACTTACATACGGCCGAAGGTAGGCTTTGGAGCTAGTATTATCTAGAACTTCGATATCTTTGTTTTCGCCTTGACCAGCAGCTCTGATGCGCTCTTCGCTACTATCAGAACTGGAGTCCAATTCAGAATTGTCTTCTCCCTCCGAGCCAATAGCCGGGACGTTGCGGGAGTTCGTTTCTGATGCAAGTAGCTACTGGGACACGCCTGGCATAGACTGTGAGAATGCTTCTTCATCGACTTTAGATTTTGTTTCGCTTTCGCTTGCTGAATGAGGATCTTTCGTTCCATTATTTTCGGATCCCGAGTCTTCTTCGTCTGGGAAATCTATAGTGGTGCTATGATGATCCTTAAGTGATGTCGTGTATAATGTTGATTGGTCTGGTACGGGGGCCTCCGGAAGCTCCACGGTAGAGATGCTGGAACCCTTTTCTCTAATTCCTTGCTCTAGAGCGGCTTTGCCTGACAGATATCTTTCAACCAGCTCATAGGCTCGTGGGAGGACGTCTCCATCAGCTCCGTTTTCGGTTGCAATCTCACTACCACCTTCTTCCAATTCAGGTACAGTATCATCCAATACTCCCCTCGCTCCGAGCTCCATCACGTAACTCCTGATGGTCTCCTTGTGCCTGCTGAGCACTTTGCTCGAAAATCCATCCAGTATCAACTCCCTCCTAAACATCTTCCAAACTTCTTTGTCATCACCATCATAACTTGATAGTATACTCCTCTCCCCATGAGTTGACCCCTCCTTCACTTGAAGTTTGGCCGTCAACAAATTCAAGCTGGCCTTGATATCTCTTAGTTCATCCCCTTGGCTTTCCATATATCGTTCGACCTTTCCTTGGCTTCCAAGGCCTGCGAGATTCAAGAATAATGTGATAGCCTGTGTATATGTCGCAAGTTCGGATCGGATCTTATCCAGGTCTTGCATCTCGCCACTCCCGAATTTGACCTTCTGCCAGAGTTTCTGCACACTTCGCTTCTCGTCTGATAGTGCATTGTACTATCAAATCAAAAGTCAGTCTCACTTCTCCCTCGACCAATAAACATCTGCAGAGAAAAGACACACCTTTTCCAAGATCTCCTTCAACACTCTCAACACACGCTCACAATTCCTCACCAAGTCCGCCAATTCTTTGCTCTTCTCATCCCTCCCGTCCCCATTTTCGCTGCTGGACGCACCACCATTGAGAATACTCTCAGGCTTCACAACTTCCGCCACTAGCCTCGTCAAGACAACATGCAAACTATTGACCTCCCGCGCAAGCGCTGAATGTGCACCACACGCCCTCCTCGCATTCTGCACCGTGCTATATGCGAGTTTTGTTACGAGGCCAAGGTCGCTGATTTTGAAGGCGAATGACATCTTGATTTGGACAATTGGGGACGAGGCCACGCCCTCGCTCAAGGCTGTATGCCCGGCACCAGACAGAAGCATCTAATCAAACTATGGAACGACTTCTGGTTGTTGCGATATCGTGCATGCAATGCAGAAGAAGGAGCAAGAGTCTGAGAGAGGAAGAGAGTTACCTGGAGTGAAGTTTGAAGAGAAGTGAAGTTGGAGATGGGAGATGGCCACAGGTGGTCAGCTTCCCTGCACTCGCATATTGTGGCTTGCGAGGCAGATTTGGGGAGAAATAATATGCGCTTGCCAATTCCTAATAATTGACGTGAGATTCGAGTAATTTACTCCTGGTGATCATTTACTCCACCTTACAAGAGTGCAAATGTACTTTGACATGCCAGGACAACCCGCGGAACACTAGCAACATTGTCGAAACCTGATTTAGACAGGCCTTCACGTCGAGAATCCTCTATAATCTGGCTGCAATCGGTGTCCATTCGAAGGGGCCGAGTTTCCACAGTTGATTGTTTCTTGGAAGTGTATGAAATTCTTATGTACAAACTCTAAGACCAGCTCTGTCTCTATTGAAAAGTCCGACACGGGTATCTATGATCAATTAGTTACTTCCGTTTTACTTATCAAGTAGTCAATACTCACTGTTCGGGATACGCATTCTCCGCCGTAAGATGATACTTATCGGCTCCTGCTTTCAAGCTCAACCCACTCGGCAACGGCGGCAGGCCATCCTTCCCCAGTACAGCCAACGTCCCCTCCTTCCCACTCTTCTTAAAATAACTACTCAGCCCCATCTCCCCCTCCTTCTTAACCTCCACCAGCGCATTCGAGCCCGCCTCGCCAATCAGCTCCTTCTTCGGGCTACTCTTACTCCCAACTTCCAACAAACCAACGACATCGCCTTGAGTCACGAAAGAGAGGACCGGGTACGAGCGTCGCGCGTCACGCTTCCAGTATGGGTTGTCGGCGATATCGCCTGCGGGGATGGTGACGGGGTCGACGAAGGAGAAGGGCTCGTTGGATCCTGGGGGCGGGTTGCGGAATTGTGGGTTCAAGGGGATGCCGTTGGAGCGTGTGGGATCGACGGCTAGGAGGCGGCGGATGCGTTCCCAGATTCCTGTAGATTGAACTGTGTATTTCTGCGTCCTCGGGTCAGGTCAAGGGCACTTGGGGGAAGAAGAGGGTGGGAAGGAGGGAGGTGGGTTGAGGTGCGAGGGAAGGTAGGGAGAGCTCACTTTGTTGACTGCGATGACTCGGTTGGTGGCTTGCGCAGCTTTTGCTGCTGTGTGTGAGGACATTGTGAGCTTCAATTGAGCATTGAGGGCTCAATTGACTCGGTGGGGTGGAGGAAGCCTTGGGGGGGAGTGTCGTGAGAGTTGTTCGACGTTGAGGTAGGAGCGAAGTTCGAGTTTACCCGAGGATTATCCGGCGCTAGTATTTGATGGAAAGCTCTGAGCATCACCCTTACTTACATTTATCCCAATTGTTTAGCGAAGATGTACATTTTTTATTGTTATGAAAGGCTGTGTTTTGTTTGGTGTCTGTAGTTCTGCAGTTGGTTGAAAAGGCATAAGTTCGTTGTCACATTTTTCATCACTCATATTAGCGATTTCAATGTGTCAGGATGGTATTCATCGTGAGAATCAATTGTAAGACATCTGCAGAAAATTAAAAGCATTCTGTGAGTCTCAGCCATTTCCCAAGCTCTGCTGCCAAAGTTCAGACCATATTACGCCCACAAAAGACCAAATAAATCCCAAACACTTTCATCCATTCCATGACCCCATTTTGTATTCCTGAGGACATGATATTGAACGAAAGCTGTTCACGCAAAGCCTCGAAATAATTGTGTCTTAAACAACAGGTTTCTCATTGCTGTCAAGCTTCTCGGCTGTGTCGGCGACTTGAGCAGCGACATTTGCTTGAGCAATGTCCTCCTTTGTGGCGTCGTTTGTGCCATTGACAACATTGGCGGTCTCTGTCTTTGGTGCGTCAAGTGGCAAGGGGACAGCAGCAGCGGTCGCACCTCCTCCGACAAGCTTCTTGACGACCTCAACAGTACCTGGAGGAGAGCCAGGTTCGGCAGCGAGGACCTTTCCGGCCTTATCAACAACGAAGACGCCACGAGTTGTACCGCTTGGAGCCTTCTTTAGTCCGATTGCAGAGATGAGAGTCGCAGAGGTGTCGCAAATAAGAGGGTATGGCAGCTCCTTCTTCTCCTTGAAGTTGGTATTCGCCTTTGGTGAATCGGTGGACAATCCGTAGATCGAGAGACCGGTCGCCGTCAATGGAGTATAGTTGTCGCGGAAGAGACATGCTTGAGTAGTGCCTACCGAATGAAAATCAGTCTCCGGAATACAAGATTGAGAGCGAAATTAACGCGGTACTACTTACAACCGGGGGTTGAAGCCTTTGGGTAGGTGAACAGGACAACGCCAGCTCTGCTCTCATCGACGAGCGCCTTCAGAGTGGTTTTTGTGCCATCGTTCAGCTCGATCTCACCACCAAAGCCCTCCAGAGTGATAGTTTCACCGACAGTGACTTTTGAAGCGGTTGCAGCGCCATTGGTAGCCTTCGTCTTCTTGGTTGTCTTTGGGGAGACGGCTTCCTTGACCTTTGCGATGGCCTTTGCGACTGGGCCCTTCTTCTTTGCTGGAGGAGCTGCAGCCGGCTCGGAAGCAGGCGCCTTTCTCTTTCGCAATTCTGGAGGCATCTTTGCGCTTTTGCGGGAGTTCTTTGATGGTAGATGTTGGTTGTTGCGATTGGAGATTGTGATTGGCGCGAATACGGATCGGATTTACAGGTGGCGTTCTCTTGGATGCCAAAAGCCTCGCCACTTTTCCGAGGGAAGTGCTAACGAATATTAATGCGCGCAGCGAAGGAGAGAGCCGAATATGAAAGAAAAGAGAAGTTGGAAGTGATGGAGTGACGTTGAACTATAAGCTGAGCAATCTCCCTCCACCAAAGCTCTCCAGGCGTCTACTAGGTCAGGGATGGCACACAGCGCTGCCGGATTGTCTGATCTGCCTAGCATGCAGCACAGCCAAAAGCATCCAGCAAATCAGAGGTGTATCTCCCGGCACGAAGGAGCAGGTTTGTGGACCCGATACCCTCCAAGCGAGCAATCAAGAAGTTGGGGAAGATATGTGGCCCAGGCCATTAATAGCTCGTGCGTTGTCATTGGCCGGTCTGAACCTTTTATCAGGAGTCAGGAGCTTCAAATTGAAGGTTGGTTGGAGAGCATCATTTCTCCGACTTCGCTGCCAACAAGCTTCAGACATCGATCGAATACGCATGTATGCTCAACCCGACCCGAGCACTGGAGGAGGACACAAAACGCTAGGGATCGTGCAGCCTTTGTTCGCCCGAGGTCTTGATGGCACGGTCACGTGAAGAACTTGGATACCCAATGAACAACTGTTCAAATGAGGAGTCATGAGATCGGCAACCTGACGAACTCTAAGAGTGGAGTTCGTTTTCCTCCCGGATTTGGTGGCTTGGGCAAAAAATGCCCTCCTCACCGCACTAACTTTCCAGCCACTCTTCCGTCATGTCAGACAGTCCCGTATTTTTCAGGCTGTCAGCGCAGATCAGATCACCGAGCCGATCCCCTCAGAAAAGGGGCAGGGGCCTAAGCGAGGTTCACGCGGGGGCTAGGCGAGGGCAACCCCTCGCCTTCATTTCTCCCCACTACATACAAGCTCTTCAAACCTCGTTCTATTAACAAGCGAAGACACCGTCCTCCACAGCGAACTCCAACTTCTTGCCTAGAACAGATACCACCCCGTAACAAGGTGCACGTACAATGCCAGGTAGATAAGCACTGACAACGGAACTTGGAAATCAATCAGGCTCTTGGATGTTTCAGCTTCAGGGGAGTATCAAGTTGTAATAGTCAACGATTTCAATTGACGCTTCAGGAAATGGTGCAATCAAATAACAGCCACCATCCCTTGTTCGTTGGGTGGTGGTAATGTCTCATCAAAACGCCACCACTTCAGCTTCACTTTCGCCCCACAGATATCATTAGCTAACTTGACGCAAGTACCCTTGAAAAGGAAAGCTTATTTTAACTCAAGTATAAAGCCACAAGGCTTAGTTCATTTCAGCCAATTGAAGTGAAGGGCTCACGGTAGGTAACACAGAGCCTATGCCCAAACCGTGAACTTTTAACCCCGATGGCTTACAGTGCAGCCGCAATTCCCTTCATGATTCGTTCAAAATTACAGCTGGAAGACCTCTGACAGTCCCAGACAACCTATTCTTATCTCCTTGACCGTGAAGAACCCCTGGAATGCTGGACATCCATGGAGATAATGTCTGACTGGCTGAAGAAGGGTAGTCCTGCTCAGCTGTGATAGATTAAATATGAGCCCTTCCCCCTGGCTTCAGTTTTCTAATTTTCTCCGGATCCCTGAACTCTCGACGTAGCTTTGTATTCAACGCGAATTCGAGAATATAACTGTTTGCATCGTTCTCTTTTTTTTTTTTTGCCGCAAAATGGAAGCACCGCCTCCAGTTGCACCTATAGCTGCTCCTCCCGTTCCCGAGGGATGGAAGGCCGAGTGGAGTGCCCAATATAACACTTGGTAGGCTGTACTTGAAATTTTTTATTCTGTCCATAAATCTTTCATACTAACATGACTCTCAAATCCAGGTTTTACTTGAACCCAGCAGGAGGTTCGCAGTGGGAATACCCAGGCCCACCACAACAGCAACAACCCATCTATGCTCCACCAAATGCCGCTCTTCCAACACCACCTCTACAGTCACCGCCGTTGGAGCAACCACAATACCCAATTGGCCAAGAAATGCCTCCGCCCTCAGACGGTGACAGAGGTCTTGGGAAAGGATTGCTCATGGGAGCAGGAGGCCTCCTCGCCGGCGCATTCGTGGCCCATAAAATCGAGGAACACAAACACCACAATCACTTCTGGAGCGGCGGCGTCAAGCTGCCACTCGCACCAGCTGGAGCCGGTGGACTTTTAGGAGCCATGGGAAGCCACTTGCCGTTCGGTAACAACAGTGCAGCTCCCCCTGCACCACAGCCACAACCACAGCCCCAAGTCGCTCTACCCCAGCACCACGGCTTCGGAAGCTACATGCCAGCAGCTTTTGGTGGAGGAGGTGGTGAACCTAGACTGAACATCCACTGCGCAGCCTACTGCGACCAAGACGTCACCAACGCCGTCCGCTCCATGGTAAAACCCGGCCAAGTCTTCGAAGTCGACACCAACAAACTGGTTGATACCTTCGGCGACCCCTGGTCCGGCAACCGCAAGCAATTCTCCATCCTCTATTCCTACGGCGAGCGACCCTGGGAGCTAGCCGCTTCCAGCGAGCGCAACGGGCTCTTCCAACTGCTGCCCCATCAGCCGCTTGATAGGAAGAGGATGGAGTTCGTACAGGATCCGAATCAGAGTAGGGTTATTGCTCTCGTGTGGGGAATGGAGAATGGGTTGGAGGGCGGGAAAGGGAAGTTGGAGAAGCTGAGAGAGATTGAGACAAGCGGGGAGTTCGATGCTACGAATGCGTGGATGGGGTTTGATGGCATGTGTGGGCCGGCAAAGACGGCTGTTGTGTATTATCGGGCGCAGAATGGTGGCGTGGCGATTGCGTGTGCGAGGGAGAATGGGACGTGTAGGTTGCCTTGGAATCCACTTGCTAGGTGGACTTGAGGTATCTCTTGCGGAGTTTGTGGGCTTATATCGTTGAGAGGGAATTAAGATATTTGCCAATGAATTTGCTTTGCCTTGATTCTTCAGAAGAATTTCCCCCCCTGGCCCTGATTTTCACTCTACTGAGTGGAAACTTGAGTTATATGCTAACTTCGTATGGAGAGCATGAAGGCTAGTAACGTAATTACCTGGCCGCTATGCAACAAAACCTGCTCCCCCCTTCCTGTTAATTTTGTCCTGCCATGTGGCAGCTTCTGTTCCAGGAGGATTATGACCTTGAGAGCGGAGAACTTTGAAGTTAGTTGGGGAGATAGACGCATTGAATTTCTGACGAGCAAGAGTTTCAGCAAGACTGAGCGGTTTGAGGACACTCACTCCACCTTAGCCAGACCATTCACTTTTCTATCCATATTCATTTATCTGTTCTCTCAAATCTTAACAGCAATCCTCATTTGAATGCTCAATATTACATTACAATATGTTAGCTGCGATTGATGTCCATTTTCCACATTCACATCAACCTGAACCTGGACTTCGACGTCTCCGAGGTTGCTCGCAGATGTGAGTATTGACTCATCATCTTTCCTCTAGCGCCAGCCTTTCGTGCAAGACATTAAAGCGAAGAAACCGATCAAAGAATTCCATATGGCTAAAAATATGCCCCGGAACACAAATTGCAACACCCTCCGATTTTGAAGGTCTCTCATCACTCTTCCCAAGAAGTTTGCATCTCCCAAAGATTTGCCCTTCTCCTTTCAAATACCGTTTTGGATCAAGTTGCATCTTGAGGATCTGGCCGTCGATAAAACGTTACATCCAAGACCTAGACTACGTAGGGGTCGCTAGTGTAAGAGGTACGAAAACTTGGATGATTCTGTCCAGATTCAAAACCATGGCATATGTTGCAAGAACGACAACCGGAGTTACGATTGCGAGTGAAGAGAGACTAAGAAAGGGAATCGCTCATACTCCAGAACGACTGTAATTGTGAGAAAGTTTCAGGAGTAATGAGTTCTGGATTGGTGCTTACAATGCACACTGTTATTGGGAGGAAGAATATGCTGACGTATGTGAGAATCTTGATATTCTCCCCCAGTTGCGTGAATGCTCGACTTTCATCACAGCGTTGGCGCTGAAGAGTTATAGCCGAACGTCAGCAACATGGTCTGGAAGGGGGAAGGCCCCTTACCCCATCTCTAAGAACTTTCGCTTCTTCCTGCTTTTTCACAAAGCCTTTCCTTAGACTCGCCAACTTCTGGATAGCGGTATTGTGCTTCTTCAATCTTAGCACAAACACCCTTCGACTAATCTCACCACTTGAGGGATTCGAACTCATGGGTTTAACGAAATGCTTCGCTTGATTGATGTTGTCCAGAACATTAGTTTCGGCTTCTATGAGAAATTCAATAGCCCAGAAGTACTTTTTGGACCTTGTGAACGTAGTATTATCAGTCAACAAACTATCGTAATACTCGGGGTCCAGCAGGCGGTTCTTCCCAGCTAGCAGGCCCTCCATTTAACATTCAATCTGCTCCCAGAGACCAATTACTACCAAGAGGTTTCCATGGGTAGTGCCACTCATTTCATTTATCATTCCGTGTATTCGTTTGCGGGACAAGTTTTCCCTGCTCTCGGAGAAGGGTAGACGAGGGAAGTTGTGAGGTCGCATACAGAGCGATGTCCAGTACATAGATCTCGATGTTGAACCCGTAGAATTGAAAGATAACGAATCCGCTAATTGGGGGCATTCTGATTCCTAAGAATAAGATGTGAGTAGACAGGAAGGTCTCGGTACAATGAAAAACCTACGGCCACCGAAACCGAGTCCCAGTCTCTCCGACGAGCTCGGTCTTTGGTTTTGCTCAATGCTTCGATCCGTTCATCCTGTCGCGCTGGAATCAACCCAATACTTCTAAGCTCATCGATAATGACTGTCAATAATTCTTCCGTTTCCTGGTCCTTGCGTCCGCTGGGATCCGCATTGTCCATAATTGATAAGGTAAGAGCGACCTGCCGTTTGGAAGAGCATGGCCAGACACAGCAGACTGGTTCTTCGAGAGCGCCGTCCCTCCAGTTTCAGTGCAAGGAGAAGAAAGTTCTTGAGCGATTGGAAGTGGAAGATCAGCCTTGGAATCGAGAAGGATGGATTTGGACTGTGCCTCGACATTGCAGCTTGGGACGTCCTCGGTGTAGCTGAGCAACGCCACAACACAGCCACGCACATCGGAACAAGATCGAAGCAGGGCCATGTAAAACATGCAGATGAATTGTATGTCCAAGCAGCCCAACCTGGCCCATTGACTTGCTGTGAAGTGTTTGAGAGAAGGGAAGACAAAGACAAAGAGGAAGTTAAAGTACCGGTAAGGCAGTGGGCCTTTGGTGGTGAAATCCGGGGAAAACACGCTAAAGTTTAGCGACCGAACCCCTGAATGAGCTTAGCCGAGTCCAACATCAAAACATGTCCAAGGTTTCTTAGGTACAATAACTGTAATGTCTCGATCATCAGTACCAGGTGGTTTTGAGCGTCAGCCACCCAAAAAATATTGCCAAGAATCAAGCTAGCAAATCGTTTCATTTTTTTTTTCAAACAAGTTGGGGACTTGAATGGAGAGACCAAACGGAGTCCCGCTCAAAAGATTTGTATCAGGTCGGACAACAAATATGTTTTTGCCTTTGTTCCTCTTCCATTCCTTCAAAGCAAGCGAACCAATGAATAATAAACATTAGTTTAAGGAGCGTTTTGTGTCCAATGCCCAACCACTCCCGAATCCTTGTTTTTCCGACCCAATTTCCCGGAGCCGAAGTCAGCTTTCCCCTTCATCACTGGTAATGCCACTTCTTGTTATCATGATCATAGCAGCACTTATTATCATCGCCCCACCGATACCCCTTATTATCGCACTTATGCTTGTGTTCCGTGTCCTTGTCATCATAATCCCACCTCCGATGTTCATGATCGAAGCAGCATTTCTGCCCATCATCCCAATCGTATCCGATATCGTGACATTTGCTCTTGTGGCGGTCATCGCTATCGTCATCATAATCCCACTTCTTGTGGTGCTTATCGTAGCAGCATTTTTCGTTATCATCCCAGTCGTACCACTTGTTTTGGCATTTCTGCTTGTGGTCGACTAAACACCGAGTTTTGAATCAGTATTGTCTTGAAGGATAGAGCTGGGGGCTAATACTTACCGTCCTTGTGGTGGTAATCCCACTTTCGATGCTCTTGATCAAAGCAGCACTTCTGGTTGTCATCCCAGTCATAGGACATCTTGCCGCATTTGTCCTTCTTGTCTTTCCAATCATCCCAATCCCATTTGTGGTGCTGGTGATCGTAGCAGCATTTCTCGTTATCATCCCAATCGTATTTATGCTCGACGCATTTCTCCTTGTCATCGTCATACTATGCAACATCTTCGTCAGCAATAGCACATTTGAACATTCCTAACCGAAGACGAGGGATCGATTCATGACGGCATGGAGCTGAGAGGTAGGCGTGCTTGTCAACAAGAAAGAAAGGGGCACTTACGTTACGGGTCATGAGCTGCATCCCGCGGCGTTGGTTAGGAATACAAGTAGCAGTTGCGCTGTATCAAAGTTAGAACTTAAAACGATCTCCAAAAAGTGTGAGAGCTTACCAAAGTGCAGCCAGAAGAGCGAATACCTTGATCTGCATATTTAATGAAGGTTCTTGTTCAATGTATAGAAGTTGAATAGAACGAGGGTCTTTGGTCCAAGAGTGACAGTCACTATCAGTGAATGGAGATAGAAGATGGTGAGAATTTCAGGATTTGGTCTTGGGGGCGGTATCTTTATAGACTTGTCCAACCATCCTCAGCCTTAAAGAATGTTGGGGAAAAGCCTCTTGGAAAGAATTTGAGATCTCGATTCCAACAACCAGCCACTATGCAAGAAAACAATAGTTCTTCGAGGCGCATCTCAAGCTTCCTTCTCATCAGCTGAGAGACAAACGATGCTCATTGCCTGATGGCTGCTATCAGCTCACACCTCGAGCTGCAGATCCAAGGGGAGAGGGAGTCTGAAACTGGTCCGCGACTGGGCAGGTGAGGCAGGAAGATCGAAGTTCCGACGCTTCGTTGCATCCCGAAGAGCAAAGGCTCGGAATATTTGAAGTTGTGATTGGTGTTTGACCAAGTTGTGGAGTGTTGGCTGTATAGTTGGCCAGTCTACAAGGTCTCGGTTCTCTCGTGTGATTGAAGGCGATCCCCTCTTCGCTCCCCATCATCCCATTCAATGGAATTTCCCATGATCTTCACCAACCCGATCCAATCGCTCTTTCTCTCCAACCCTCTGTACGACGAGGTCAACTCGAAGGCTGACCATGGCTTCCGTTTGCCATCGTGAATGACAAACAAGCATTGCTAAGCTCTTCTTGAGCTTGCTTCCCGTGCGCTGGGCGAGCAAGCCTTTTACTTGGCAATCTTAATAAAAGTCCATGTGCCTTTGCCAAGAGATTTTGGGGATCGAGGTGCTGCATATATCATTTTGGGACTTAAGACGGCTCATTGTGGACGCGCGTCCTCGAATAAGAGTTGTCAAGTGTCATTCGTGGAAGGCTCTAAGCTCTGGAGGCTCAGCTTCCAGAAATAGGACAGCCAACCTCAAGTTTCTTTTTAGGTAATTGACTTACGATTTGCGGGGAAATAAGGCTTAATTGTCGATCAACGTGGTGGGGCGTCCGTGTATGCATGGTCAGCCGCATTGCGGGAAATATATCGGGCAGAGATTGAGGGATGTGTGCGTTGTTTTGACTTGAGTGGTGAGAAAATGACTCCTGATTTGAATAGCTTCACTTTAAGCTAGTTGCATTCATAAATCGCAAAATGCAGCTTATGGAAATACAAGCCCCATGAGTCGTGATTAAAGTTCAACGTATCAAATATTGACGATCGTAAGCCGAAGTCGTTCATTGTTTTCGTTCATTGGACGACCCCGCTGTGACTTGGCATTTCCCGAGGGCTCACATTGGCGGCCAACCGCTGTTGAACTCGAAGAGTATGTCACTCCTCGAAAAGCTCATAGTAAGACGTGAGATAATTCTTACAGCCGCTGCAGCTCACGCAGCTCGTAGGGCTACTAGACTACTTTGAGAGGTGAAATGCCCTGATTTTCAGCTGAAGGCACCATCAGATGTTGCCGCACTGATGAGATCATTGGGATCACGAGGCACAGAATGCTTAGAAAAAGGAAACCTCACGGACGAAAAGCTCCGCAGAAATGTTGCAGGAAGGATACACTTGGGTTCTTTCAGGTCTCAGATTTGCAGAGTTCTCCTGGTTTCTCATTTCTATGAGCAAGTTGAGAGAAGCACAATTGGAAAACAGTAAAGATACCGATTCGGTCCCAAGGAGCCATCGAATTATTCTCTGGATGTAGAAATTGGTTCTTCTCGGACCCGGCCAATTTTGACGTACTGCAAGCCTCGATCCTTTCGATCCCACGTTCTCTCTTTATCCAACCAACATCTTGACTTGGTCAGTCCTGTTGTGTTTCAGCTTGTTTGCAAGACCGAGCATCATCTTAAGCAACGTCACTGACACTGGTACACGTATCATGTTCCTTTCTCAAATGTATCTAAATCGTCAGAAAGACCATTACTGGCAATGAAGTATCCTTCTCAGTCGACTAGTGAGTTTCCATACGGAACTTGCCTTCTTCGAATGCCCCATTAACCAAACACTCTGCAAATCCTAACCTTGATCTCCGTTACTTCTTCAATGATGAGTTTCAAATCGCTGGGATGCCCAAACAAAGTCGAAATTGACCAACAATCCGCTCTCTGTGCTTGCTGTTCCCACCAGGCTATTTTTAGTCGTTTTGGTGGACTCGTCAAAGTCGTTGGTAGCTTTGGTCATGTTTAGACTCAGTGGTAATGGCGATTGGTTGATTGGCCAAGAAGAAGCAGGATATCTGCAGCTTGTGAATGTACACTGTTAGTGTGTACGGTTCTCATCATCCAGTGAAAGCCTTCAGGGCCAGCTTCACATCCTAAAGCCCCGGGCCATGCCATCTTGCAGTTTCGCCGGATCTTGGTGTGGCAACCAGAACTCAGTGTGTGCAATCTGGTTCACCAGTGCTTATCCTGGTCAGAGGATTGTGGTCGTCTACATTTCGCAGTCTTTGAACAGGCCATCTGTCTCCTCTCCCTTGTGGCTTTCACAGTTGGCGATTCCTATCCTTACAAACGTAGGAAGCTCATCAGCATTGCGGGACACATGGTCCAGCAAGAGAACAAAGAATCCAGTTGCAACAGATAGAAGGAGTAGATCATTTACAGTGCGCGGTTCTGTGTTTGTATCCATATAGGCAGTTCTTACTTCTACGTTTGCCTCGTTGTGTAACTTTGCCCCGTCTTCTCCTGACCCACATGAAATTGCCTCAGGAGGCCAGATATTGGAATGTATCCTCCATCTACCCGCCTATACGGATCGTTTCCTTGAGGATTGACAAATGCTTGCCCGATGCGTATCATAGATTTGCCCCAGACCGAGTCTTCGCCTCCGTAATTCCAAGCGACATCGACATTGACCGAAGCCTAAGACCATGAAGGGGCCCAGGTTCCTCGTAAGAAGGAATGTTTGCTGCAAAGCAGCAGGCAGAAGAGAGCGATCGATCCGTTCTTTCCTTGAGGCCAGAGTAGCCGTGGTAGTTGTGATGATCCCTGCAACGGTGATCCCTAGTAATAGCTTAGCGTTGTGTATGCCACTCCCTTCTTGTACTGTCGACAAGTTTGGCGTCCATGGAGTGCCTGCCAAATGCTACAAGATCAGTTGGTCGTTTCGCCACGTGTCCCGCGTTCTCAGACCTTGATGACAGCCCCAGTCCCATATCCGCAGTTGAGGCCGACGGCAAGTCCGAATGTACGCATTGGTGGTGAACATTGCAGAACTCAATCCAGCCCTGGGCGATGTCCAAGGTACTACCCGAAGCAGTGTTGGTTAAGTATTTGACCAGGGTCACATCACGGCGGCCGGCTGGATCACCTGTCACAAGTGTTGAATTAATGAATCATTGCCGACTTTTAAGGGGATTTACCTGTAAATGACCTTACAAACCACACCCGTCATTCTTGAAATAGTCTCCGCCCCGCCAGATTGATTTCTCCAATCCGTGCGAAAACGTAGGTAGGTGTCGGTCATCCACTCGGTGAGTGTCAGCCGCATTCCGGAGCGGTCGATTTCATACCGCTGTTCGAAAAAACTCGTCGTCGAATGACTCGACTAAGATTTTGCAGAGTGCGCATTCCTCCCTCCTCAAGTGATCAGCGGCGTTGAAGACTTCGCCTGGAGCTAGGAAGAGGTGGCCGCCTGGTGCTGAAAGAGTCATGTGTGGCTTAAGACTGGTACATGTTTACGAGTGAAGGTTAGACCAAGACAGCTTGTCTTGAACCATGGGGTCATGTACACATGGACCCAAGCATGAAAAAATTACAGCCGCAGCTGTATCCAATGAGGGGGCAATACGCAGAAGAGAGCCCCAACCTTGAGAGCTTGAAGCCCTTGGCCTGCGATATCACAAGCCAGGAGGACCCATGAACTTCTGCGAATCAACCAAGCTGTAAGCAGAGGAGGCGTCCATAGCAGCAGAAAGGATTGGGGAGATGAGAGGTGACCGCGAACATCGACCTAGCCTATCACTGATTGACCTGTCATGGGGTCGAAAATGCAAAATAGTTGAATAATTTGAGCCTCAAGAGAACCCCAGGACTTTTAAACACCATGCGCAAGAGTGACGGCACCCTGCAGAGTATGAGCTAAAGCGTCTTTGGGCTGGACGAATCCAGATGTGGGAAGTTGACGATCTTTGCCGTGCAAATCCGAGCCCGAGGAAAAGTCGGGGTTTCGGACACGCTAGTACCCAAAGTAGCTTAGCGGCTGAAGCGAAGGCGAAAAGTTCCTTCTTTCTCCGTATGCAGAATCACATTTGAAAATCTCTATCGAACTTCTTATATAATTGTGCCCCGGCCACCTGCACTCAGCTACACATCGGCCTCACTTCACCAGACACCTAAATCCACAATTAAGTCACCTACGAACGACCTAAGCAGAGAACAAGAGATATCCGGACGCGACTGGCCTAAAAAAATTTGACCAGTGCTGCACCGAGCACACGACCAGAATGAAGGTTTTTTCGAGCGATTGCACATTCGACTACTCCTGGGAGGAGGTGTCAACAGCAAATTGGAGAAAGTACTGCCCATGGAACGACAAGTCGCCGCACGTAATTGCAGTCGACACATTATCGCGTCAAATTGATCCGGATACCGGAATCGTGAGAACCCACCCATTCTTGCATCCAAAATGATGCTAATATCCTCCAGCTACGAACAGAACGTCTCATCACATGCAAACAGAGCGCGCCCCAATGGCTTGCTTCATTAATGGGCGGAACCGACACATCACACGTCTTTGAGACATCCTATGTGGATCCGGTATCGAAAAAAGTCACCATGGTGTCCACCAACCTCACATTTTCGAATATCCTCAGCGTACGCGAGACCGTTATATATCAGCCGGTCTCTGCCACGAGAACCCAGTTTGTGCAAGACGCGAAGATCACGGCTCTGTGTGGTGGGTGGCAGAAGATCAAGAACGCTGTTGAGGAGGCGAGCGTTTGTCGCTTCCGTGAGAACGCGATGAAAGGGAAGGAAGGATTCGAAGCTGTCCTCGCAATGAGCAGGAGAGTTTTCAGTGAAGAGAAACAAAAGCAGCAGGCCAAGCAAGAGATGTTGGCATAGATGGAGCAGTTTCGGATACATTTTCACGATTTTTACGACCTACTTCGATTAGCGTCTGCTTGGAGCGTTCTTCTGTGGATGAGTACATAAAAGTTTACTTTCGGGAGTTTGGAGCGAATGGCATTTACACGGCTGGACGGAGTTTCGGAATAGAGAGGGCAGACCCACATGATTACCGGCTGCCCCGGGTTGTACGATCGAGATGTAATCTTACTTGCTTAATTGGCAGATAGAGAGAGGGATAGATGAGAAGAGAAGATAGACAAAACGAGGAAGAGACTGGTTCCAGAGACTGAGGAACAGATTAGAAGGGGATTTACAACCTTCACTCAACGCAATCCACAGAGCAGTTCCTGATCTATCAATCTTTTGAATTGTTCCTGTCAATAATGTCACCAAAATACAAGTGATTAGAATCGAGCAAGTCGCTCTTGTGTCAGGATGCTGTGGTGTTATGGATCTTTTTCTGACATCTCGTCTTGTAATCCACCAATGTCTTCCTGAAGTCCTCGTTAAGCTTCCCCTGCAGCGCCTCACCCACAACCTCGAGGGCTTCTTCGTATCTCTTGAAGAAGTATAGTTCTTCAATTGCATGTAAAATAGTCTGAGATTCAGCTTTTGAGGGGTTGTCCATTGGCAGCTTCAAGGTCTTCCACAGCTATTGTATTTTGTCTTAGCTTCCAATACCCATAATTAACATGAAATGTGAGAAAGAGGGAGGGCATTTTACCTCTCCAACTTCAACTTTCGGCTTCCACTCCGCCCTCTGTCTCTGGAAGTCCTCCTCAGACTGAAAATCCCTCGGTACCTTCTCAGACTCATTTCCGGCTTCGTCCCCGGAGCTGACCTCAATATTGAAGAGCCCGCTATCATCGCCCTCCATATTTGCTCCCTCCCACCTCCAGATATCGGCTCTCCTGTTCTCTTTGCCCTGTTTTGCAGTCAGAATTTGTTGTCGTGAAGAGAATTTCTTATCGAGCCGATAAGAATTTGATGTCACAGGAGCCCCGCTGCAACCCCACTTCGAGCTCCTGAACAACGACAACTCACTCTAGCCTTCTTCAAGCTTCACTTCACACAGCTATCAAGTTGTATTCCATCATGGAGGAACAAGTGAACCGTCTAGTAGAAAATACCTGGAGTAGCCCTCTTCTTCCTCCCGATTGACACTCTTCTAACCTCCCAGTCCAGCTAAATTCCAATCCACACCTCCCACCCAGCGCCTCTTAATCGCCATATCCGGAATCCCAGGCTCAGGTAACTCCTGCTCCCCCCTCCTTAAACCACTCCCATAACTCACAGAAAAGGCAAAACCACCCTCGCAACAACAGTAACCACCCGTCTCAATGCCCTCTCGTCCGCCCTCCACGGCAAAACAGCAACACACCCAATAGCATCCTACATCCCCATGGACGGCTACCACTTCACCCGTGCCCAGCTGTCTGCCATGCCCGACCCAGAGGCCGCGCACGCTCGTCGAGGCGCAGCATTCACATTTGATTCTTCCTCCCTGCGCTCCCTCATCACCCAGCTCCGCGCCCCCTTAACACCGTCCACGCCAACCTACTTCGCACCTTCATTCGACCATGCAATTAAAGACCCCGTTGAAAACGATATCCCCATCGCCCCAACCTCCAGGATCCTGGTATTTGAAGGGAATTATTTGAGTCTTGGGAAAGGAGAGTGGAAAGAGATTGCGGAGCTGATGGATGAATTGTGGTTTGTGGAGGTTGAAGAGGAGGTTGCAGGAAGCAGGTTGGTGCCGAGACATGTTAAGGCTGGCATTGCGAAGGATGAGGAGAGTGCGTGGAAGAGGGTGTGGGAGAATGATTTGGTTAATGGGAGGGAGATTGTGGAGGGGAGGGTAGAGGTTACGGAGGTGGTTGTTAGTAGGGAGGATGAGGGGTGGAGGCCGAAATAAAAGTAGGCTGGGGTTGGAGCCGGGAAGGGAAAGGAGGGTTGGAGAGTGTGAAGTCCATGGAGAGAAATACGAAAGAGTTAGAGAAGAGGGTCATATAGTTATGATCAAGTGTTTTGATGTGACGTGTGACTCGTTGCCCCCACCCTTCTTGCAGGCAAGTTATGGCTTCACCGAAATCTGAGTGTGACCAGAATTACGCCTCTTCGCTGCAATTAATGCAAGTGCAACTTTGTCGCAGCAGGCTTCCCAATTTAGTGTCTTATGAGGCGGTGCAGCTCAAAAACACAGCTTGAATGGTATCGATGAGTTTGTTGGACAAAAACAAATTAAGAAAGACTCTATTCCGACTAGAATTGGACCAAATCATTAATATTCAGTATTGTATTCGCTTGCTTTGTAGGGACTTGCGTGTTATACTCGGCATTCGTCCCTACGGAAAATTTCCGCATGAAATGTCTTATTCATTACCAGAGGTTGTCCAGTCCAACTACCTATTCGGTTCAAAGCCAATTATTTCAGTTACACAACAAGTGCCGAAATTCCTCAAAATCCTACACCTCAATACACGCTCCTTCCGCAAGACTAGCTTGCAGTTTCTCCTTGCCATCGACCAATGCCTTCCACATATCTGGGTTGACTTTATATATCTCCATTTCATCATACGGTCCCACATTCAAACCATCCATGGCGAGAGTGTGTTCAGTCCCGCCCAGCCTGAGCGCCTAGTTCCAATTATTTTGTGAGCATTGTTTCAGCGCCACACCAGCCAATTTCCCAGTGTGGTATGTGTACCGGCGGCCAAAAGAATTTGACGCATTCTTGCTCAATCTTGAGTCTGCCCTGCGTGTTCTGGTCCTGGTAGTATCAGACCGAATGATGTACAGGACATGGTCTCGTTCTATCCGAAGCCAAATCGATGCGATACTGCAAGCTCCAGTGTACTAGGATTCTATTAGTCCAGTCTTAAAGAGACATATGGTGTATGAACTAACACACTTTCAATTTCTATCCCTTTCGTGCCAATCGTGGTAAGCCTTGAGAATGCTGGTGTCCAGTGTCCAGCTACACGACACGGGATCTGTAAAAGGGTAGTCGACAATCTCCATGTTCTCCTTGACGACCCCCCCAGATATAGCACTTCAGCATCTGATTTTGAGGGTCTGTCCGTCGGATGATTTCCAGTGCACATTGAATGAGGCGGGCCACTCAATTCTGCTCTCCTCGAACGATCTCGCTATGTGCGTTGAGCGGGAGCTTTCGAGACACAGCCCAAGTATCCCGGTCGCCCGTTCGCCTCGACGCTGCGTGGTTGTGCTGTTCAAATTCCTCCCTTTGAACACGTCCTTTCGTTTCCTCAAGGCGGCGTTTAAGCTCTTTCTTCGGCTTATCGACTTCTTCCTTTACGTAACTGCCCTTTGCTCCGTCCAGGGGGATGCTGTTAGTTTCTTTCTGAGCTTCAAGCTTTTTAAGATCGATGACTCTCAGATCGCTTTTCTTCATAGAATTCTGCTTAGGAGGACTTTCAGGATTTATCCGAGAAATCTACAGACTGTTTCACTGTTAACCTTTGCTTCCTTGAGTCCTTCTCGAGCACTGTGCATTTCTCCTGGGCTATTTTCAGAGCAGACTCTGCTCCAGAGTCGGCTTCAGAGCGTTCCTGTTCAATCTTTTGGTAAACTGATGTACGATTGGTACATAATTATCAACATTCACTGATCATCGATGTTGTTAGTTCCCTCTCCAGTGAAGCATGCGCCTCTTGCAAAGCGTCAGAGCTTGCCTGGAGAGCTCCCAAAGCAGCAATAGCCTCAAATTTTTGTTCGGCTCCTGTCTATGATTATCACGAGTAAGCTTCAGGTCTTTCTTTGAGTTCAAACAAGGCATGAACTAACCTTGTACACATCCCTAACATCCTTCACAGCACTCAAACACCATTGAAGCTTCTTTATTTGTTTTTGGGAGGCTTCGAGATCTCCTTCCAACTGCGAGTGCTGCGAGTTCAGTCCACCGCAGTCCTTCCATGTGGCAGCTACTGCTGCAAGCTTCTCTCTCTCGGCGTTGTTTGGTCTCTCTTGATTACTGTCAGTTCCTATACGTAGCTTGGAAGTCCATTGGCATTGCAAACTATCTTAAAGCGGCCGTTGGCTTCCCTGGTTTTGCCCAACTCTTCCTCGTCAGCCTTGCAGGCAAACAACGCGTCCTCGAAACGTACCTGTTTTCTCTTGGTACGCTCCAAGTCTCGCTCAAGGAGCAATAGCATATGATCTTATGTGGAGTCAGCCATCTCGCCAAGCTTGAGAGCGATGGCTATGAGAAAGATCTGGCGGAGTTCAAGTCGCTTCTTCGAAATCTTGAGACGTGGTCCGATGATCGTAGGGCTGAAGGCTGGTCGAAGGAGCTGTTGGAGGCCGCTTTGGAACTGGCCCGTCAGAACCCCCGCCCTCCTTATCATGCATGCATGGATTACTCCTTGGTTCCACACCCTGATTTGGACGTCTATGCAGTCTTGGGTAAGTAATCTTACAAGGAGCTTGTTTATGCCTATGCTCAAATGCAGATGCTATAAGCATGGGAGGTGGCGAGCCTGGGGGTGTTTACTTGGGGGAATTGGTTGATATGTTCACGCCCGTTCGTCAATACGAGCGGTTTACCAATCGGGCGCTACGATTGGTCAATCGGCCTTCCGATTAATCAATCGTAGCTCCCATTGATCAATAGGAAATGGAATACGATTCGCAAGCCACAGTGGGTCCCGATTGATCAATAAGGGGGCCGATTGATCAATCGAATGGCCGATTAATCAATCGGGTAATATTGAGGTCTCGGGAATAGCAAAAGCTTTACTATACATGCCTCCTACTACGTCTAGGCGCTCCTATAGCTACCCTAGCCCTTTTTGGTGCCCTCCCCTCCACTTGATCACCTGATTCTCCTCCTTCTCTAGCTCCATTCTCACGTGCTTGCTCCTCAGCTACTCTCTTCTTTGCTCTCTCAGATGCTCTTCCAGCCTTCTGAACTGATGCAATTGAACCACGATTATTCTCCTTTGCTACCGCTTTAGGGAGGGTGATTTTATCCCTCTTGTGGGTTGCACCAGTAGTAGGTAAATCAGGATAAGTTAATTGGGAGGTGATTTTATTGAGGGCACTATGCGGCCAGAGAGTAGTAAGCTCGCCATACTTAGTAGCTAAGCAGTAGCCCTATTTTAATTAGCTTTTATTAAAAGTAAGGCTTATAAACCATATACCTTTGGAGTCTTTTCCAGAACTCTTACTGGAATTCTAGCCATTTCCGTACCGAATCTGTATTGCTTTGGGATCTGGAGGGTTGCAATCTCTTGAATATCATATTCAAGAGCTTTGGAATTCGCTCTCTTTACCATATTCTCCTTCTGTTTTCTCATATGCTCCGCAACCCTCCTAGTTAGCTCAGATAAAATCATCTCCTCAGCTACTTCCTCCTGTTCTGCTTCCTCATCCACGAAAAAGCTATCCTCTCCATCCTCTCCATTCTCTCCATTCTCTCCATTCTCTCCATTCTCTCCATTCTCTCCATTCTCTCCATTCTCTCCATTCTCTCTATTCTCTCCATCCTCTCCATCCTCTCCAGAAGCGCTACTCTCAGTAGTACCTTCCATAGGCCCTATGGCCCCTAGGGCCGTATGTATGCGGCGAGCACTCTTCTTATGGTCTAGGAAATCAGTAGGTGGCTTTCGTCCAAACCAGACCTCGTATGGTATATTTCCCTTAGGAAGAGCTGGTATAGCTGTGGTATTAATTACCCATGCGATTAAAGGAAGTAACTGTATCTATGATTGGATACCAGTATCCGCTCGTACGGCCCGTAGTCGTTTTTTGAAGATTCGATTAGCCACTTCAATAGAGCCCTGAGATTGAGGGTAATAAGCTTGTCTGCGAATAATCTTTATCCCTCTCTTCTTACAAATCTCAATCACTTTCCCCTTAAACTCACCCCCATTATTACAGGCTAAAATGGAAATATACCCATTATCATTTAGCCATTTGATAAGCTCGTCCGCAGCTTCGTCCGCAGTCTTAGCCTTAAGCCTACGGATCCATACGAACTTGGAAAAGTGGCATTTCAATTACCAGATCCACGTATATTCTCCGTCCCGATCATACTATAATAGTATTAGTAATAGTAATACTATAGTATTAATAAAGTGTGAATAAAAAGGTTCGGAATTTACGAAAATCGCAGGAATCGCAAAAATCGCAGGAAAAGCTTAAAAACGCACGAAACGTACGAAATGCAGGAAATGCAGGAAATACAGGAATATAGGGGTAAATCACATGACTTAAGGGATACTTATACGAAAATCCATTAAATCCAGAACCATATGCTCGCCAGGATAATGAGATTAGATAGGTGTAATCCCCTTAGGATTCTTCTGAGCCTTTTCCTTATTATAGTAAGTACAGCAGGCACTTATCCAAGCGTAGTCGTTACGGGATGGGCCATGCCAAATACGTCTTGTATACTCAAATGTAGTATTAAAGGCTATTATATAGGTTATTAGTATAAAAATTAGTAAATTCAAGGGGTACTTACTTGTATGTATTAATTTCTCATAAATAGTAATCAAAACCTCAAAGGCATCGTTATAGCAAAGGGTATACCGGGCTGGAATAATCTCATCGCAGCAGGTATTGTGGTATTTCTTACGATATACCTGATTATCCTGAAGCTCGTATAATTGGGATTCGTATTTAATATTAGCCTGGTAGCGCTTCTCTGCTTTTGTTCTACTAGGGAGTGAAGTATCAGGATTTTGCAACTACTATCTAATATCTATATGCTTCCTAGCAGTAAGAATTTTCCTACTACCGCCCTTAGTAAGCCTTTGATCCTATGTAGCTTCGTCTTCAGCGGACCAATTATTAGTAGGGTCTTCAGTAATAGGGGAGGGCAAAAACTGAGTACCAGAGGAACGTACTCCTGGTATAGTAATATCAAAATATTGCTCTGCTCGGCCATAGATACGTTGACGAGGTGTACGTGGGGCTGGAGATGAACGAAGGGTTGAAAGAGACATATTAGAAGTAAGGTAATTGATTGGGAGATATATAGAATCAGTAATTGTGCTTGGAAAGTAGGTGCTTATACTGTGAACTATGTACTGTGAACTGTATCTAGGTAGTAAAAAGGGAGCAGAGGCCCTATATATATCTAGAAGCTCTGGAGAAGTGTCTTTACCCCTATTACATACTGAGAACTAAAGGGTTTTAGCCATTAGTCTTAAGGATATATTATTACATACTGAGAACTAAAGGGTTTCAGCCATTAGTCTTGAGGATATATTATTACATACTGAGAACTAAAGGGTTTCAGCCTCCTCAGCCCCGAAACCCCAATATTACCCGATTGATCAATCGGCCCCCTTATTGATCAATCGGGACCCACTGTGGCTTGCGAATCGTATTCCATTTCCTATTGATCAATGGGAGCTACGATTGGTAAACCGCTCGTATTGACGAACGGGCGTGAACAGATAGGTGGTGATCAGGCTATGGTTTTGGTGGTGCACAACTTTTCTTGGGATCATCGGAGTGGTCGAAGCGTTTATTCAGCGCAGCCTTTTCAGTTCTTGAGGTAGCCTACTAATAGGGGCATCCTTTCCGCGAAGTGCCAAGTATATTGACTTGTTTATTATCGCAACCGACATGTTTTGAGGTCAGATACAGTTGTTTTGTTCAATATTTCGCAGTCAGTGGATGCACTCCAATTGGTGGAGTTCTTCGATGAAGGAGTGACGCATCGAAACAGTGAAGACTAGCAATTACCAGTGTCACTTTCCCCGAACTGCTTCAAATTTACTAGACTTACCCTCAAGTGGATGGGATCTTGAGTAGTTGGTTCTAAAGTTCTGACAGGACTTTCGCGGTATGGAAAGTTTCTTCTCGTGAGAGTGATCCATTGCTCAATTGTTCTACAACTCGGCTGTTTATCAGAAGGAAAGAAATTCTGCACTAGGTTCTCCAGTATATTCGGAGTCTCCTTCGGTGCCGTGATAGAGGGAAGGCAGCTCCAATATCCATACGTCGAAGATCCCACTAAACTACACCATCGGCTATGGCAACATGCTTTCCACTGCTTCGTCTGTTATCCTTCGTGTCAAATACCCTCAAAAGTGGTACCTGTCTTCTCAAATGCCTCTAACTTTGTCAAGCTTGTCTTCAGGTCCTCCGCAGCAATCCTCTCCACCACCGAGACTTCCTCAAAAGTCTCCAGAACGAGCTCATGAATGATCTCTGCAATTAGGATGGCCTTCTTAAGATCCCAGAGGTAACCAGAGTGCTGTCGTTCTTCTTGACCCTCCGCCTGGGAAGTCCTCCAATACTTCCAATACTTCCAATACGATTCGTAGAATTGAATCATGCGGTCCGAATGAGACTGAGTGTTTTCTCCAACGGATAGATTGCTCAAAGCCTGCTCTATGCCCCCAAAAGCAGAAGGAGAACTAGTCCTTACTCCATTCTATGTGGGGGTTAGTGTCGGTATATTTCTAGATCTCGCAGACTTTTACTCACCTGGGTGGTTGTGGAGCTAGGGTGCTTTGGGGCAATGCTTAATCCTCCGGACAGCATGTTGCTAATAGAGGTAATTGTGACACGCCAACTGTCCTCTACTGTGAGCTCTTTGTCTTCGTTATTCGGCATCTTGGCGTTCGTTTCTTAGAGGGATCTATTTGTTGAAGCGGGTCTTCGTTATTGAGGGAGGTAAGTCAAGGCAGTCGAAATTTCAAAGACTCGGAGTCTTCGAAGGTTGAAGAAGTCGCATGAACTTGTATTATAAGTTATTTGGGCTCTATGATTGAAAAATTAGGGCAAAATTTAGTCGACTCTCGTTGGTCGCCAGAAAATATGTCCAATTCACATGCCGGATTGCTTCAATGACCCGCCTCTTGCCTTGCTTACTTGTTGCGCTCGCATGCCAAAACTCAATCGTGCCAAGTGAATAAGTACATTTAACAAGGTGGGCTTCTTTAAAATTTCGGCGGAAAACGCTGTTCACCGTGGTGCTCGTTCTGCCTATTTAAACACGGGTCCTTGTCTCGTCATTGCATTCTGGCAACCACATGGTCCAACCCATTTCTCGTACATTGCCTCACCTGCCCCCCTCAATTTACCAGCCAGTCCGATACATTAAACTGACGCCTCCTTAGGGGTTCCGTCTCATCATTTCACCAGCAAAGCGTCGTCCGGAAACCCCTAGCCGACAATGGAGCGCTCAAAGAGACTGATTGACAGCAATGGCGACAGCGACAGCGACAGCGATGTGCCATTGATGTTGAAGAGAGTAAAGAGACCAGTTGATAGCGGTGATGGCATCGGCAGCGATGAACCTCAAGCAGTTAGTCCACCGCACTCCGCACTCTTTCCCTCTGACAGATTCCCATCGTCTCATAGAAGAAGCCCAAGACGGCTCCCCAGGAGCTTCTCACCAACAATTTCCGCTGGATGGACGCCATACACTTTTCGACCAAGCGTAAAATGCAGGAAATCGCAGAAGAATTCCAAGGACAAGTAGATGAGCTAGAACGACAGTTAGCCATCAAGAAGGTTAATTAGTCTTTAAATGCGATATTCCACCAACTTCTAGTGGAATTGAGACTAACCCAGGGAACTGCAGGAAGAAGCGGGTTTGGCCTATACCGCCAACGTGGCTTTGGGAGCTCTGACAGTTAAGTACGATGGCTTGACGAAGGCACAAAATGCTTTGAAGGGAGAATTGGCAATCGCAAAGGTAATAATGCAATGTGGCAAAGAAGTCAAGAAATAGCGCTGATGAAAGTTTAAGGAGCAGAAGCGTCAAGTAGATGTCGAGAATCTAAAATATAGCACCATCGAAAAGCAGCATGAGCTGCTGAAGGGGGGGTACTCAATCTTAGAAGAACAATACATTGATTCTCAAAAGCAATTGGGGAACTTTCGGGAGCGACTTAAGAGCGCCAAAGCAGTATCGGACGTTTGGAAGGCGAAATGTGACCGGAAGGGTGTAATCGGTAGGTGATAGTGGTCCGAGAGACAATATCTTCTTGTCCCAATCCTCTCCGGAACAATCACACAGTTGCTGATTTTGCCCCAGAGGCCGCTTTGGAGGCTCTTCAAGAAGAGCATGAGACTCTGCTGACGAAGTGTGCCGCAATCGAGCAAGAACTTGCTTCGGCAAAGGTCCGTATAACGAAACCAAAGTCTTCATTGTTCTAAGACTGACATTACAATGATAGGAAGCCGTGGTAGGCAACTCGGGCGCGCACGCCACTTTGACGACCCTCATCAGGCGTACAATACGCTAAAGGAGAACTACCAAGCACCTTTGAAAGAGCTGTCTGATATGAGATCCGAAGCGGCCAAACCTTCTTCCGTGCCACAAGATAGTAAGTTGCCAGAAGAGTAGGCATAATCGGTTTCCTGAATTAAATTGTTCAACTGACTTCTGGGACAATCCTCTGCGATGGAATGATCGTCAGTTGGTAGATTTGCGTATTGGAGCAGGACGGGAATGTACATTACAGAACCGGAACATTGACGGGAATGGCGCTGGATACCAGAATCACGCACATTGTGACAAATACTTGGACCGAGCGTAGTGAGACCACACGTGCAGTGAGGGGCCTTGGATCACAGCAATTTTGCGGCAGTTCAGCAGAACCAGAGAAATCGAATCCAGGGAGTGTGGTCGTCATCTTGACTCCACAAGTGCTGTTGATATCCCTGCAAAGGCCTCAATCCCAGGATACTATACATTTCCAATGCTGGGATGGGTATCGGTCAATTCAATGCCACCATCTACTTCTTCTCTGCCTTCTCCAACCATCCTCTCAATAATCTTGGCTTTGCCTTCAGCTCTCTTGAGTCGATCGTCGAAGTCAGAGACCGCTTCCTCGGTGTTCTCGGTAGATAGACTTTCCGACTCCGATAGAGCGTGGAGTACCTTCAGGTGCTTTAATAATCGCTGATTTTGGGGTAGTGAAGGTAGCACATTGTTGATTCTCTTTTCTTCGTCAGGCTTTGATGTGGTGTTGGATGCTCTCTGCTGTCGATCCTTGGCGGCCAGAGAGCCTTGAGATGCAGGAATACGATTTGCCCAAACCAACGATTTGCCGTACAACCTTCCACTTTCAATATATTTCTCGAACCCTTTTTCCAGGCCAAAAGTTCGACCCTCAATCTGACCTGCTTTGACTCCATCTGCCAATCCTTGTTGCAGGCCATTATGATAGAATTGTTCCTCAAGACCAAGGATTTCATCGAAGGTGTTGGATTGCATCTTGCCGAAGGTGAGATGTACAGTGGTTGATGTTATTGGTTCCGAGAAGAGAAGAGAAGTTGTTTCAAGGTTGTCGAGTCGGCGTCACGTGATAGCAAGGCTGAGTGCGCAGGGGTTGGCCTTTGTGGGCTTGTTATGAAGCTCTCTGGCCAGGTCTCTACGGCCTAGCGGTTCGCTGTCGAGCGCACTGCAAATTGTCCGTATTGGATCTTTCTAGTTAAAGGTCCTTCGGGTCGACCTCAAGTTTACCGCAATCGAATTTGCACTGCAACACGGTAAAAGACCCTTCCTGGTGTACGCCACCTGCGCAGTCGGCTCCGGGCATTTAGTGATAGAAGCTTTCCTCTTCCTTTTTGCAATTTTCTGCATCCATCTTCGACCAGCTTCAACTCACCTCATCGACTCTCAGTCAGCCTTGCGCTCGCTTAAGCGGGGCGCTGTGCACAATTTCAGCCTTGTCAAAACAGTGAGTCAACCCCACCACGGCATTTAAAACACCAGCTCCCCGTACCTGCCTCTGACTCTGCTTAATTGAAACCCAGACACAATGGCAACACCGAAGATTATTTTGCCCGAGAAGGGCAAACAGAATATTCTGATCACCAGCGCATTACCATACGTCAATAATGTTCCCCACCTTGGAAATGTCGTCGGCAGCGTGCTCAGTGCAGACGTTTTTTCGAGGTTCAGCAAGCTACGAGACAGACCAACCCTCTTCGTCTGCGGAACAGACGAGTACGGAACGGCTACAGAAACGAAGGCACTCGAGACGGGGCAAACGCCAAAAGAGCTCTGCGACGAATTTCACCTGAAGCATAAGGAAGTTTACGACTGGTTCGAGATCGCATTCGATTATTTCGGCCGAACCACGACAGAGCAGCAGACGGTCATTGCGCAAGATATCTTCACGAAGCTGTATAAGAATGGGTATTTGGAAGAGCGCACGACTACACAACCATACTGCGAAAAACACGAATCCTTCCTGGCGGACCGCTTCGTCGAAGGCACGTGTCCAAAATGCCAATACGACGATGCGCGAGGAGACCAATGTGACAAGTGTGGAAGTCTTCTGGACCCATTTGAACTGATCAACCCTCACTGCAAGATAGATGGTGCAACACCAGTTCCGCGAGAGACGACCCACATCTTCCTGCTGCTCAACAAGGCACAACCTGCAATTGAGGAGTGGTTTTCAAAATCAAGTGTTCAAGGAGCGTGGCCACAAAATGGTGTCAGCATTACACGGTCGTGGTTGGAAAAGGGACTGGAAGGCCGAAGTATTACAAGAGATTTGAAATGGGGCACGCCGATTCCACTGCCAGGGTACGAGAAGAAAGTGTTGTACGTTTGGTTCGACGCCTGCATTGGTTATCCCTCGATCACTGCCAATTACACAAAGGATTGGGAGCTATGGTGGCGCGACCCGGAGAACGTCAAGCTTTATCAATTCATGGGCAAGGACAATGTACCGTTCCATACGGTCATTTTCCCGGGTTCGCAGATGGGAACCGGGGATAAATGGACTATGCTCAACCACCTTTCAACCACGGAATACCTGAACTATGAGACCGGGAAGTTTTCAAAGTCAAGAGGTGTCGGCGTCTTTGGGGATGGTGCCAAGGAGACTGGTATTCCTCCGTCGGTGTGGAGATATTACTTGCTCGCAAATCGACCAGAAACAGGAGACACCCAATTCGAATGGAAGAGCTTCATATCAGCGAACAACAGCGAGCTGTTGGCCAACCTTGGCAATTTTGTCAACCGTCTCGTCAAGTTCGTCAATGCTAAACTCGGTGGGACTGTTCCTGAGTTCTCTGACGATTATACCGACGACACATTTGATTTCCCAGCCTGGATCGCTGAAGTTAACAAGCTGCTCGGCGAGTATGTGGCTGACTTGGAAGCTGTGCACTTGCGATCTGGATTGAAAAAGCTCATGGAGATTTCATCAGCAGGAAATCTTCTGCTTCAATACCGCCTTGACAATGCCAATCTTGCCAGCAATCCGACAAGAACGCAGACTATCGCTGGACTTGCCCTCAACCTAGCATACCTTCTTGCCTCTATTGCGTCCCCATTCATGCCATCAACTGCTGAATCAATTGTTCAGCAACTAAATGCTCCTCTTGCCCATATCTCAGACAAGTGGAATCCGTCTGCATTGAAGAGTGGCCACAAAATTGGAAAGGCGGCATACCTCTTCACTCGCATCCCAGAAGAGAAAGAAGAAGAATGGCGCAACAAGTATGGCGGTACTCAAGCTCAGCGACAAGAAGAGGAAGCTGCCAAAGCCAAGAAAGCTGCGGACAAAGCGAGAGACAGAGAGCGCAAGAAAGCTAAGGTCCGTAAACGAAGATCTTTCCTCACTTTCATCTGGGGTTGTCTCGTTCAGTTCAGAGGACACAGTTGGCGATTGTTCGAGTTCCTAATTCAAAGAGTCCAGTTACTGATACCATTCCAGAAGGAGGCTGCTAAGGCTGGCGGGTCAAGCACCGATACAAAACCTGCTAGCAAGAAGGACGAGGAAGTGGAAATCCCGTTGAGGGGTAAAGTAGCTGAAGAGCAGGCGCCTCCGCCTGCGGCTGCTCCATAAAGGGGGATATTATAAAATATGTGCATAAGTGGCGTTAATGATTTGGACGGAAGGGTAGCAAGGGTTACCTCGGATGCTGGTTGGAGCTGGAGCTGGAGCGTGCTTTTCGTTTGTTGGCGGTAGAAAAAGATAGCCTTTGCCTTGCGAGAGATTATTGTTGCATTCAACATCTCAACAGACTAAAGAGAGTTGTAGCTGAACGAGTTGCTGTTATGATTCTATGATGGCTTGTCTAGTCTCTGATTGCCATATTGTTTCAATGAAAAGGTCCTGCGTTAGATGGACATCCTCATACCTCCGTTAGCACAAACCACCTGCCCAGTACACCACAAACTATCCGGCGTACACAACATGCCCACCACCCCCGCAATCTCATCCACATAAGCCGGTCTACCCCCAGCATTCTCTGCATCAGCCACCAAATCCTCATCATCAATCTCAGGTCGAATCGCACTTCCAGGTGTTTGCTGGATAAACGGTTTCAACCTCAGCTTGAACTCCGGGGTCGTACCAGCCCACATATCCGTCTTCACCGGCCCAGGATTAACGGCATTAACCGTAGCCCTCTCAGCCAGCTCTCTTGCCCACGTCCTAGTCATAGCCTCCAACGCCGCCTTCGTACCACCATACACACTCTGCCCAATAAAGCCCTCTGAACTCGACACGCTCGACAGGTTCACAATCCGCCCACTCCTATCATGTGGCAAATATGGCAACGCAGCTTGCATCAGCAGCAACGGGCCCAGAACGTTAATCCGATACTGCCACTCGTAATCCTCAATCGTGCATTCTTCAATTTTCAAGTTCTTGGAGACACCAGCGTTGTTTACGATGATATCGATTTGGAACTTTCCGGTCTTGGGGTGCGAGAAGTGGTTCTTGGCTGTGGTGATGATGTGTGCGGGCCCGGCGGGGGAGCCCATGTCGGCTTGGATTACGAAGCTGGTGGTGCCGTGTTCTTGGGTTAGGAGGGAGGAGAGGTCGTTGCAGGCTTGGGCGGAAGAGTCTGAGGTGTAGTTTAGAATTAGAGTTGCGCCTTTTGAGGCGAGGTTGTGGGCTATGCCCACTCCGATACCTATGAGGTTGTTAGAGAGAGAACGAGTGAGAATTGGGAGGAGAATTGCCTCTTGAAGCTCCTGTTATAATTACAAGTTTGCCTTCAAGGGGCCGATAACCTTGTACCCCGCCAAGGTTCGTAGCTGCTGTTCTTGTTCGTAGAGACTCCATTGTGTCTTGAAGATTACAGTGAAGGCAGTGAGAGTTCAAAGACTCCAAGGCGAGAACGGACCCTCTGTCTTCTAGATCCTTAGATACCTATAAGTTCAGAGGTGGGAGAAACAGAATTGTCACGAGAACTTCAGCCCCGCCAATTGGGGGTCTCTTCCGAAGTTCAGCCGGGCCCCCACATTCGTACTAGCGCCCCTATCAGCAAAAGGGTGACGGTCAAGCTTCATCAGCCTTCTCCAAACACCTCACAGCAACCATGGATATCCGATTGCTGCACCCGTCAGACATACCGCATGTTCAACATGCAAACATTACCAATCTGCCAGAAAAGTAGGCCCACTTGCCTACCAACCTTGAGAACAAAAGCTGATCTCGTGCTCCGCAAGCTACTTCATGAAATATTACCTCTACCATGCCCTCTCCTGGCCGCAGCTCTCCTTCGTCGCAGTCGATGTCTCGCGACCTAAGAAGACGCCCTACGACTACCCCCGAATCGTAGGCTATGTCCTCGCGAAAATGGAAGAGGATCCGCCGGATGGAGTGCAGCATGGGCATATCACGAGTCTGAGTGTGATGAGGACGCATAGACGGTTGGGCATTGCGGAGAAGTTAATGAGACAATCACGTATGTCCATTAATGCACGGGGGAGAAGTGGTGAGCAGTGCTGACACAAAGAAGAACGAGCAATGGTCGAAACCTTCGGCGCACAATATGTCTCCCTCCACGTCCGCGTCTCCAACAACGCTGCTCTACGCCTTTACCGCGACACCCTAGGCTTCAAAAACGAGAAGGTGGAGGCGAAGTACTATGCAGATGGCGAGGATGCATATAGCATGAAGCTGGATCTGGGGTTTGTGAGAGAGCAGGTGATGGATGAGTTGGATGATGGGGAGGTAGATGAGGGAGAGCCTGTTGGAGAATTGGGGAAGCTGGAGGAGAGAGAGGGGGAGAAGAAGGTGGTGGCCAAAGAGGGGAAGAAGAGGAAGGTTAGAGTGGGACGGGGGCTGGGAGTGGGCGATTTAGTGGAGAAGAATGAGAGTCAGAAGACGTAGTGGAGGGCCGAAATTTATTTGATGAATGCATGCAAGGAGTTCAAAAAGACTTGGTGGCATTATATAGACTTGTGTAGGGAATAAAAGTCATCGGTCTGACGGAGCCCCGCGACTTCAATGCCTGGGAGGTTCAGGTACATGTTACCAATTGAAGAGCATAGATTCCGATCATTCTGCTTGTCTTTGCTGGTTTCCCCCGAATGTTCCACGCAGAGGTGGAACAATGATGCTCTTTCCTTATCTTGCAAATCGATTCGTCCAAAAGTTGGATCCGCCATTGTACCTGAACCTGAAGTACTTTGTCGAGCTTGCCAATCCAGTGCTCTAAAGTAGGGCTCGCATTTACGTGATACCGAGGGTTGAAGTACATTGTGAAGACTGCAAATGAGTTCTCCAAGCAGGACCCTCAGTTGCATTGATTGTACCGAGGGCTGTAGAGTATTTGTCGCGGTAGAAATGCTATTCTGACAAAACCCTTCAATAGTTGAAAAGTTCAATGTTCCATACAAAGCTGAAACAATCAGGCTCTTTCTTTACACTTTTGCAAACCGAGTTCTAAATAAGACTCGGATCTGCATTGTAACGATGCCTAGAACCTTTGTTGAGGTATAAAAGCCACTACAACAGCGATGCCAAGCGTCCTTGCCACCTTCGGTGTCCTCGACTGCTATTGCAACCTCGTTGGCTGATACAGCCTTGCCCATGGGCAAGTCCTCAACGTTTGTACCCACCTCTCAATCCCAGGCAATGATAACTCATTTCCCGCCCATGTCGGCAGCTTTTACGGTAGCCCAGGTTTATTCTTCGCCGGTGTATTTGTCTTTGTGCGATTATTTGACAGCAGCATGCTTATTGGCCACAAAGTACTCACTTGCACTTTCTTCAATTATTTGAATATGTAGCCAGATTAACCGCTTTCATGTTTTGAATTTTTCGTTCCAGTCAGCCAAGTTGGCCATGCTCTGTCAGGAAGAGCCTGCCCGCCCTCGCAAGGAGCTGAACGTTTCGGGCTGCTTGGTACGGAGTAATTTTGTTTGAGTTTCGATTTCGCCATGAATCAGGCAACAAATATGAGTCATCCAAAATCTTTGATCGCTCCATGTTGTTGTCAAGGCCTTTGCTGTCAAGATACCGAGTGAAGATCAGATTACTCGCTCTGTTATATCAAATTTGGTCTGGAAATATTGTAATAAAGGCAGTTTGATTGACCAAAGAAGTGTAAAGGCCAAGAAGCAGAGTTTCAGCAAATGGAAGCTCTTATTGTCTCCCCGGACCCATCCTTTGTAAGGGAACTCCATGGTGCCGCCAGTGATTAAGAACAAGGAATTCCGGAGTCATACATTTTATAGACACTCATAAGCGCTCTTGCGTGAGCACAAGCCCTTGCTTCCTCGTTTCAATCATCTGCTGAGGCCAAGGAGTAATTAAGTCCGTGGGGTCGCTCTGTATTCTGTAAGTTTCGGTGTCTAGGCAAGTTACACTTGGACTCCTTCAACTTTCCAAAAACAGAGAGATAATTCTGTGCACGAGCTCTTGTTCATTGCTAATCTACTGTGAAATGATTATGCCTCGCTCGCTAACGCCCCTCCACTTGCTGATAAATGATTCACACTTCTGACACATTAATGGATTCCCTCAAATCACTCATTGTCTGTTGTGCTTTGTAGAAAAGTATCAACATAAAACGTACACGAATCGGCCGAAGCCGAATATTTGGCACGTATCCACAATGGATTCCAGCCTGAGGGTACGCGGAAAGGCGATCACTGCTATTGATCTTCTCTCCAGCGCTCAGGACAATGATAGACAGTTTACTATTACTGTGGATGCGTGCAGCGGGAGGTTTAGATATTCATAGATGCAGGATATCAAAGTGTTACGTGGTCACGAAAAAATTGCTTTCACTGGGAGAGCCAAACCAATAGAGTAAGCTGCGTGCGGTGTCAGTTGGGGGTAAAATGTTTCCGCGTCCTCGTGGGCCGACATCTGCGAACATGTGAAGGAAAATATCGCTTTGGGCAGCAAGAATTCAGGGTCTCTGGACGATTATTGTCAATCAACTATTTGCTGTCAGCGATATCTAATATCAGATGAATATGGAGCTAACTAGTATGAATTTACAAACTGCGGGACCATTTAATACACCGGTGAATTGCGGGAAGGAGGCGAAATATCTCGAGCATTGAATGAAAACGCGAGGAGCCATGGGAACCGCCTTCATCTGAGCCAGGCCCCGAATGGCATAGACTGTTTCACTTGAGGCTTTGCACATGCTCGCACTTGAGAACTAATTTTATAGCAATGGAGGCTGAGTTGGACGCTTTCTAGCTCCCATTTTGGCAGAATTATCTATAAAATCCTCCAGGAAGAATGGGGCGTGGGGGCGGAGCAGCCGGTGAATACTCATCCGCGGAAGTAGACAATGGACCCTCAGGTTCCACGTCCGAGCTTTCTAAAAGAAGCGAAACCTTGCGCTTGGGCTCCCCTGTATCAACTTTGGAGGAGCCTTTGAGCACTGCCAAGGGCAAAACCCCAAGGCTAGGGATGGCGAAATAATATAATTTTAGGACTTGAATACGTAATAACGTAATATAATCCGCTGGACTTTATTATATTAATATTATTCCTAACTAAATTTAGACAGGGGGTTCGATCCAATGGAAGCTCCGAGTAAGAATATCAGAATTTATGCCTTAAATTATACTTGGATTATACTTGAATTATTCTCAATTTATATTTAGAAGCATATATAATTTTATGCAATGAGTTATGCAATACGTATTTGACGACTTGATTATAATATAATTACGCCGGACTTGATTATTATATAACGGACGTAGTTACAAATCGCCGATTCCTACCCAAGGCTTCTTGGTGTGACTTGGCGGCAGCACAGCCCGGAAAGCAGCAAAGACCCCATCCATTCGAGCTCTAGGTTTAGGGGGTGGTACTAAATTAGAACCTCTGAGAAATAGGCCAATAGCTTGCAGACATGGGATGGATACTGTTAATTGATCTGTTGTTGTCAGAGACACACGAATGAGAATGGATGAAGATGAATTTGATAAATGCAAATCAACCAACAGATTACCATTTTCGAATAAGACCGTGTGAAGGGGGTGACCAAATCGCCCACCGGTGTTCGGGCCATGTCCTTCATGATAATCTATCCATGTCTGTGTAGGCTTGATCTTGAAACTTCTCACTTGAGAAGGATAAATATGGTCAAGGTATTCGGGGGGAAGAACCTGTCCATTGTCACTCTCCCTTTTAAGCGAACCAATTTGCCCCCGGTGCCCCTTGCGAACGGCTTACTCACCATCAAATCTCAGCCACAACATGCACGATGTAATCAATAAATAAAAGCACCCATGTTCCATGTTCCATGTTCCATGAAATTATCTTTTATTCATGACCCTAGAAACACCGAGGGCAAGTGGCTGGCAAACCACCGCGTCACTGCCTGATAGGAGCCGAGTTTATGCACAGATCCGACCATTTCCCAAACTATCCTTCCCCGTTCCTTCACATCCCGCGTTCACCGTATCCAAATTGAGCGAGTCATTTACTCGAAGGGGTTCGTTCGAGTTCCCCAGTAAGTGAGGAACAAAGAGAGGCCTACTGTCTCGAAGACTGGGAAATTGTTAGTGATTGCTGGGGGACACAGGAAATTTTGGGAGCATACCACGTGCGAGCGCACCAACAGCAACGGTATCAAGAGGGCGTTTCTCAGTGAAGATTTGGGCGATGAACTGAGGGAAAATTAGTATGTAATCCCAAGGAATTGATCAGGGTATGGGATTCAGCTGAGGTGAACCGGGTACAGCTTTGGAGCTCAATGCCAAATTACAAATGGTTCTAAACATACCGAAGGAGCAGAGCTGGCCATGAAGATCAAGGATCCAAGGTACGCAGCACCCTTGTAGCTGAGGGTACCGGTAGCATTGATCAGAGCACCGACGCCATATGACTGAATGGCGGATCCGACCAAGGAAGTTCCCCAAGCGGCGGCAGCAGAGGCGGCCTCCTTTGACTTAATGAACTCCTCCTTTGAGTTGGCGGCTTGGGCACGGTGGTAGGTGTCGCCGAAGACAGGGCCGAGAACAGCGAGGGAGGCTGCGTGGTTGAAGATGGTGCCGAGGGCGATGGCGGAGGGCTTGACGGGTGGGAGATCTAGAGGGGAGGGTTAGCAAGACAATTCGAGGAGCCGTTTCATTTCAAGGCAATTGAGATGTATCAATTGACACAAAGCTTGAAATTTCCAGGATGGCTCAATTGCAAATGTCGGTGCAATCACGAGCTTCATCAGCTCATGATGTCGTCACCGCATCTCAGGCCGCTCAAGTTGAAGAGCTACTCACAGTGAAGTGACATGATCGCGATTATGTGAGGTTGTTGGAAGAGGTTGATGGGAGGTTCTTCAAGTACTTGGATTGATGCCACGTTGACGGTGTGTGATAGAGAAATTTCGGTAGGGAAGAAGGAGAAGTGCAGGTCAAAATATATGGGAAGCAGCAGCCACTCGCTTGGGGTAGTTCGAGCTGCAGGCGGGTTGGCGAGTTGAGGGGAATGACGTGCCTCTCAATATTTTCAAGGCAGTGCAGGGATGTACGGCCAAGCCAGACCGAGCTGTGCGATTCATGCCATTCTCGTACTTCTCGATCGGATCAGGAGGCGGCAAGAGGGAAGAGGAGCTTAGCTCCGAGGTATCAAGCTGGCCCCTTGCGGAAAATCCTATGACGTCTTTGTTTACATGGGCAGATTCTGTTCAATCAGTTTACTTCTGACTATCCTCACTCCACTCTATGAAGGCGGCGTTTACCAGGGTTTGTCAGTGAAAGTTGAATTGTGGCAGATGTCACAAGGTGAGTCTGTGAGTTCGGTCTGGTTAGGTCAAAGTGTGGGGAAACAAATGGGTGGAGCTGTCCCACATCGTTTAAGGTTACGTCACTGTGGCTAAATCTTCAGTGGCGTGCAATCACATGACTATACTTCACGTGATCTTGCAGCTATTTTCAGCATTTTGCCTGTTTCATCTCTTGTAGTATAAACCTTGGAATTTACAATCGAGCATCCGCATGCTCTTTCCTCTTTAATAGAGAGGTGCATAGTTATTGAGGCTGGCTTCGTACGTGCCATCTATGAAGCCGCCACGTGCCCAATCTCGATTCGGAACCTCAACAACCACCAACATCCACCTACAAGACTTTCACCACCACTGTGACATCTCAACCGAAAGCCAAGCCAGCACCATGATAAGCCCATAGATGAGAGGCTCCCGATGGCCAGCGATACACCTCAACGGAGAGCCCAAGAAAATCGGAAACAACGGAGAAAACCCTTCTGCGGGATTACCACCTTGATGTTTGTTGCTTCGCCCTTTTGCTTCAAAAGCTCAAGCTCACCCTGAACCAGACCAATCCTATTCGTGATAACAATCATTATACCCTTCCTTATCATGATGGGACAGTCCCCAGAGTCCAAATCTACCTATCTAAAGTACAGTCCGGTCACGGGATATTTCGAGCAAGATGAGCCCGGAACTGATCCTCGGGAGTATGACTTTGTAAGTCCTATGGCCAACGGACCCGAAATGGATCCTGACAGTGTTCAGGTCAGCCATAGCTTCGGCTTGATAGAACGAGAGTATGACACAGATGCCATATTTGATCCAAATCACGAGAGAACGCAATGGCAGCGGTTTCACTTCCACATCGATGAACTGAATGCGCATGCTGCCCCCGGCGTTCAGTTCAAAGTTCTTTACCGTCTGTCCCCTCCCTTCATCCTTCTCAGATCTATGCTGACAATCATCAGTCGGCCGCCACGGAGAAGGCTATCACAACGTAGCAGAGGCATTATACGGCACTGAAGCGTGGGATGTACGTCTCCCCCTGCCCTCTCAAACCTTCTTTTCTAATCAACAAAGTGCTACTGGTCCACCCAAGACGGCAACGGCAACATCACCTGGTCCGACGCCCTCCTGACCCCGGCCGGCATCGCCCAAGCCTCCCACGCTAACGCCTTCTGGCGCACCCTAACAACAGACCACGGCATCCCGCTCCCACAATCTTACTACAGCAGTCCTCTGCTCCGCTGCCTCGCCACCGCTTACTATACCTTCTCCTCGCTCTCCCACCCTAAAGACTCCCCCTTCCTCCCCACCATCAAAGAAATGCTGCGCGAGGCAATGGGAGTCCACACCTGCGATCGCCGGAGCTCGAAGTCCGCTATCAGTAAATTGTATCCCGATTGGCCTTTTGAAGAGGGCTTTGAGGAAAATGATCCCCTGTGGGTGAGCGATTTGAGGGAGGCGGACAGCGCGATGGTTGTTAGGGCTCGGTCTGCTATGGATGACATCTTTAATGCGGATGGGAATACGCATATTAGTATTTCGAGTCATTCAGGGATGATTGCTAGTCTTTTGGAATGTAAGTCTTCCTTCTTTCTTAGTCAGAGGGTAAGATGGGTTGAGTAGAGCTAATTCGATTCAGTCATCGGACATCGAAAATTTGGTCTGGGTACGGGACAGGTTATCCCTGTGCTGGTCAAGGCAGAAAGAAATGCTGGGCAATTACCACCAAGCGGAGACACACCATGGGAGAAAGTGGACCTTTGCACCGAGCCTCCGGCTATACTTTTACCTAATTGAGAGAACGAGAGAGCTGAGATTTCATCTTGCATGACCACGAAATGGAGGTTTTATATGCTTCCAGCGAAGGTGATCTTCATGTCGAGCTTACTTTGCAATGCCTGTCTTTCTATCCTCGTCTCTAAAAAACGGTCTCACACGAGGAGTACGAAGACTCTTCGAACTCAAACGAAAAAGGTAATATAAGTTTCGATACAGTAGTCCTGTTGTACCGAAGGGCTGTGGAACGATGTCTGCAGAGATTTTTGGAGGTTTGCCATCGGCTCTTTCAAACTGAACAGAATGACTTATTTAGGTGCTTTTGAACAATATTCGTTCGAAGGATTTGAGAAGATTAAATGACAAGTGTCAGAGAGATGCCGAAAGATAGGCAGAAAATCAATGACAGCCGTCTGAGTAATGATAGCAGTGGTTACACCACATCTCTGCCTTCCCCTAGAAATGAACAATAGTCGTCCGAAAGGCCCGCGAAGAGTAAATGACAACGGATGAACGATGACAGCAGTGATTTTACCCCATCCCACTCCCTTCCCTTCCCTATCCTATAATATATCCCCATGTAATCTTATTTCTACACTATCAATACATTATATCGCAGCAAGCTTCAGCGGCCTCGGGAGCTTGGGCAATGTTCTGCTTTGTTGCATCATTGGTGCCATTCAAATTCCACACCTTTAGCAGTCTTTTTCTTTAAATGGCTGGACCTTCAACGGCTTTGGGGGCTGCAACACTCAAGGCTGAGTTTGCCTCTTAAATTAAATTCATTTCCTTGCTTTATACATTTTTGGTCGTGAATAGAGTCGTCGTTGCCCTTGCAAAGCAATTGAATGATGGAAAGTCTTCTCAGCGAGCCCTTTTGGCTGCTTGCTTGGAAGCGGGGAATAGATAGCGTAAGGATGAAACGTTTGGCTAGGCTCGACTCCTTCTTGCTCCACCTTCACCTCGAGAAGGAGAGAGCTGTAACTGCCACGGTTGGACGCTGCAGTTATTCCTTATGGGGATTACAACTGCCCTATCTTACAACTTAGGCGGCTCGGAGAACGAGGACGACGGGATACTCGCGTATACATCTGGCCCCACGCTCAAGGGCAAGTCCTCCCTCGAGATTTTAGAAGTGAAATGGAAGAGGGCAGAGATTAGTAATGAATGCCGATCGTCTGATAGTTCCGCGAGGATTAAGTTGACAACAGCCGAATCGATGACAATGGACGATTTCATCTTATCTTTGGCCTTCCAATTTTTACATTCTCCCCTAAGCGTCCACTATAACAACAGAGCAACCCTCCCGGCGGGGGGCTCCCGGGGACGTTTCTTGTCTTCAAAAATCGTCCCTTTATTCCTTTGCTTGTTTGGTCGGTCGTATGGATCTGCTCGACCGTGATAGAGTCGGCCTGGATTAGCTTTCAAATAAGATTCACATACGAGAGGCGAGGCAGTGCAATATTATTCTAGGAGGGACTCTTGCCAGGTATCTTCGGATATCTTTATGGAAGTAATGGACTTTTTGTGAAGGTGACTTCCCTTTCAGGGGACCAGTCAAGCCAATTCCCCCGCCGGTGTGAACAGCTCAAGTCGACAGATATAAATGCCCCCTTCGTTCTTTAAAAGGTTTCTTTCTCACTATTCAGACGGCTAATAATTCTTAGCTATCACCACAGCATTTCCCCGTGCCAATCTCTATATATCTGCTTTATGGATATAGCCTTCGGAAGAGCTGTGCTAAACAACCTTGATAAAACATATCGTTAAAGACAAGGTGGTGAGGGCCAGAAACCGAGAGGATTGCAGTGTGGCACATATCCTTGTTTTATACTTCCTCTTATTAGCAGTCAGATTACCCATTTCCGAAAGCTGGGAGCTCACGACGTGAACGTTGTGGGCCTTCAGACCTTCGCCATGCGGGATGATTCGAATGCGGAAAAATTCGAGACGTTCTCCACTGACAAACCAACATACCAGAAAGAACCCTGAGTTTTGATACTTGATACTTTCCGCATCCCTCATCTCTATAAACAGGACTAACAAGATCGATTCAACTTCGCAGGTACCCCAGCTGAACACCAACCAAGGCTGCGCCTGAAATACCCATACAGAAACTCAAAAGCGCAACAATAACCAAATACAGTATTGGCGCTTTCCCCGCTACTCTCGTGCGAGGGTATTCTGATTTCGGAGCAAATGGCCCCACCATCTTCTTGATCGGCTTGACATTCTCTCTCTTTGCCGTCTCGACGCCTCTTCGCATCCCTGGTAGGGCATCCATACTTTGTGCGTTCTTGAACGCCCAATATCTGGATGGAGAATAAGTATGCAACACTCGAGACAGAAATACAGACAAAACGTTGGCTGAGAAGCGATGTACACTCACCGTTCAATCCCATCCTTATGATTCCCCCTCTTGTCCGCCGCAACCCTCTTCTCAAAAAATTCATTCAACGTTGGTCTGAAAGCCTTGAAATCAAAGAACGGCATACTAAACCCGCAGCTACTCCCCACTTGATCTAGATGTCGAGAAGTCAACCATTGGCTCATTGCCTTATTAAAAGTGTTCTCGCGAATCACGAGACTGAAACAAAGGAAAGGGATTGCGTACGAATGTGCACTAATACCACCGCCCTCGTCCCTGCAATCGCATCCACCATATTCTCCCCCACAAAATCATTAAATTTCCTCGACCCATACTCCAACACCTCACCCTTCCCCCATAACCTCACGATCTGCGGCGGCCCCTCAAAAGCGTTAAACAGCACCGTAATTCGCCCATTCCCCTCTTCATGCAAATGACTCAACGTCTCGATCCCAGAACCCGTCAAGTCTAAGTACCAGAATGTCGTCGGGTTGAGAATCCCGAAGTATTGCCCACCTTTTGGGGAGATGTTAATGTGGCCTGTGGAAGAGAGGGGCGCCGTGGCTACCCAGAAGACTTTCTGTTCTAAAATCCATTTTAGGACGGACGGAGGGATGGTCTCGTAGAAGGCACCCATTTTGAAAGGGTTGGGGGATTTAGATGAGGTGGTTGGTTGGAGATGGAGACGCAGGGAGGAGAGGTAGAGAGGGTGAGTCAAGTTAAGAGGGGTCAAGATTTATCTTATCGGCGGAGAGTGCAATTCGGGGAGAAGTCCGAGATCGGCGTTTGTTATTTTGAGCAGCTACACTTACGGGAATCGAAGAAGGGTTTTTGCTTGCGTGAGCAAATATCAGATCGTAAGCTCGGCCTGTTGTTGGACAATTGAGCTTGAATTTGGTTGGTTGCTTCCGAAGATGGGGTAATTGAGGGGCTCGGCAATCGAGACCCGGAAGAACTGGTGGGCCGAGCCGACTGAGAACCCCCTTTTCCAAAAACAGATAATTTGTCGAGGACCAGGGGCTCGCTTCAATGATGTAAAGGATTTTGAACAGCGGAACATATTATTCTTATCCAAATCTCATAGCCATCAAAATCCCGACGGTGAAACTTTGTTGTCAATAAAAGTAATGCTGTTAAAGACCGCAGATTACGGAAAATTGACTCCAACAATAACTGCTAGACGTGAGCAAAGACTTGTGATCTTTGCTGGTCTTGGGATTGCGGCAGGGAAGGAAAGAAGGGGTGCCTGGGATGGGATCAAGATTTGTTGGTGGAAACGAAACTTCATGGTGGGGATGGCCGCCAACCGTTCCAATGCCGTGGAACCTTTCCAGTGATCGTGACAAGTTGTCTCGTTGCTGTTGACTACGTTGGGCACGGAATTGTTCCAGCAGAAGAGTTGCCAGACGTTGTAGGGGATAGCATTCAATGGAGGTTGAGTATTTCCAATGAAGCAGCAGAACCACCTTTCTTGGGAGTCTCACCTGGTACGTAGATCTTGATGTTAAACACCAATTGATATCGTAATACCCATATGGCCAAATCTTTATGTATTTGACACCCGAAAATGTGAAACATAAATTCAAAATTATTACACAAAATTCGGCCCCAATTTCCACCAACACGGATCCACCCCGGCCGCGCTTCCGGCCCCGCCAAAAAGGAAACTTCTCAAACAACACCTTCCTCCCCCTGCCCTGCCTCTCCTTAACCATCAATGTACGAGATCCGCACCGCCGGCCTCAAAGGGCTTGGTGTCTTCTCCAAAGCATTCCTCCCGCGAGGAACACGAATATTTTCCGAAGCGCCTCTCCTCGCAATCCGGTCTGGTCAAACTGCAGGGGACATCTATTCCGCGTCCCGATTTCTTTCGCCGGAAGATAAGGGGAGCCTTTTGGGGTTGTCGACGCATGTTACCAACGAATTGAAGATTATGAGATGGAGTCAAGCTGCTTGGTATACTTTAACTAATACGGTTTCCGAGATATTTGGGAGGAAAGGGAGGGGAGTAATAGGATGGCCGAATCCTAAAGAGCACGTGACAGTTCTGAACATTTTCAGAAACAACGCTTTCAATCTGGGCGCCAGCTCCTTATTCCAGCAAGCTGTCTTCCCGAGAATCTCGAGGATAAACCATTCCTGTGTCCCAAACGCGCAGGGGAATTTCCACGACGAGATGGGGCGGTTTAATGTTCATGCGACGAGGGATATTGAAGGGGGTGAGGAGGTGACGTTGAACTATTTGCAGGAGTTGGGGACGGCGAGGGAGTCGAGGCAGGAGAGGTTGTGGGGTGGGTATGGGTTCGCCTGCGAGTGTCCAGCTTGTGATTTGAGTTTGGAGAGAGCGAGACAGGGGGAGAAGAGGCGGGTGAAAATGCATGAGGAGCTGGCGAAGTATGTTGAGGGGATGGCAAGTGGTGCTGTGCTGGTTTTGGAGGCGGAGTTGGAGGCTGTTCAGAGGTTCATCCGGCTGCTCGAGGGAGAGGGAATCGCTGGGAGGGAACTGTCGACTTTGTGAGTGACCACCCAAATCGGATTGTGAAGTGTCACTTGCTAACCGAAAACGGGTACAGATATTTAGAAGCTGCAAAGCTGAACCAGGGTTATGAAAAATACGAGGAAGCCTTGCGCTGTGCTGAGAGAGGATTGGCCATCGACGGAGATTGTTTAGGTACAGATCATCCGCTGTATCAGAATAGCTTGAAGGCCGTCCATGATTTGAAAAGACTTCAATGATCTCAGATTCAATTTACAGAATATTTTGCTCCATGGTTCGCCGTCACCAATTTTGAGAAGCTCGAGGTTCAGCGGGGGATCAGAAGACACGAGACTGGAGAAAAGTGCGAGGGTATTGGTAAAATCCAGGAGTTCATATTGCGCCGGAAACTTCCTAATGTTCTTTGTATCCTGGAACAGGCAAACCTCATCTCATGACCCGAATATTCTCAGCTGTAAGATTTCAATATCCCGAACTATCAAGGACAACTAGAGACAGACAGGGTGACGGAGATATCTTGAAAAGCGGACATGAACTTCCCAAAAGCACGCACTGAACATGCCGGGGAATTGGTGGAGAGCAGCATTGCTTTGGTATTTACACTCCTTCCGATGGTATCCAGCCGAAACCTGCTCCAAAATTATCACATCATCATTCATCCACCCGTATTGCCGTATTCCCTATCCCCAAGAAAATATTTACTTTCCCCCGAACCAAGATGAGATGCCTGACTTGGCTTTTGAAGCTTCTGCCTCGATCTTGCGGTCTGCGGCATCAATCTTCTTCAATGCGTCATTCTTGGCATCTTTGCCGTATTGCTCGACCTTTGCAGCTTCGATGCGGGCTTTGTCGACCTAGAGGGGGTTTGAGTTAGTTACTGCTCCGGAAGGCTATGTTAGAGGATAGAGAGTACGAAGAGTTGCAGATAGTAATGAAGAGTGCATGGTAATCTGGAGCACTTACAGCAGAGTCAACCTTTGAGCCAGCTACAGTTGCCCACTTCTCGGCATCCTTCTGAGCCTCCTTAGCGTGGCCTGGGATCTCCGACTTGACTTTGGCCGAAGCCTTGGAAAGATCACCTATGTTTACTTAGCAAGAAGGAACAACAACAAGCCACGCATGCAACGTACTCTCAAAGTTCTTCTCTGCAATCTTGGGATTGCCGCCTGCAGTGTACAGGTAATAGCCCACTCCACCAGCTGCGGCCGCCGTAACGTACCACAGAGCGTTGGACTTCTTTTGTTGAGACATCGTGATTTAGTTGACGACAAGCTGAAGTAAGTGGAGAGAATCGCAGTGCGTGAATTTGGGTGTGGTAGCGGTAAAGGTACGACCTGTGGTTGTTGTTTTGGAAATGAGGAGAGAGCGGCGGGATTATTGCATGATGAGCAAGGTGCTGCGTTGATTGGCTGAGCTTTGTGGGAGCGCTTTCCCAGTTGGTTTCCCCAGACACGTCATAGGTTAAAGAAGATGCACAGATCGAATAGAGGCCCGTGAGATCACGTGTAAACGTATGAATGGTGGCTTCAAGGCTTCAAGCTTGCCTTTCCCCGAAGAAGCAGCGGGTCCTGATAAACTTGGCAGATCATTTGGCTAGCTTTTGAGCTTCGCAAAAACCCCACGCGTCATCGCAAAAAACATCTGAGCTTCCATCGGAAAGTCTGAAGTGGAGCTACATGCTGAAATGGCAAGTGCCAAGTAGTACCTGGACCTGGACTCGTACAACACGCAAACGCAAAGCAAGCAATCCTACCTCATTGTTTGCCTATTGCGGGGTTTGTTCGAATTGACTTGCCTGTGATATCGACAGTTTCACGAGCTGCACGGGATAGACCACTGTAGCAATGCTTCGGTAGGAATGTCTCTGCTTCGCAAGTCGAAACGTCGACCCCAACCATTGACAGACGCCGACTACGACCACGAAATTCGTCTGGAGGATCATACCAAACCACAATCGCCTCAAGGGCATTCGAGAAGCCAGTCAGATGGCCTACAGCCTTCCTCTACTCGTGGTTCAGATTCCTCCTCGAGAAGACACAGCGATGTCCCCCTTTATAAACACACGACGCCCCTCCATATACGGGAGGAGTTGATACGGCGGAAATTCTCGAAATATCAGGATCGCCGCGAAGCGTCTTACGATGGGCAGCAAGAGGCAGCTGGGCCAGAGGACGGTGACGAAGCTCAGAATGACGAAGCTCAGGACGGAGAGACGGAAGAACGAGGGCGACGAATATCCAAATCACTGGCACCAAAACCAGCGGAAGCCGAATCTGCGATAGATATCTTGTACGAGAATCAACGTGGAGGGTTTCTCTGCGGGATACCCCTCTTTTCTTCGAAGGCGTTGGGTGGTCTCGATCATGCTCCGTGGACGAATAGTGCACATAAACCGAGTGCCACGGACATCACAAACGCGCAGGTGCCAGATCCCTTGTGGGAATGGGCTTGGAAGGAATGGCATATAAATAAGGATGACAGAGTGGATGGCGAGGGCTGGGAGTACTCGTTTGCCTTCGGCAAGCACATTTCCTGGCACGGTCCTCAATGGTGGAATTCCTATGTCCGTAGACGGGCATGGACTCGAAAGCGAATAAAGAAGCACAGTGGCTATCAGTCGAATGAATCACATATGCTCACCCCTGAATATTTTACGATTCACGCAGCGGAAGAACGGAAATCAAGCCGAGCTACCTCTATGGAAGCAAGTACAATGAATCGACCAAGTTTGGGATCTCTTGCTAGACGGGATATTGAAGATGATATCGTCGTTGAGGAAATCAAGGATATTGCGTCTCTGATGAAAGTCTTACGGCTTGCCCGAATTGACCGAGAGAAAATGGAAGCAGTGGAGAACTTCACTGAGCACGGCGGGGATGACCTTCACTACCTGCAAGAATATATGCATGAGATCATGCGGATGTTCATATTCCAAGCTTCGCGGCGTCTTCTCCTTACACATCTGCTCAAGATTTTCAACGAGGCTTCGAAGGAATGGGACAAAGAGGATGCTGACCCCGTCAAGAAACGGAGACTTGAATATCTGGAAGCAGCAGTGAAGCATGCTGATGAGGAGGTTAAGAGGCTGGAATTCTGGAGTGATGTGAAGGACATGGCCGAGAAAGGCCATACTATAGGGGCCGTGGATGAATCTAAAGGTTGGGACAAGAGCTGGGCTGGTCTTGATCATAGCGGGCCGAAGGATGTAATGTCCGATAAGAAGGTCCCTGGACTGAAGAATTGTGAGCCGAGAGAAGGAAATGGGACAGCAGTAAAAAAGGATAAAGGGAAAGGAAAGGCACAGGATTAGCATACACAGGGCGTTCTGCAAATCTCTTTGGTCAGCATGGCTGCATAGCCTCGGATTGGGATTGGGTAGTTTACGGGAAATAAAAGAGACTCCTCCCATATCTTTTAGGCTTCATGTTCAAAACATCCTTGATGGAGTCCTATTGAATGAATTGTTCCTGCTATGACTTTTCTTAAATTTGTACATTACAACCCAAATAAGGTACTTTCAATTTCGAATAATTAACAGCGTTTTAAGAAACTCGAATGTCGAAGTGAAGTGTACTGTAGAAAAAGGGTGCTTGTTACTTGCAGGGGCTTCGGAGCGGCCGAACTTTTTACCGACGACCGCAAACTTCGTGAAGCTCTCATCAAGTTCAACAGCACCAGCACATCAACGAAAAAGAAATGCCGAAATCATAGCGAATGTCCCTGGGAAGTCGAATTCTAAACCGAGGCAGGGCCGCACTATCTGCAAATCTCGCCTCGACTCCCAGGGAGCCTTTACTCTTCCTTTATCCCCAATGGATCAGAAAATCTTCAACCGCTGCGGAGACAGCTTCTAGTCAGGATGGCAGATTGCCAGTCCGGTCAATTCAGCCAAATGTACCACGGCAGCCTCTTCCATCAAATACTGCGTCTGCGAACGACGATGAAATCTCTTTACAGCTGCGCTTCGACAAACCGAAAGCAGACCCTTCAAACGTGCCAACAAATTCGAACGCTCCAGCGATGACTACGAAAATCAAAGCCAGATTAGAACCCAGAATTGATCACTCCAGGAACTCGGAAGAGGACAGTTCTCGGAACCATGACCCTTCGGTCATCGAACGACAAGTTCGCAGAATCCGGCAGACAGAAGAGAATGCCAAAAGAAATGAACTTGCGGATCGAGGAATACGGAATGCATATCACACTTGGAGAAGAGAAGAATTGAGGTCATGGTTACCCGATTGGCGTATCATTCTTGCCGACTTGATCAAGCATACGCCACAGCAAGGGAAATGGCTGGACGAAGCACTAGAACTTGTTATTCCTCTGGAATCATTACCTCGATTGGTACATGGAATTGATGATTACATTTTGGACATTGGATTTCAGCACGGTGTCTCTATCCGACTGGGGGATCGAGATGAAGATACGCAGCAGTACCGTCGTTTCATTGTTTCTGGACCTGCAACTTCAATCAGTAAAACAACGGCAGACGTTCTACGAATTGCACCAACCACGGAGATGAAAACCACTTCAAAACTGATACCTCAGAAAACAGATGATCTAGCTCTCGAAGCGGCTGCGGAGAAGGAGACTTCTCTCATAACCCAATCAGATGAGCCAGAAGTCAACGTACGATATACTTTATTGGACCTTCGGCCCATGAAACTGAAGGTACTACCCGAGCAGATTCCGAGGCCAAAGACTTGGACTCACGTGTCTTTCCTCGACTATATTCGAGTTTTGACAGCATCAAATATGCCCAATCATCTCAATCGGTTTGGCTTTAGGGCGGTTAAAGATCATAATACTGCCGTGACCGAGATCATACGAAACCTATTCAAAGACCCGGAATGCAAACATGCCATATCAAGAACGGCATGTAATGAAGCTATGCAATACTTTGTCAAGATCAACCGGCTCGAGGATGTTAGAGTGCTTTTTGTTCACATGGAGATGTTGAAATTGGCGATGGTTCCTGAGACTTTCAATATCATGTTGCGAGGTGCTGCGAAAAACGAGGACCTCCATAACTTTCACTTCATATTACATCTTATGTTACGGCGAGGCTTCGCCCCAAATGGCAACACATGGATAGCTTTCATGATGGCCCACCCAGACGTTCGCGTTAAGCTACACATGCTGGCAGCAATGAAAGCTAAGGGACTCACATCTCACCCGTCGATAATGAAGGAAGTATCTCAACAGCTAGTCCAACCCGAAATCAACTCATCCCTTGAGCAGAACCTGAGCCAGGCGCAATTCGTAGCTCACATGGATTCTCGATACGGACCAGACTGGCTCAGCCTTGACAGTGCAAACCGAGCTTTACACTCCCTTGGAGCTCGAGGATTGATATCTCGCTGTTGGGAGTTCCTCAACTTTATGAGCTCACGTTTCATCCAATACGACAACTACTCCATAAACACCATTCTTCACCATTGCAAGCAAGCAACAAATCTCACTGGTGCAGTTGAACTCTTGCGCAGTCTTCCGACCAGAGGAGATTTTGGGTTTGTGCCAGACGAAGAAACATACCGCATCCTGTTCGAACTTGCTTGGCGCTCGAGGAGCTATAACTTGGCAAGAGTGATATGGAGATATGCCTGCCTCTCAGCTGCGACGACTCGCACAATGAGAACGCGTGTTTTCACAAGCATGTTGTATGCGGGTTACAAAGACCTTCAACCCACGCCGAGAGAGAGGTGGAAGCAGTTTGCTGGCCCGGTCATTTTTGGTGCTAACCATCACGACGAGCATCCCACTCATCTCTGGGCTAAGATGAACCCGGAAGAGATTGCTTCAGGATCCGGATCGACTCCCGACAAGATTAATCATGGAGACAAAGATGGCTTCGGTGTGTCTGTAGCAAAGGTCGCAGAAGCTACAAACACGGGAATGGCGAGAGCAGATGCTTCACGACCCGAAGTTGGCCAGCCTGGAGCATCAAGAACCCAAACCACTGAGATAGAAGGCACAATAAGCATATTTGAAGAGGATCAAGATTTGAAGACGATTCCCTTCGACGGCAGCCGCGAGGACGCCCTCTCCCCGGAAACTCAAATTCCCGGCACACAACCTGACACGATTGGGCATTCATCAGCCGAGTCAGCTGAGACGATATTCACGAACATTAAATCCGACAAGGGTTATCTTGAGAACACCTACTTCCACCTTAAGCTCAAGAAGTTCACCCCCATAGGCATTGTCGACCCGGATGAATCCGTAGTCCAGACCAAGATGCAGCTTTGGAAAAAGACAAGGGATGAGCTGAAGCTCAAACTCCTCCAGGATCTCGAGACATATAAAGAGTGGAGGCCTGTTAAGCCATTTTCAGAAATGTTGGTTGAAGCCTTGGAGAGTGATACCCGGTGGAGGGGAAATGGTGACTATGCGGAGATGGATATGCAGTCTTTGATCCGAAAGGTTATTTCGGTTCCGATAGCCATGAAGAAAGGTTATGTTAGTCAGGGAGAGCATGAATGGAAATGAGTCTCTGTTGTATCACAGAGGCTTATGTATAAGATATGGCTTGTAAAACATATGTGGATCGATGATATTTCACGAGGCTCATGAGACTTCGAACACGATTATAGAACAATTCCAGCTAATTGAAGAGGCCAAAACTGCTCTTCTTCATAACGGCCAGTGTGGAAAGGCGCCAATGTACCAACCGTCCCAATATTGACACGAACATTAAGCCATAACAGAAGTTTCTCTTCCAAATTCCCTTGCCGCATCACTCACCCCAAACTCCCCGTTGAATAACCAGTTCCCTTTAATCACCAACCCTATAACTAACTAACGTATCAACCCGATGATTCGTCGTACTAAAACTCCTCAACTGGACCTTCTCCCCATTCTTAATCTCTTTCGCATCACTATCCCCCCACTCCATCGGCACATCACTATCGGCATCCGCATACACCAACACATTGAACGTGCAGTCGCCCTCTAACTGAGGCAGAAAAGTAACTGACGCTGTGATCTGTCGGAAGATGGACTGGATCTCGGCTTGGATCTCTGCATCTGTTTTCTCAGGCGCTGGGGCTGGGGTATCGTTCCTACCTCATATCAGGATTTCATCCATTTCCAACTCTCAGTGGAAATTTGGGGAAGGGGTGATACATACTCAGGCACAGCATTCTCCTTATCTGTCGCCTTCTTCGCACTCGCCTTCTTGCTCGACTTGTTGAATATCTGCACATCAAACTGCCACCTCTCGACATGTTCGCCCGTATCTTTGCTGGTTATGACCACAACCAGCTTCGAGATCTTGCCGTGCACCATCCATTTGTCGAGCTGCGACATGATTTTCTTGATGTAGGCTTTTACTTGGTCGTCAGAGGAGACGAGCATTGTGAGGCCGTATTTCTTGACCGCCGTGAAGTCTTCGGCTGGGTAGACGCCGCGCTGGAATCTGAGATTTAGTTAGCATTTAGTGAAAATTTACCTGAGATTGGAAACATACAGTATTGTGTTTATGGAGTATTGGAACTGTGGATGTTAAGTACCTCGACAGATGTTTTGGTAATTCGAGACTCACGAATTCTGCGATCAGCTTTGCTGAGCCTGCAAGTTGTCAGATTCGTTCAAAATTGCGTGGTAGACCCCATACCTTTCAGCTTCAGCTTATGCAGCTTCGATTTATCTTTCTCTTGATCGTTCGACATTTTGCTTGTGGAGTTGCTCCTCAATCATCATTCATTCGACTGAAGTTCGATGTAGATTTGGACTTTATCCGTTGCTACAGTGACCATCCTCGGCAAGTTCCGCCACTTCGAAGCTTCACCCAAATAATTTTTGACCGAGAACAACGCGAGAACAGCATCACGACAACGTCAAGCAGCCTAATGCAGCGATGTCCATTTCAACTCCTCCGGCTCCCTAGCTCGATACGAACGCAATATGCGTCTCAATTACTTAAGCACACACGCTCATTCAATATATCGATAGCACGATGCGCTCAAGCTCAGAAGCCCGTCACAGAGCTTGAGCGCAGGATTCAGGCCATTCCAATTGAACGATTCCGTAACTTCTGCATAGTGGCACACGTCGACCATGGCAAGAGTACGCTCAGCGATCGATTGCTAGAGCTGACGGGCACGATTGCGCCGGGTGGCAATAAGCAGATCCTCGATAAACTGGACGTTGAACGAGAGAGGGGCATCACTGTCAAGGCGCAGACTTGTAGCATGATATTCAAACATGAGGGAGAAGATTACCTGTTGCATCTAGTGGATACGCCTGGCCATGTTGACTTTAGAGCAGAGGTGTCGAGGTCATATGCTAGTTGTGGGGGAGCACTACTGCTTGTGGATGCGAGTCAAGGCGTGCAGGCGCAGACGGTGGCCAATTTCTACTTGGCCTTCTCTCAAGGGCTGATTCTGGTGCCGATTATCAATAAAGTCGATCTCCCTTCTGCGGATGCGCCGAGGGCGTTGGAGCAGATGCAAACTGCGTTTGAGTTGGAGCCCAGCAATGCGGTCTTGGTGTCTGCGAAGACGGGTCTCAATGTTGAGAAGATATTGCCGAATGTTATTAGGCAGATACCACATCCTGTGGGCGATCATACAAAGCCACTCAGGTTATTACTGGTGGATTCGTGGTATGATAATTACAAGGGAGTAATTTTACTGGTGAGGATATTCGATGGGCAGGTCAAGGCTGGTGACCACGTGGTGTCATTTGCTACAGGTATCAAGTACTTTGTAGGAGAGGTGGGGATCATGTATCCCCATCAGATGCCGCAGACTACTCTTCGGGCTGGCCAGGTTGGGTATATCCATTTCAATCCCGGAATGAAGAAGAGTCAGGAGGCACTGAGTGGAGATACCTTCACCACTGTTGGATCGGAGCATACCGTCGAGCCATATCCTGGATTCGAAGAACCGAAATCTATGGTCTTCGTGTCTGCGTACCCGCTAGACCAGAGTGATCATGGTCATCTCGAAGACTCGATCAACCAGATCGTGTTGAATGACAGAAGTGTAACTCTGCAGAAAGAGTCTTCAGAAGCATTAGGTGCAGGTTGGAGGCTTGGATTTCTAGGCACACTTCACTGCTCTGTTTTCGAAGACCGACTGCGACAAGAACATGGTGCCAGCATTATCATCACACCTCCGACAGTCCCTTTCAAAGTCCTTTGGAAGGATGGCAAGGAAGAAATCCTCCAGAACCCAGCAATGTTCCCAGACACAGATACTCAAGGCCAGAAGGTGGCCCAATTGCAAGAGCCTTACGTCTCAGCAACCATTACCCTCCCAGAAGAATATCTTGGGAAAGTAATCGAGCTTTGCGAAGCCAACCGTGGCGAGCAAAAAGAGCTCAACTTCTTCACCGCCACGCAAGTCATTCTCAAGTACGACCTTCCCCTCTCTCAACTTGTGGACGATTTCTTCGGCAAGTTGAAGGGAGCAACCAAGGGATACGCAAGTCTCGACTACGAAGATGCCGGCTTTCGAGAAAGCAACATCGTCAAGATGCAGCTACTCGTCAACAAAGTTCCCGTCGATGCAGTTGCTCGAGTCGTTCACTCCTCACAAGTTGAACGACTCGGCCGAGTCTGGGTGAAGAAGTTCAAAGAACATGTTGATCGGCAAATGTTCGAGGTCATTATTCAAGCCGCTGCGGGAAAGAGGATCGTGGCTAGAGAGACGATCAAGCCGTTTAGAAAAGATGTGTTGCAGAAACTCCACGCATCTGATATCGGGAGACGGAGGAAACTGCTTGATAAGCAGAAGGAGGGGAGGAAGAAGCTTAAGGCTGTGGGCAATATTGTCATTGAGCACTCTGCTTTCCAGAAGTTTCTGGCTAAGTAGATGGATAACCTATATGTTTATGTTGTAGAATACAACCACTTCTCAAGTTGAGCACTCCATGTGTGTTTCCTACTGAGAAGCAGATGAAAGTCAAATTTCATAGAAAAGATGGTGATAGAGTACACAGGGACTATCATCCGATATCAGGTAATTCGCCTCCTATGAAATAATACTTCAGGTCCCTTGAACAACCTGTATTAAAGCATGGTTCCGCAGCGCTCTGATTGTTCAAAAGACTTATGATCGATGATCTGACGGTCATAGGCAGCCGTAGGTCCAAAATTTATCGTCATTTAAAATTTGCGCTGCTTTGGCTCTCCAGCAGAGGATTGACTAGAATAGAGCAGTGCTTCATTGTTTGCAAAAGAAAATTGTGGTTGTCTAAAACTCCGAATTAGGAAGTTCGAGGTCAGAATGCACCTGCCAAAAGTAGTTTTTGTTCCGGATTGGGGCAGGCATTTGATGGGGACATTGAATATGGCTCTGAGACAACTGAGAAGAGTTGAATTGAAAATGCTCTCGCCACTTAATGGTACGCCCAAATTGCCTTCATATACACCATACGAAATACATATTGAACATCTGAACATATCTAATCACATCACCAGTACAGTATATCAGCATCCACGCATATCTCATGACATCGTCTCCAAGAATCATGGCCCATCCAATCATCCATCGTCTGATCAATTGAACACCTTCTTGGCCGAGGACCACAGGCTCTTTAGTGGTCCATTCGACTTCGACCTCTCCCGCTCCTTCTCCTTCTCTTTCTCCCTCGCAGACCTAGAAGATTGATGATATCTCGGTTGCTCCTTCACCAAATTCCCCTTCGCCCCAGTAACGGAAGTCTCCGGACTATCCTGACCACCTTCAGCCGCCCTTTCCTCCTCTTCTCTCCTCCTCCTTCTTGCTTCACGTCTTTGCCTCCTATCTTCGTCATCTCTCTCCTGTTGTCTCCTCGACGCCTCATCTACCTCGGCCTTAGCACGCTCCACCTGTCTCCTCGTCTCCTCCCTAGCTTTTTTCAATTCCCTCTCTTCTTCTGATCTATGCCTTGCCCTCTCCTCTCTCACCTTCCTACTAGAAGAAGCGCGCTGAGAATGATGGTGCTGAGTTGAAGTGCTGCGCTCCAAATGTTTAGGGCGTTCACCATCCATCGAAAAGCGCGGTCGATCAATGATAGGAACCTTTTTGCTGTCACTCCTCTTAACTTCCTCCTTGACATGTGGTTTCTCCGTGGCAATGAGCTTCGCCTTGACGACACTCTCACCCTTCATATCGAGTAACTTCGGCTTCTTCCCATCGCCATCTCTTGCGCCGCTTGATCTGGAACTACTATGTCGTCTCGTAGATGATATACGTGTTGGGATGGAGGAGGAACCGATCTCCGGAGAAGCATGTTCATCTGCAACTGCCTTGCCAGACTCCGCTGCCTTTAGTCTTGCAGCTGCACGGGCGGCTTTGCGCATTTCATGGGCAGCTTGTTCTTCTGGTGTGCGATCGCTGCGGTGTTTCCTGCTATGAGGACTTGTGCTGCCAGCACTGACACCGCTGTCATGACGAGAAGGTTTCTTTGGTGAGGTTGGAGGAGTAGTTCCAAAGAACATGTTTTTCAACGAGTTCTCGCTTTCTCGACGTCGGCGGTGAAGAGGTGGACGTCCTTCGTCATTGAGTCCTTCTCTACTGGAGAGAGTCCTACTAGAACTCTTCGAGTGCCTGGAAGATCGATGCTTTCGGTGCTTGCTGGGTTCAGGAGATGGAGGCTCCCCTGAGACATCTTCTTCGACGACTTCTTCGAGTCCTTCAGGCTCGCCGACGATCGCTTTGTCACTCTGCTGATTTTCGGGCTCCTCGTGCTGGTCCTTGGATACGAGAAGTGCGGCAGCCACGGCGCCGACTGTTATCTCGGCGATTGGCACATCTTTGCCCTCAGGGGTGGCCTCGCTGGGCTCTTGGCTTTCCGGTGCTGGCGCTGAGACCGCCTCCTCCTTTGGAGCTTCTTGCGCGGGCTGGGGTGATTCTTCAGTGACCAGGGCACTTTCATCTGTATTTTCGGTCTCTAAGACAACCTCCGGTTCGGCCACGTCCTTAGTAGCGTCTGAATCAGGTTGTGGGGTGTTCTCACTCGTAGGGGCATCGGTTTGTTCAGGGACAGGAGTGGGCTCGCAGGGCTCGCTCGTCTCGGGATTCTCTTGCTTCAGTTCTTCAGCGGAGGCAATTGCTTTCTCCTCTGGAATTGAAGCACTGTCCTCAACCTTTTCCTCCTCGTGGCTGGGAGCAGGTTCCTCTGGCCCGTTTTGAGCAGGTTCCACCTCTTTGGACTCGTCGTCCTGTGAGAAATTAGCCAAGATTCCAACGTCTCCTTCTAAGGTTCAGATGTATGGCTGCTTGGACTGGATGCGCAGTTAAGTCATCTTTACATTGTACTTGGCTCAAGCAGGAACAATCATCCGAAGTATGAACCGAAACGCCCCAGCCCCGCTAGCTGAAAAATAACCTGGGATACGGCACTGGGCATTTCTAGGTCCAACCGAACTTTCAGTCGGCAATGTGCCCACTGTAGCTGCCTCCGTCTGGAGAATGATCTTCGGGATTGAACCCAATGTCCGGAAACTGTCCGAATGATCATCTCAAGCACAAAGCCCAATGTACCGGAGACTTTCTGAATATTTATCTCAGGCGCCAAGCTTAATGTCCTAGACACTGTCTGACCAAAGGTCGATTGAAATTTTGCCTGCCAAATCCTAACTTAAGTATTCGAAATAAATAAAAAGGTACGTACCACTTCAGCCGGTGCACCTTCGGGCACTGAGCCTGGACCAACAGCTTCCTCTTCTTCCAGGGCACCAGGTGATTCAACTGGGGCCTCCGGGCTTGAATCTTCCGGCTTATCGTCCAAGATAGGCTCAGAAGCCTGCAAGATAGGTGCGTCCTGCTCGGACTTCGGTTCCTCCTGATCAGCATTTTCGATAACAGCTAATTCAGGCTCGGATTTAGGTTCTTCTGGAGCATTTTCCGTTTCGATTGGAGCACTTTCTTCAGGCTTTGGTGTTGTCCCCTAGTGGAATTAGCCTTGAACGACAAATTTAAGATCCTTTTAAACTTTCATACCTCATGAGATGGAATTTCGTCAGCTATTGCCAGGGTATCATCTGATACTTCCTCTTTGGGCCCTACATCGTCCACAACAGATCCATCGACCTTGGCATTCTCACTCACGGGTTCTGGATCGTTAGAGGTTTCTTCCTCAGCTTTTAGTTCTTCGACCTTTCAGAGAGTCAGTATTGAGGAGCATTGTGTTGAGATATGTGTTGTCTCAAACAAAAGAAGTTCTAAAATACGTACCACTGGAGCTGCAGTTTCCTCGACCTCGGTCGATGGATTTTCGCTCGCTGAAACCTCTGGGGCAGCCTCGACGATTGACTCGGATGACTCCTGCTTCTCTCCCTTTTCCTCCTAAACAAATTAGCATCGGCGCATGAGTGAATTGCAGAAGTTAGGTGTTTCCACGAGCAAGAATATGCAGTGAATGAATCGTTTTGCGGTGGATAGGAAAAGCGGCACCGATTCTCAATGACCCAAGTCGAAGTCGTACATTGAGCGAGTGTCGAAGAGGCACGGATATTATCCTTCAGTGTTTCCGAGATGGTTGAAGAAGGGAACTCTTCATTCTACCGCAAGTAGAGGAACATTCGCAGGGAGTTTTCTAAAATGTTCTAACTTGAATTGGGACATTAAGAACTCGATGCCGCTTTTTTGTCTACCACGAGACCGTCTCGCCAAACTCTGCTTAGAAAAGGGCTTTAACTGAAAACCACGTGCTTACCTCAGAGAGACCATCCGCAGGAGCTGGCTCAATTTCACTCTCAATCTCAGCAGGGGCAGAAGCTAATTCACCGCCGGTGTGCTCTGGATTCTCTTGCAGGGTTGAAACTGGTTCCTCAGCCTGGATTTCCTCCTGCTCTTTCGCATCCGTTTCGGCGATCGCTGGTTCAGAATCTTGAATTTCGACCGCAGTATTATCTTGAGGGGCAGGCTCGGCGATGACAGGTTCAGAAACCGCTAGTACTTCCTCGATAGGCTTGTTTGCAGGCTCAATCACGCTGGCGTGCTCTTCTGGTGCAGACTCAGTTTCGATTGCTGCACTCTCGCTCTGAGGCACGGTTTCCTCGACAAATTCGACTGGTCCCTCGCTCTCACTAGCAGGTTTGACACTCTCAGCACTCGCATCGGCATTTTCTTCAACCTCTGGATATTCTGGTAATTCTTTGGGCTCGTCGTTTTGCGGCTGTTCGTCCAAGGGCTTGCTGTCCTCTGCCAAGTCGCTGCCCTCTGCCTTCTCCTCGAAGTCCGCGCTAGCGGGCAAAGCAGCATCACTTGGTTTCTCGGACTTCTCTTCTGGAACTAGGGAATGTTCGTCCGCTTGACTCTCTTCTTTTTGGGATTCTTGTTTATCGATAACGTCTTCCTTCGCCTCTTCAGCCAATGGCTGCTCAGAATCGGCGGCGGGCGCCTCGACATCTTCGCCGGCAGCGCTGGTCTCATTTTCCGCATTTTTGACTCCTTCGACATTATCTGAAGATGGGACAATGGGTTGCGGACCCTCGCTGGGAATACTGGGTTCAGGTTCCGTGCTCTTTTCTGCCTGTCCGAGTTCAATCTCATCGCCTTTGACGCTGGGAGTACTGGGCTCAGGGTCCATGCTCTTTTTCTCCTGTTCGGCTTCAACATCATCGTCCTTGGTCTCAGACTCCACTGCTGCCTCTGGAATTTCAGGACTTGATGCTTCGGCTTTCGGGTCGTCACAAGCTTCCCCGGTCTCCGCAGGAGCGCCGTCGCTAGCCAATTCTTCGACCTTTTCCTCTGGTGGCTCACTCGGAGCAGGCTCTGGTTCTGTGATGATTGCCTGAGCGGGCTCAGTCCGTTCATTCTCAACGATTTGCTCCTCCTCGCTTGCGGATGGTGCTGATTCCTCACTATCCTCTTCAGCAGTGACGTTTTCACCAGCATCTGCTTCTGGAATGGGCTCCTCCTGTGTCACGTCCTCGCTGACAGGGCTTTCGGTGGGTTTCTCAGGCTCTTGAGCTTCTGGTTCCTTACTTTCATGAGTAGACTCTGGATTTTTGAGCGTGTCCTCAACGTCATCGTTCGTAGAAGTCTCAGTACTGTTCTCGTCATTCTTGACCGGAGCTGGCTCGCTGCTAGCTGGGACTTCCGGCACCAGCTCCTCGTGGTTATCTTTTGATTCGAGGACTGCGGCTACAATCGTTCCAGCGGCAACGACAGCAGCTATTTCGGCGGCAGACTGCTCGGAGCTACCGTCGCTTGGTGGGGATGGAGTGCTTTCCTCGCCAGCATCTGGTGCTTGGGTTTCTGTGCTCTGACTCGTTTCCTCTGCTTTCTCTGCTCCTGGGACTTCAAGGATGTCCTTGCTAATCTCCGTATCGCCAGAAGCCGGGGCCTCAACAACACCCTGGCTGTCTGAACCATTGGTAGGAACTAGGGGTTCCGTGCTTTCCTTGATCTCCTCGACATTTTCAGCAACTGCTGGTGGTAAAGGCGTCTCACTCTCCACGGAAGGCTCTGGAATTGGTATGGAGGCAGAAGACTCGATCTTGGTAGGCTGATCACTGGTTTCACTATCTTCAGGCTCTTTTTCGGCCGCGGCAGGAGCAGGAATCTCCTCCATCTTCTGCTCAATAACCTCAACAGGTGCAGGAAGTGCCACCTCTTCGGCCACAGGCTCAGGAGCGGGTGTGGGACCACTCGTCTCAGCAGGTTCATTTTGTTGTTCGACATCACCAGAAGGAGCCTCGTTCGGTTCCATTGTTTTTGGCGTTGGAACGGTCGCTGAAGAGGCCGGGCTTTCGTTGACTAAATTCTCACTCCCCTCCTCTTTCTGTAGTCTTAGGGCAGGATCGGAGGGCGCAGTCTCCGCAGTAGGCTCCGAACTTGGCTCGCCCTCGCTGGCACCGTCATCTAATGAATCTGGCTGCGGCTCAGGTGATGGGTCTGTGGTTCCGAGAGGAGGAACAACATCAGACGTCCCAGGAAGGATCGGCGCAACAACCGCTTTCGACTTTCCCTTGTCTTTTCCTTTCCCACCCTTTTCGCTTTTTTTCTGCTTTTTGCTGGAGGTCTTGCTAGCCTTCTCTGGTTTTGGCCCTTTCTCGGCTTCAGCTAGGGCTTCGCGTTTCTCATTCTTTTCTGATTCCACAAGCGGTGGTCCTGGTGCCCTTTCCTTGCTCTTCTTTTCTACTCTTTTTTCGGGTTTCTTCTCGGTCTTCTTCTCTTTTTTTGTTTCCTTCTTCTTGGACTTCTTGTCTTGTTTCTCTGTGGATTTCGGAGCTTCTCCAGGAGGCCCTGGCGCTGGTGGCAATGTATCGTCTGAGAAGTGTACCGAGGCAGGACTGGATGTCCGTCGAGTTGGACGCAATATTCCTCTGGGAGAACCAGGAGTGAGTGGTGGTGGTGGTGGGTTGGCCTGTAGAAATCAGTTCAATGTTCCACGCCAATGCAGGCAGTCGAAGTCGAATGGCTTTTCCCCTACAAATTCTTTATACGTAGCCATATATAGGAATTTGGGAGACGATCGAATGAGATAAACTCACTTCACCCTCGGAACTTTTTGGTGGAGCATCACTCTCCCCTGCTTCGGGTTTTTCACCTTCCTCCACTATTTCACCCGCATCCTTTGTATCATCGTTCGGCGTAACACCTTCGGGTGCGGATGGTGTCGTTGCAACGCTTGAACTACCTTCCCCGCCATTATCATCCTCAACCGATTCGTTTTCGACGCTGCCGTTTTCTGAACCCTCTTCAGAATCATCTGTCATAGGTGTCAGCGTCGCAGAGCTAGTTGGGCGTCTTACTCACCAAATACTTGATGTTGTAACGCCATGTTGTATGCGGCTTCAGGACTACCACAAACCACAGGTTTTCTGTACTGGACCGTCTGAATAGGGCCCCACGTATTTCTCTGTTTCTCGTACCGGGTAGTTGAGATTCCCCTTCCAAGGGGTGTGGTTTGTACGGTCTCCCAGCTGCTTACTTGCTTCTCGTACGTTGTGGTCTGAACAGGTCCCCAGCCAGGGGATGGTGGTTTCTCGAATTCGGTCGTCTGAACATTCGGCCAATCATGGTTAATCTGTTGCCTGCTTTTGGGACGGTGTGAAGTGTTTTCCATACTTATGAGTGTACCTCTTGTAGAGATACAGGAGCAGGAACTTCGACAAGACTGAATTGGCTACAGCCCCTTCTTATCCTCTCCCCATGTTAGTGAGGTGGTGGAGATCAGGTTTCCTCGGCAATATGCGGGTACCCAACGTCAGGTACGATATTTTGGTGAAAACAACACCGAACAAAATCCCGACACGGATGATGCTTGTAAATGAAAGGGGGATGAGAGATGACGTCCGTTAAAGCAGGAACAGAGGACCTGCCTATGGAAAAGATGGCAGTGAAACAATTAAGTAGAGAATATTCTCTCATTGGGAATGGCCGAGAAAAGCCTCAAGGAAAGATTCGACACATTTCCACCCACGTCCTGATTGTCCCGCGGGGGCAACCCCACGACACTGTTACTCGACGTCCGAGTGATCAATATTGGGCTGACTATCAATTGGAGAATTATGATGTACTGGCGCCACGTCGTGCTCACTGGTCTTCGAAATGCTCCCATGCTGAGGATACCCGCGATATCGCACTGGCACTGCGGCCCAACTATGCAGGCCACTACGCAACGGGTTAATGGCTGCGGCAAACTCTCGAGTCTCGCTGGCCGATATGCAGAAAATGTTTTGAGGTTCGTTAGGCCATGGGTTGTGCATCGTGCTAGAGGCTCGTTGGCTGGATATTGCTGATATCATTCCCTACTGGTTCCTGAGTGTGGAGGGAGCACCCGTCCCGTCGAGCTGCCTGCATGGACAGTGGTGCTACGTGGTTCGCCTTGTCCGCCTTGTTGGCTATCCCTGCAAGATCGGGTTTGAACGCTGGATTCCGTACGTTGCCGGGTGGTACCGTAGGTTGCATCACGAAAAGAATGTTCTCTCCAGCCGACACCAGGATGGGCATGAAGGTTGGGTGAGAGAGGTGACAATCAGATGTCGATGTGTTGGCATCTCGAAATGTTCCGAGATGGTTCAGGGTTGGGTAAGCGAGGCCTCGTGACCGGAGGACCTTCACATGATCTCAGCCTGCACAGGGAGGTAGGGTTCTCTTTCCATTTGCGAGTTTGTAAGCCTTCTGTTCGAATTGCCACAACCACGACCACCATGTGGAGATATGTTTCACAAATATGGAACATGACCAAGGAGCCAAACGGATAGCTGCCTTTCTTAGCATGGTCTGATTGGCGGTGAGGTTCACTTGATACAGTTCTGCGAGGACTCAAGCTCGTTCATGATGGGGCTGGAACAATGACTAGAGTCGGTGTAGAAAGAGGTGTTCAGTATCTGAAAGATGTGCAGCAGATCCCAACGCCGGCTCGAAAATGGATCAGGAATCTTGATAACGCAGTATAATTCCAAGTAGCCAGAACTCCTTCAGCACAATGCAGGTCCCAGGTACGAGAGTTCTCTTAGTGTATCAAAAAAAGCGGTGACCAGAATAGCGTCACAATCACATCGCCATCTCAGCCTGCAGCTTCCGGAGCTCTTCCTCTTCGTCTTCCTCCTCGGCATGAGCCTTTCCCTTGACTAGTGACACGTTAGAAAGAGATGGCAATGGATGGCCTGGTGAAACTTACGCTCGCCGTTCGCAGCCGCAGGTAGTCTGTGTATTTCGTCTGACACAGGAACAGTACCAGTCTTCAACATCTTGTTATCAAGTTGCTCCTGCTCAAGTTCTGCCAACTCATCATCCAACTCAGTCTCGTCGATAGGCCCACCGATAGGTGCACTCGTAATAGCTTGGGCAATCTCCTCGCCCAAGGCATGTTGTTCTCGGAGTTTATCCCTGAAAATATACTGTCAGCGCTACCCATTCGGCGACTCGATGAACCAGAAACAGAACATACATCGTCTCGTCGACCTTATCGATATTGAGTTTGCCATGAATCTGTTTCATAGCCTCTCCCGCCCGCTCCATTGCCGCCAGAGTTTCTCTGTTGATATTCGCCGCTTCGATGGAGTATATTTGTTGCTCTAACGTCGCTATTTGTGCGGATGTTTGCTCGAGGGTGTGCTCGTGCTGCTTTTTCCGTTTGAGAGCGGCTCTCGCGGCTATTTCAGACGGTCAGCTATTTGTCTTCACATATTGTATATGCGTGAACTCAAGAGCCACAAAAAGTAGATAGGTAGGGTCATGGTTGGAATCCCGAAGACTTGACGCCACATACCATTCTTGTTTGTACTGACATTCTTCCTTGCAATCGCATCTTGCTCATCCATCTGGTTCTGTAAATGTCGCTCCCGTTTCTGCAGCATTTCAAGCTGTGCTCTTAATCCGAGGATGGCATTCTTGGGGCTATCTTTCCGTGACTGAGCACTCTGCCCCCCAAACCAGCCCCATACTCCAGACATCTTGTATTATGTGCTTCTGGCCCGATAGATTCGATATCGACGGACCGTCGAGCCCTGAGCCGTACTCAAGATTGTCCAAGAAGCTCTCGGTATACCAGGGAGGTTGTTGTCAGACGCCCTGGTCGAAACTAGCTATCGGAAGGCTGGCGATGGTGGGGTTCCTTTATCGCCGGAGGAAGAGCGTTTGAAGAGGGTATCCGAAGAGGTCGCTGGGAGGGAAGAGTGTATATGTCGGATTTCGGTGATCGCGAGTATCTCAGGATTTTATGCGACGTAAGTTGTTAGTATGCTTTGTCGCTGCCTTGTGTCCGTGAATGAATGTCGTGCGTTCAGTTCCTAAAGGTATGACGCGCGCTAGTCCCCGTTTTTAGCTTAGCGCAGAAGTTTCTGATCACGTGTTGGTTACTGGTAAGATAATCTCAAGACAAGACCAATCCTCTTCCAGCCTTCTCACAACATCCTAATAGATCCATACTACCAGCTTCAGGCCCAGGGCTACGATTTTGGCAGCCGGAATGCAGAATGGTCCTGTCCCAACGACCTTAACGCTGCTGGCGGACCTGCCGAAATTTCCTCCCGGCTCGAAGGTCAGATTTCTTGGATGGTAAGCAATATCTTTTTATACTGCTGAGTTGCTTCATGTATCTCCGCAAAGAACGATTCAGAGCTAGAGTTCTCAGTATTTATGGGTTTCGTTTTCAGAATTTGTCCTAATTTTGCAAAAATACTTCCGCCTCAGGTGAGGCACTTCACGCACCTCGTGGCATGTCCCTCTGTCTCCAACGTATGCTAAGTTTAGATAGTGTCACAAACTACTCCATCAAAACAGCACTTCTGACGCTGGAGCACAACCATCCTTCTGGAAACTCGTTCAAGGCGTTAGTCGATGTCAATCTTCTCCTCAATACACTGAAGTCGGAAGAAACTCGGATTGGAACCTGGGTGAACGTCATAGGTTACATCGAACGCAAGACGCAAAATGTTTCAACCACCGATGAAGGGGAGCTCCGAATACAGGCACTGGTTCTATGGTCGTCAGGCCCTTTCAATCTCGACAGGTATGAAAGGAGTCTAGATCGGAAGACTGCCGAAGCAGTTCCTGATGTTGGCGGATAATTGTTGAGGTCTACGACTCCTCCCTTTTCCCTCAAACCACAGCAGATCCGACAGGAGTTGAAGGTGAGTTTGGATTCTTTCACCTGTATTGGACTTATGTCTGATTACCGATTTAAAACAGCAAATTCTTGCCTGACATATGACCTGGATGGTTCTAGCGAAAATTTGACAACCAGGGCAAACGAGAGTCCTAGAAAAACCTGAACAGAGCTCTACTTGCAACTATTCAGCTTTGAAGCAATGACTTCGCTGAAGCTATTTGATCAAATGGCGTCTCCGGATCGTTGTCGATCGTCCGACATGGTTCTTGACAAGCCGGCAAGGGCCAGCTCTAATATCTGACTCGGCACGTTGTGTGAAATTCGCAGATCGGTGGGGCCACTCCCTACGCTTTGTGATGGTGCCTTCTTTACCTCGATTGGGTTGTGGAGGTTCACAAACTGCGAAGCCCGAAAGGTGTGGAACCAGGAGAATGATATTTGCTGAGAACGTCCGGTTGATGTTGAAATATATGTCCTGGGCAACGGCAAGTAAGCCCAACCTGATAGCGAAACCCATTGTCACCGAATGGTACTCGATCATTCTAGCAGAAGCTCGGCCCCGACTCTTGGGACTCCGATTGGCCAAGTCGCTGGGAACAGTTCTGCAAAGGGAACGGATGTTTTTACATCCTTTTTGAGCAAGTTATTGAGATTCAATCCAATTGGCAAGCCTCCAACAAAGAGAAGCCGAATCTGCAATCATCCAGGAGGTAAAGCAGGCAGCACAAGCTATGGCTATAATCATGAAGAAGTCGATAATCGAAATCTCGTTTCACCCCACTCCAGAATTTACCCACTAGAGTATATCACGACTAATTGGTGTGTTCATTACCTATCACTAACTTGCGTTGATGTCCCCGCCCGAACCCCCATCGAATCTGCCTCTGCCAATCAATTAAATTTTAATTGCAAGGTGATCGTCGTAATGACATTCTCACTCCCCTTGTTTGCTTTTAGTCATCCGACATACTCACGGAATAACTATAATACCGTGGCGTGATCTATTTTGGTTTATGCAGGAGGACCGATCTGCCTCACCCCACGCCCGCGTGCCCGAAACATCGTGAGGCAACTTCACATCGTTGGCAGAGCCGCAGGAACGTCGCAATCCTCAACAACAGCCCTACGGATGACTGGGATTCCCTGCCGCCACGATGGAATGTCATGTCCTTCGCAAGGCTCTATCACGCAGTTCAGCTTGCTGCCTGGAGAAGTTTGCCAGCTGAAGATGAGGCAAAACCACATGCTTTTGCGCACGAGGCTCCGTGTTGTCTACCGAATTGGGCGCGGCGTCGAGCCTCACGATTCTATGAGATACCGATCGATCACGTCATGAGAGCCGCAAATTACAGATTTCGATGAAATTTCATGTAGTACATTGAGTTTCAACAAAGTTTGGGTTGAATCAAAAGCTGCGTTATAAACAAAACGCAGAAGTCGATCCGCACGATGCAAAACTCTAAAACTCGAAGCGATGATTCCTCCCCAATATGTCTTTCTGTCCTCTTCCTGCGTCAATTTAACCCTCCTATGTGCAATGGTGATGCACAAAAGTATAAGAGGCAAGACGCCAAACTCCAAGTCCATTTCAATCTGAGGCCAAGTTGGCCAATCATCCTTCACCACCTGTCTCTTGGGTCGTACCTACGCTCATCTGAACGCCGACGACTTGACCCTTCGCCTCGATCTCGCTCGTCAGAGTGGCGACGATGGTGTCTCGATGATGAATCGGTGCTTTTCGAACCTCGAGATACAACGATAGGCTTATGAAGTGGTCGCTTTAGTTGCTTGTCTGATTCCTTCTTCGAACGTGCTGCAGCTTGCTTCTCCCAGACTTCTCTCGACTTCAAACAGATGTCGTTGATCTGCTCCTGTACATACAGTCAACATAACTGTTGGGTAGAATGAAGCTCAAGTAGTACTTACATCTGTGAGACATTGTCCTGGCGTCGTAATGAGGAAGCCATCTTCTCCCTTGAAGTCAAGTTAGCGTGGTTATTAAGCAGGGGAATCCAGGTCACTTACGTCTCGTGTGTATGGACGCACGGTAGCTTCCGGGCCCAGATAGTACTGGATCTCCTGTGTGATAACCTTCTTGTTGATATCCCAGTTTGGGATCCAGTACGAGATTTTCTCCACAGAAGCCATGGTACAAACGTATTTTGATGAATTAATGCTGAAGAGACATACGACTATGAAAAGAGAAACTTGAAACTAAAGAGTGGTTCCGATAAAAGCTTTGGGTCCGGAGAACTTATGGAAGGCTGATGATTTATATGATTATCGAATTCGTTGAGCGGCGAAGCCGCCCACTGAGATCCGAGACAGGGTGAACGGTGCCGCTCTTCCCTGTCTGAGTGTAGGGTCTTGAGACCGCGCATTGCAGGAACGCGACGTGGGCACATCTCGGCCCGCATATTAGGATCTCGTATGTGGCGGCGTATGCCTTTGCATCAGAATTTGAGCTCGCCCTGGCGAGGCGAGCGGGTCCGACGCCACTATTGGTTCTCGCTTTCTCACCGGCAACACTGGTTGAACAAGCTGCCAATGGAAGGTCATGATGACCTCCTCAATCAACGAACACCTGTACCTGATCAGATTCGTACTCACATTGCAGATAGCCAGCAAGTTAAATATCAACTGTGCTGCAATCAGGTCGCTGTCATGAGAACTGCTTGAACTACGGACTAAGCGAGCAAGACAGACAGGACGAAGCACAATAGACTGAAAACATCAGGAGCCCAACTCAAAGCAATCGGTAAATCCTTTCGATGACAGTTATTCTCATTATCTCACTGCAGCCTCGCCCTGCCAAACCGGGCTGCCCCTCACTGGCGCATCGGGTCAGGAGGCTTATATCTCCGCTCGTTATCATTGTTTCTATCAGGGATCTTTCGTGAAGAGAGCTTATAAGCCAGAGAGTTTCGTCGATCTTCTCCCTTTGGTCCATTCCTATCTCCTGCTAAATTGATGATCATCTCCTATCACGATCAACTCTTCCAGGAACCAGGTTTTGGGACGAGAACCATAGACTATTAGCGAATGCAAGGCCTCCAATCACCTCAAAGCCTTATTCACATCAGCTCCTGGTCTCATCAGCAACACTTCTTCATATATATAAAGTTTTCCCGGATATCTTCTTCCACTGTTCCCCTCTTCACCAGATCGGCATTTCCGCAAAGAACATCCTGGGTCTATTCTCTACTCCTTCCCACCCTAAAATGGTAGGATCAACACCAACGCTACATTGCACAACTACCGACTACGTTTCAATGATTAATGAACCCCGGCCTAGTACGCCATGGAACTCATCTGCAAGTCCTCTATCCCTGGTTTCCAACACTACTCCTCGCCGACCAGCCCTCGTCCCCCAGAAGACGAGAGGACCAGAGGACACAAACATCCACCAGCTTCATTTCCACAAAGCACCCCACAGCGCTAGAAGACAGAGTTTGCTTGCCTGCGCGGAAGGAAAAGATTGATATCCCTCACAGGGCTTGCTAACATGCCTGATTCAGCTACTCCCCTGGACCAAGGAGATGCCAACCCCACTGCAAGGATTCCCAAACACGAACAAGGAAAGAAACTCTTGAGAAGCTTGAAAGAATGGGTCATTTCATGGCCAAATCTGTGGGGTCTCGCCGCCGTCCTCTGTCGAAAAATTCTCTTAGCACCTGGACAAAGGGAGTTGGTGGCTGTCCACGTGATATTATTTGAGGGATTAAACCTAAGGGGTACACCGACACACAAGGCTGAGACGCCACGGAAGTTTCGGGAATGTTTGAAACTTTTCACATCATCAACTAGCGTCAGATTGCAAAGCCTCGCAGAATTCGGGCGTTGATGGCGGTCGCTTGACAGAAATTTCGGCCTCGGGCTAGAAGATCACCCTATTTCAGTTACGACGCGACGAAAAGGGGGTCTGATAAGTTCCGACGTTCCAAGGCAAGGCATCTCGATCATTTTCGGACGTCCGAACATCTACTGGAGTCTGGGAATCTTTTAGTCACCGGTGACCTTCAGGATGCAAGAGGAAGAGGTTTATTGTGCCCTGTACTACCGTAGGCCAAGCGCTGTGATCCGTCTCATTCGCATGACTGTGTTCCGACACTGACGAGTACACCGAAGCTGGGCGAGAATTTGGTGGTAAGATGACATCCTGGATCCTGATACGAAGTGATACAATCTCCGTTCAGAGACGCCAGAGCTGAGGGGTCGACTTGAGCTTCCCATTCAAGGACACAAGAACGACGGCTTGCCGTTTTGTCCGTCACAATCTCTCGGATCCTGGCAGCAAAGCAATATATCTTCGCCCTGCTCTGCTGGAGCTGGATTGTTGTACGTCGAAACTGGAAATTGGAGGTCCGGCGGAGGCGTTCGTAATTTAACACGGATCCGAAAAACTTGCGCCGCATCCTTTGCGCCCGACTCATATGGCGATGCGAGGGACGACCTCGTATCCCCTCAGGACATTCAGACCGCAGACTTTTCAGAAGACAGAACTTTGTCGCCATACTATATCGAAATTCTCGTTAATACGAGATTGTAGCCTTTCGGTCGGCGAAGGATATAGGCAAGTGAACCTTCAATTGACACCCAAAGCCCGCTTCTGAACAGCTTCTTCTCTGACTGATGACTCGGTGGCTTGCCTTTACGCATTAGACGCGAGTCTTCAACCCAAAGCTTGCAGCACGCTGCAGACGACTTGTCTGCCACCTCGACACCAACACGACTTCATAACATCCATGAACCAACGATACAACGAAACTCCCAACTTCACGAAACTGACACTCACGCATACGGTCACAGAACAAAAGAGCCACCCTTGGCAGACAGGTATGCAGCACTCGAGCATGAACCATCAAGCATATTTCCCAAGAGAGCACGCCGATGAGATCACGTAAAGGAAGTAGGACCAAGTCCCATTAGTTAAAAGAGTGTATTACAGCACCTATATCTCTGCCACAAATATATCTACCTATGCGATAACACTCTGTACGCGGCACAAAAGAAGCAGCACACGAGCCTGGATATCTGTGAACGCCGTCCAAGCAGAGAAAAATGCATTAAGCCGCCCCAAATGCGCCATTCCATACCATGCTCCCCGACAGAAAGCCCAGAACCTCGTGTCGCGTATGCCTATCAGACACTTTTGTATCCACCCATTGCCATCTCATTCCATCCCATACATTTTCAGTTCGCTCCGTCAGGTTTTCAGCTGAGGCGGACCAGCAGTTGACAGCTTCTTGAATTCTCGCATGTCATCTGCATCATCGAGAGGCCGCTTCTGGCCAGCAAGCTGAGCGGGCTCTTTCGGAGACTGTTTTGGTGTGCTGGCTCCATTAGGGGATCCCTGTGCGGCTGCAGGTGCAGGTGAGGCGGAAGAACCACTTAGCCGGCTGGGTGCATTAACAGGACCTCCAGAATTGGTGTGCGCCATTCCATGGGTCGTCATTGGCGGTCGAGGGACGGAAGAACCGTTGGGACGACTCTGGCTCTGTCCCGTGAAGGATGGCCGCATGACTGTAGGCTTCTCGCCAGTAGCTTTGACAGACGGCTGAGAAGAACTTTCTTGTATTGCCTTCTGATTTGCGTGACTTTGAGGCGCCAGTGAACGATGGTCGTTCGGTTGGTCAGCCGTCGACGGGAAATCAGAGCCAGCTATGCTGCTGAGAATTTTTTGCAGTGTGCTCATGAGGACACCTTCATGTGGATCGCCAGGGACAGTGCTTTCGGTAGCGAATCCCAGAACTCGGTTCACCGCCGAGTTGACAAGCTCCTCCGCGTTGGCATTAGTCTCCTTCATCTGAGTCAATAACATCGATTTGAATGTGTCAACGGCTCGCATAACGACGTCATTGTATTTCGGAGGTTCAGGAGGGCTTGGAACGGGTGGCTGCTGTGCTCTTTGCTCCTGCGGAGCCTGGACTGGAGGCAGCGGCTGGAGCGATTGTGTCGCTTGAGGGGTGGGCTGCTGTTGCGCTTGCGCTTGCGGCTGTTGAGCTTGCTCAGCTTGTTGCGGTAGTTGCGGTAGTTGCGGTTGCGGAATGGGCAAGGACTGCTGAATTGGTTCAGGTTTCACTGTCGACGGCTGAGGTGGAGCGTGAGGCTCCTCCTCGACAGGTCCACGTTGATCGTTGGGCTGAGGTTCGCTTGGTGGAGGTGGTTTCGGTGCGTATGGAGAGCTGTAAAGTTGAGGATTGTTAGGCGCATTTAATTGAGCCGGTATCGCAGGTGGGAAACCTGGATGCGGAATGCCGTTGAGGGGCGGATGAACGCCTTGTGGAGGCACAGGTCCATTCATGTGCATTTGCGGCCCCATCTGCGCAGGTGGCTGACCATGTTGGATGAGGTGAGGCTGCATCGGATGATATCCGGGTGCCGGGGGTCCCATCATTCCAGTGCCGTACGGATATCCCTGCATCTGATGCGGGTAGATTTGTTGCATTTGGCCAGGATGAAGCGGGGGTGGAGGACTAGGCCTTCTCTTCTTCTCTTTCTCAATGGAGACGCCCTCGACAATGGCCCACATCCATCCTTTTCCATCCCGTTCTACTTTTGTGAACGCGTGGTGCTGCGACAAATTGTGGCGCACACTACTTTGCCATCCATTTGTACCGCATTTGAGGACAAAGTAAGGATACTTTCTTTGGATAGCTCTGTATATCTGAGGCAGGGACATTTGTCCAGTCGCTGAGTTTGACAAAGCTTCGTGGATGAGGGTCACGTAATTGGCGTTAGGTTTGGCAAGCTGCTCCGGAGTGAGATCTTCTTCTCTATATACCGGCGATGGCGAACGAGGTGGTTTGGGTGGCTTCTTGTCCTTCTTCTCTTTCGCTTGATCTTCGGATCCTTCTGGCTTGGCTTCTCCATCCTTCGGTTCTTTCGGTTTCCTCTTGGTGTACTTTCTCTTCTCTCTGGGCTCAGGAGGTTCCTCTGGACGAGGGTGTTTTCGAGGCCGACCGACCTTGTTTTTGACTGGTGCGGGTGCTCCAGACGCTGGAGGCACCGTCTTCTTCGCGGGCTTTTGTTGGGGCTGGCTTTGGGCTGCTAACTCCGCCGCCTTCTTGGCCTCCCTTTGCTCCCGTTTTGACATGAAGCCGTTTTTGGGGGGTCGACCAGGGCCACGTTTTCTCTCCGGCTTGAGGCTCAGTTGATGTTGGTCGGCTTTCGTTTCGACATCTTCCTCGTTTCCGAAACCCTGTGGTGATCGCCCAATATGCTCTACTTCCTCCTCCTCGCCATCCTCGTCGTCGCCTTCTTCATCACCATCCTCTTGGCCATCACTTCCTTCCTCCTCTCCCTCTTCATCTTCACCATCTTCCCCTTCCTCACCACGTCCACCAACAGCTTCCGACTCCTCGTCGCTCGTGTCTCGTAAATTCCCATTCCCATGGGCGTCTTCGAATTCGTAGCTCATTTGCTTGCCACCCCGCTGGTAAGGTTCATCCTCTCCATCCTCACGTTGGGCCATATCGTCCCCCCCGGTCTCCCCAAGCGCAACATCTGGTAGGACGAATCTTGCAGTAACGCCGCCGATCTGTAGTTCGTTACCGCTATGCAAAGGGATGACAGCCTGGCAAGGCCGAAAGTCGCCGTCAACGAATCCTCCATTTCTCCCTAGGAAGTGAGCCTCCCAAACATGCTTCTTCTGATTGAATTTTATCTTGACATGCCTTCGAGAGATATTCTTGTAGAGGGAAGCTGGCGCATCGGCTGGAGGATGAATCCCAATGACAGGGCATTCGTAGGGGGATGGCCGAAAGCTCTCTGGATCGAGTGGTGCGGCATCGCCTATGCCTGGTGCGGAACGTCTGACTTGTGGTTGAGGTTGGTAGACATGCTCATTTGCTGGCGGGGCCCCAGAGTTTCTCCTCGACTGGTGATGAGATGACGACCCGGTTGACTTAGATCTCTTGCTGGCTTTGCTTGCTTTGCTAGCCTTCTTCAGTCTGCGTCTCTGAGCTCTCTCTTCACCATCAGAATCATTTCCGTCCCGCAGGATTCCACCGCTCTCGCTGACGATCGACTTGGCTTGCCGGCTCTCGTGATATCTTCGAGAAGGCGTCTTCGGGGTTGCACCCTCCTCTTGTATTCGTTTCTCCTCTTCTTCTCGGCGGACAGCAGCACGATGAGCTGCTAGATCGCGACCTAAGATAATGGAATAAGTACTTATGTAGAAGTCTCCATCTTCGAACTCTAGTTTGGCAAAAGCCGAGACGCGGTGCTGCGGGAGCTCGTGTATATTTGGTGAAGGGTCCAAGTAGGGCTGCTGTGCAATCATAAGAGCACCCATATCAGATTGCATCGCTGGAAGTCCATCCATCATCGGGGGAAATGAGGCAGTGTAGGGATCAAAGAACTGGTAGTGATGTGTATTGCTTGTGAGACCCGCCAGAATGTCTAAAGCACCTCCAGCAAACGGTTCTACCAGTCCAGCGTTTGGCAGACCTCCCATCATGTCCTGAGGGTAGTGATTTGCAAACTGAGGGGCCATGTCCTGTCCTGCGCCATTTGAACCAGCCATCCCATCTTCTGGCACACTAGGTATCTCCGGCATTTGTTCATTCGACAAGTGTTGCTTGATTGCAACATCTTCTTCGACATCGTTCTGCGCAACGTTTTCTGTAGGTTGCTGGGGTTCCAGCTCGCTGATCGCGATCTCGGCCTGGGGCTCAGTGGCGGTGAGGTTGTCCTCGATTGAAGCTGTTGCCAATACGGGCGCGAAAACATCGCTCTTGCCTTCCTGCGGTGAAGTCATCGCTGTCGCTTGGTATAGTGACAGCTCCTCCACCGGCGTGTCGGTTCCCATCGAGAAATTGATCGTGATGTTGGCTGGGTTCTGCTTGGAGATTGCGACAGCTTTTCGTGCAGCGGCGATAGATAGTGTCACGTGATGATCGTCAAGAAGCCTGCTCAGGTAGCGTATTTGAGTCAAAAGTAGTCGAAGGCTTGCCTTAAATGACTTCAAAAGGAATGATAACTACGAAGTACGCATACTACCTTTAGGCTATCCAACCGCTGCTCATAGGTTCTCGAATGCTGGACCCGAACTGCTTTTGGGCCGAGAACTGTCCATGATTCCATCACATTTTGAGCGGACTTAAAACAAGTTAGGGCCAGTTGGGCAATGAAGCCAAGACCTGCTCAAAGGGGATAGATTACCCGCTCCTTTAAATGAGCTTGATGGCGATTGTCGTCCCCGCAGTTTCAAGTTCTTCCATTCGAATTTGCATAGATATTTTGAGCCGATGGCTTCAAAGAAAGCAGGAAAACGCTCAGCTGGCTCTTCAGTAGGCAAGTACTTATCTTTTGCTCACAGGAAACTGAAAGATTTTCCAAGTCCGCGTTATCTCTGAATGTATGGGACCGAACGCCGCATTTGGCGTTTTCTCAAGCTTTACGTCACTCCCACGATTCAGAGTGCTAGTGTAGTGAACTACCGCTGAAATACTCTGTCTCCCCATGGTTTCTTTTTCTTGGAACCAAACGCTGAAGACGCTCATCAAAATTACCCCGTTTTTGGTGCTATTTTGGTCCCAACATGTCCGGCCTACCTATTCCTTGGATCTGCTTCCAGTGCGGGTAAGTTATGATCTCTTGCACTATCATATCCTACATCACATGTCCTTCGAGCTGTTCACTCCCAAGAATTTACTGTCTTTGGAGTAAGCAGCTCCCAAGATATTGCTTCGACTGCTGGTACTACCATTTGTTACGATACTGAGCCAAATTCTGCGTGTCAGAACGGACAACCCTTGTCATTGCAAAGTCGTAGGCCCTACCATTGCCTTCGGAGTTACGATTGTTTTGGCGGTATGTCATTCCTACCAATCTCTTGGAAGAATGTTTATGCTAATTTGAGTAGGTGATTTGCTGGCCTGCTTCACTCTTTTGCGGCTGCTGCGCCACAGAACGAGGAAAGAAGTAAGTCCTTTCATGCCTAGTAAGTTATAGATCTAGCTGCTAATACATACCCAAGAGCGCTTGGAGCTCCCGTGGAAATGAGCGCAAAAGTTAAAGATGCAATACCAATATGAAGACACAGTCATTAGGAGTTTGGTGTAGAAGCTTGTTTGGCAATACGGAATGGGATGCTGGGGGTGGTTGAGTAGAAAACCCAAGGATCCAATCTGCACAATCTTCTTGTAGAAGAAGGAGACGCGACCTTTGATGCAGGCAGGTGATTTCCCGAGAGTATTGGTTTGTCTAGTCATGATTGTTGGACGCGTTTGATGATGGGTTTTGTCTGAGGTGTTGCGGTACATCACAAATAATTCCATGATCTTTTGCTTATTTGTCATGCATCGACTCTGTTTGTGGGAGTTTCTTTCAAAACTTATGTGACAAGTTTTACTTCTCTGAATTATGATTGTCTTATTGAACGCATTAAGTCATGATGTGTTTTGCGAGAGGGCCTTTAGGAAATGTCAAATGGTGTCCTTGAACCTCTGTTAAATAAAGTAATAATTGTAACTAGACACCATCAAACGTAATTTCATAGAATGCGGAATTTAACTCAAATTTTATCAACAAGATGTCCTTCCTGAAGTACTGGTGTTCAAGATCAATACAAAGTGACTGCACTGGATCTGCTATTCACCCGGTTCTTTGGATCCTCTTTCGCACCTTTATGCTATGAATAACATGCCTCACGAACAAGATGGAACATGAAAGAATTCCCCTATCCCGCCTAAAGTTGTTGGAGGTCAAAGGTAATGGAGACCGACTTAAAGTTTTTCCATCATCGGCATCGCATCCGACTGGTCAGCAGCCGAGATTTTCGCTTCGAGCTTTGAGCCCCTGAAACCGACTTCGAAAACAACAAACATTTTGGTCAAGATGTCCATCCCCGCTCGACGATTGAAGACTACTCCATGTCTATTTACCTTTTTTTCTGGTAGTAAAGCTATGTGTCAGGTCCGGTTCACCTTCTGGGCACCTCGAGGGTAATGAAAGAACCCAAATAACCTCGAAATTACAAGTAACCCTTCCGAAGGCGAAAAACTGAAATCATCTTGTAACTAGACTTGTAAGAGACCACCTGCAAGTAGACTTCAAAGATCTAATCCTTCTTTTCAGCCAAGGTAGAAAGCTACTTGGGATAAATTATTCCGACTAGGAGCTTTGTGGGGGCGCACACAAGTCCGAAGTCGCGTAAGATCAAAACACCCTCCACAGAATACAAAGTCGCCACCTCCCTCGAACAGTCACCGTCGGGCATACCAGGGCGCTTACCACCAGTTTGCATTATAATTGCTGTGCTTCATCATAAAGTGTTCCGCCAGGAGCTTTGAGGGAGCGCACACAAGTCCGAATTCGCGTAGGATCAAAAATATCCTCCTCAAACTACCTTACGGACCCGCCACCTCCTTCAAAAGTAGCGGTCGGGCACACAATAACGACAAGAATCACTAGATTTGGCTCTGCTGTGCTACCCACCTGGTAAGAACACCACTGACTCTTCTGATTGGCATTTTGCTTACAATTCCACTCAGTCGCATTGCAAGTGTTGAAGTTGTCACTGACCACAATAGCACGCGGGAGGTGAGCACGCCACACGTTGACAATCATCCGGCATTGGCATCACTGTGCTTTCTCATCTGGCAAGAGCTCTACTGTACTATTCTGATTGGTACTTTGCTTACAAAGTACGCAGTCGGCTGCATTCGCAAGCTTTCAAGTTTCCGAAGCAGGGACCATTACTAGCACGCAGGAAGACACGACGACTAAATTCAACTGTCGCTTGCATTCCTCTAGTTTCCACCTGGTAGGAACTCCATTGACTGTTCTGATCGGTACTTTGCTCACGATTCCCTTCAGTCGCATTTGGATGTGTTGAAGTTGCATCAAAGGCTAATAGCAAGCAGGAAAATACAGCATTGCCAAAAATAACATTTCCCATGGACCTCCATGAATCTGACGACGGTTCTATCTCAATGGACACAAGCTCAGACTTGGCTTATACAGAGGAAGATGCTGTAGTGAATGAATTCGATTCACTCGGTTTCAAACGGACAAAAGAAATGGAAGAGGAATATATCCGAATCCAAATCCGGACTCGAGAAAAGCTGTCTCCGGACGATTACCAAAAACTCGCCTACCTTTCACGTGTACTCGGCTCCGAAAAGGTGACTCGCCTCGACCAAACTGATGGACCGAGAGCAAGTCGCGCACAGCACCAGATGGACGAAGAGCAACGCGAAAACATGGAGAACTACACCAGCCGTGGCTACGATAACTTGAGTGGAAACTTGACGGAGGAGCAGGAGGCAGAAGATGCACAGCTGTGCATGGATACAGCTCTGTTGATCTTTGGGCCCGCCGTGTTGGGTAGACAGGATGAGTACGAGTACAGGTCCGGCTCCCACTTGGATACAACGAACCATTCTGAGGAGGAGGAAGAAGGAGAGGAAGGAGAAGAAGAAGAGGAAGAAGAGGAAGAAGAAGAGATAGAAGAGGAAGAGGAAGAAGTAGACGAGAGTGTCAAGTTCGATCTCACGCACCAAGAGGGCTATGAGCTCATTGACAACTTCTTTGATGATAGTCTTCCGCAACCAGCTGTTGGTGGTGCCGAGAACCCCAATGGAAATCCTGCAGACGGAAACCTAACATCCATTCCTTTGGGGATAAGCGTTACTAGTTCTGAATACGACATGACAGCAGAGTTAGAGAACCCCGAGGATAATAAGGTCTTGTCAAGCCAGCCAACGACTGCGGAGAGGGGTACCTTGACTCGTAGCAAGACTGCGAAGAAGGTGTTTGCAGCAGTTGAGCAACGTGCATCTCGAAACCTCCGCAGCCCCTCGAAGACAACCCCTCGTCCGCCAAAGTCTGCAGATTGGAGCTGGGGAGATTCTCAACCGAAACTCGCACCAGCCCCCTCTCCTCGCAATAATTTCGACGACGGATCCATTCACTCTGCTGAAGTTAAAGAGCCGACAACCTCAGGAAAACTGACACGTCCGTCATCTCATAAAGCTCACCAGCGGAACAAATCCAACCCCAGAAATTCCCTCACTTCCGCCAATCCTGTCCATTCATCTCGTCTCTCGTCTGCTCGAGCCGGATCCCCTTCGTACAGCCAACCCGAAGCTCGCGACCAAGCAGTTCGGCAAGTAGGCAGCTTGTTCGGACTACCATCGACGCGCAACACCTTCCAAGCACCCACTACGCCTAAGAAACAAATTATGCAGTCGTCCCAAGGCAATTACTCTGGCGATAGCGCGAACAACTCCGGCAAGTCAACGTCATTGTCTGAGCATACTCAAGATTCATCCGCCACCCCTATCCGAAAGAGTCTCCTCCCACCTGCACCGGTAAGCCTCCCTCGACGTCCTCCGGGACCGCTCCCATCGTTCTCCGCCGCCTCTCCCGTTCCCAAGCCAAACTTCGAACCAAAGTCTCCTGCTACACCAGGTGGCAACCTACGCGAGTTTGCGGTCATTAAATTCCCCACCTGGGTTGGTCGTGAAGAGGGTGTTAAGCTGTGGGATGGCATCGAGAATTCTCAGCTGGAGAAGTTCAGAGACTGGCGTGCGGCCCATCCTCGGTATAAGGAAATGCACGTCGTTCCCGACTTCGCCCCCGAGTCCACGACTCTTGAGTTGTGTGGTCCAGTCGGTTCGAACGTCCGTGGTGCACTGCACGAGCTCTTCAACAAGAAATACGATGCGAAGGCTAGGTTGGACGAACTTTGAAAGGGTTTATGTTCGCGACGCAGTTGGTGCAATGGTGTGGCATTCAGTTGCTGACCTAACCTGCCGTAACTGGTGGAGGCATTCTACTCGAGATTTGGGGACAATGGTGTGGCATTGAGTTGCTGACCTAACGTACCGTAACTTGAGGAATACACGTAAACTTCAAACAAAATAACTAGTCCAATTGCAATGTGAACAATCCAAACCTAAGATGAAAGCAGGTCATGAATGTACTATAATCCAAGTGCGAGTCAGTAATTTGAATGTTCCGAGTCGACATGTTACCTTGAACAGAAGAAGGATTGGAGGGAGACTCTCGAGATTCGAAGAGGGTAGGATTTCAATGTACGATAGATACATCGAGGGAAGATCTGGTAAGGTGTTCCAAGTCGACTTGGTTCATTTAAAATTAGCAAACGTTGACCCCTTGCAAAGACAGTGAGGCAGGAACGATGGCGAACTGTGTGGCAGTTGCCCCCCAAAAATGCTGACTCATTCATTATCATCGAGGTACTCTACATTACACAGTGACTCTCCCGGTACGCCAGGTCTATGCACTCTATTTCCTCCTTGCCTTTTTATTTATCCTTGAACTCCTGTGAAAATATCTTTTGCCAGACCTCCATCCACCTCTGCTGCTGCGCAGTAAGAGGCTTCCCTGGACTCTTGAAGGACCGGGTCAGGATGTCGCGCAACCTAGACCTCAATATCTTGATCACTAGCATTGTCTTCCAATCTGAAACTGCGAATCGTCCTCGATTTCCATCAACGATGAAAACTCCCGCGTACATCTACTCAAAGATTAGTTGAAAGTCTGTGAGCGTTAGGGGTGGTAACTCGCATCGCAGCGAACTTCTCCACAGAGCAGTGGAATCGCAAACTCTTCAACGGTCGTGGTCTCGTGGGCGTTGTAAAACCTAAAACCGATTAGCTGCTGCAGCCCAGAATTGAGCACGTTGTATTTACTGCTTGGCCTGCATGATGTGATAATACGAAAGCCATTTTAGCTCAGGATGGCCTTTGTTGACTGACGAAGGATGCAAACTGATTGACTGATTGTTGGCACAATTTCTAAATCCTTTTCCGTCTCGGATGAGCAACTTGGGATAGAAGCTCCAAGCAATTACAGAAGCGGTGATGATATCGTTGTCGCTGTTAGAGTTTGCTCGTTGGGGAACATCGAAAAATTGGCGGCGTCTGCTAGAGTATCTAGTTCTACAGGGGATTAGTAGTAAGAAAAGAGAATAATGAGAATGCCAGCTTACCTATTCAAAGCAGTTCGCTCGGCCTCGGTGAGAGGGAGAAATCCGGAGTCCACTAAGCAAACCACAAGCTGCCCCTTCAGGTCCTCGATGTTTGATAATGTTTGTTGACTGAGGAAGTTCTTCTTGCAGAATTGGTATTCTGAGCCACCAGTTAAGCACACCCGTTTCCAAGCCAAATAGGCGTTGTAGACAGTTAAGACATCCGAGTCCCCTGGGAATATTAGCAAATATCCATGAGTAAGGTATATACTGTAATTGAAGACAGTTACTGAGAAACCCTGACCTCTGCGAAACGCTAGCCGAACTGTGTCTGCCTGTGTTCTAGCTCCAAATGGTGCCGAGAACGGCGATTTGGAGGACAAAATAGCAGCAATTGTGATAGCAGCATCTAAGCACTTGAATATGCTCCCAAGAAGAATGAGTTTCCCTAGGAAGACATCTAACGGCAATCTTGCCAACTGGATACCTAAAGGCGTCAAGTCTTCACCTTGGGTAAGAGCCCGAACGTCAATTAGAGCATCAACAGCGCGACGAATATTCTTGGCAGACGGCGGGTCTAGGGCCTGGCTCAACGTCTCTTCGATACCACCAAGCTTACAGATCTTAACACGAATAGCGAGATCTTGCAGTGACAGGCGAAGAAGTTCAGGAGTTTGCTGTTCAGCCATCTGCGGTCGAAAATATTAGTCCATATTTCGTTTGTCAAAGCGGAACAGTGTTTAAGGCTTACAAGCTCATCATGTCGATATTTTGTGAAAAGGTGGAAGCATAAGCCCTCTTGCACTCTTCCAGCTCTGCCCCGTCGTTGTTTGGCATTGGCTTTGCTTATAAATGTCTCCAGCAACCTCGATAGCTGTCTCCGTTCATCAAATCTAGAAGCGGTAAGCAGGAGCTATATAGGAGGCAGGCAGAGGCTTCACCTCATTTCTCGATGTTTCCCTGTATCAATCACACAAGTGACATCAGGGATAGTAATACCAGTCTCGGCTATGTTGGTAGCAAGAACGATTTTCCTGGTCCCGGGAGGCGGAACAAGAAAAGCAGCCTCCTGATCCTCGCTCGCAATGGTCGAGTGAAGAGGATAAATATACCAGTTGGACGAGAATAAAGGATGTCCAACAAGCATGTCGTTGAGCTGACGAATTTCTCCAATACCTGGTAGAAAGACCAAGATGGCCTTGCTAAACATCGCCAAGCCATCATCGGTGGCAATCTTGGCTAAGAGTTGTGTTACTAGCTCGAACTCGATTCGATATTCGTCAATCTGAGCAATTGTATTTCGAGTTTTGGCACTGTAACCTCTCAAAGCTTTTGTGTTGTCGGCTTTGGTCAAATCATTCGGGGCTGTCTCGTTGGTATCCATATCATCATCTAGATCCGTAAACTTCTCTACATAGCCATTGTCGAGGGAGAAGCCAGTCAGTTCGACCGCATCTTCTAGGTATTTGACCTGGACAGGGTATGTCCGTCCGGGAACCGTCAGTACTGGGGCACCATCTAAATACCTGGAGAAGCGCTCAGAATCGACTGTGGCTGACATCAGGATGACTTTGAGATCACGTCTTCTTGCCATAAGCTTCTTCAAAACTATCAACAGAAAGTCGCTGTCAATAGTTCGCTCGTGCACTTCGTCCAAAACGATGTGGGTAATATCCTTAAGGTCATTGGAACCTTCGAGCATTCGCATTACAATTCCAGTAGTTGCATAGACAAGCCGGGTCTCCTTTGAAGTCTTGGATTCCAGACGAATTGCATAGCCAACCAAGGACCGAGACGTGCCAAGGTCATTCTTGCGCTCCCCAAGCTCTTCGCTTACACGACGAGCAAGTGATATAGCTGATATCCGACGGGGCTCTGTGCAATATATCTTGCAAGTCTTTCCTCTCGAAAGCTGGTCTTCCAATATGAAGGAAGGAACCTGAGTGCTCTTACCACTATTAAGAATGGTAAGCAACAAACAATACAGGCTTCGTGGAATGGAAGTATGCGCTCACCAGCCAGTCTCTCCGCAAATTATAACCACTTGCTCTCGATCAATAGCGCTGAGGACTTCGTTCTTGAAACCCCACATTGGAAGCTGCATACGAGATTGCTATTGCCTATTTAGTGGAGAGTAAAGCTGTCAAAAGTGGGAGACTTACAAGCATCATTTGATAGTTTGGCGTGTTGGATATGTCTTCCCATATCTTTTGGTAGGCTTCGTGGGTCAGGGAGGATTTGAGCGATTTATCTGGTCCGGACTCGTCACTGTTGTCTGTCGCACGAGCAGGAGTTCGGTTCCGGAAAGCCCCTTGAATGAGAACACCATCCTCAAGCTCTTGGTCCCTCTTTTCGCGAACCATATCACGAAAGATGCGAATGGCTTTTCGATCAGCCTCATCAGACCTTTCCTTCTTTCTTTCAGCAAACTCAGTCCACAAGTCCCTCCAAGTGGCCGGCAGGCGGAGAAAAACTTTGTCCTCTTTTGCTGATGAACTGAACAGAAGGAAGAGTGCAGTTGTAGCTATGAAGGCTTCTGATTGCTTGCTATCTGGGGATGACATTGACTTCATCGTGAAGGTTTGAGATTTAGGGGATGAGATGAAGTCTATCTCAGGTGGCGCGTCCAAGGCAAGAAAATCCTGTACTTTTGACCACACAAGCCGAAGAGAGTGGCGATTTGAGAAGGTTGAATCAGATATTAGGCTGAAATACAACTTGACTGAGGTATCTCTGAGCGATAGGTGTTAGGACGAGGAAAAAATAATTGAGAAAGAGGACATACCTCGCACGACAAGCCTCTTCAAGCACTCTTGTTGGGTTGACACCAGTCCATTTCCCGAAATCACGGATGGTAACTTTCACTCCATTACTTCCGTTGACAACAGTACTGGTTTTACCTGTGACAGGGTCAACTTCGTTAATAGGTAGACTAGCGAAGAGGTCCGCTATGGCGCCTTCATCGTCGCTCTCATTCTCCTCAAGCATTGCAGCTCCAATTTTGGCAGCCTTCCCGCTAACCTCATCATCCGAGTCGACTAATATCAACGAATCTTGGGACTGCGAGTCACTATGTTCTTGAACAGTCTCAGCAGAGTTACGCTGAGCCGCGGCTTCTCTTTCCAACTGGATCCGTTTGGTTTCCCACTCCTGGTTCGCCACATATTGGTCAAATAAGACGTCATCCTCTATCTTCTTGATCTTTCTAAGGATTTTGGCTGATTCAGGGTCTGTAGGGGGTTTCGATTTTGGAGGATCCATCCGAGGGTATGCCCGTAGAACATTCCTCCGGGATTGTGATGCTTGCAAATGAAATAACTTCGTCTTGCATTCAAGATAGACGGGGAGAAGGTCATCAGGGTCAATATCGCTATCATAATCTAAAGCAGCTGGCTTCTTGGGAGATGATCGGACCTTGTCGAGCTGTATAGAACTACTCGATGCTGCAAGCGCGATGTGCCTTGTGTCGGACTCGAGACGTGGGGTGGTTGTCCCCGATGGTAGCGGGCTGTTGATTGGGGTTTCTAATACTTGAATTAGGCCCGGAAGCACAATGGGTTTTAGAGCAACTGACCTGACTGTGATCTTGATAACCCGCCTGTTTTGCGCTGCCAATTCTCGTAGTCTGGAAGCTCTTCTCTTGAGCAGTTCCGTGAAAGCCAATCCAGTGCTTCCTCCATGCCCCAAATGGAGTCCTTGTTCCCCACGCCTATCTTGTCTGACAAGTCTAAAACATGCCGCAGAGCCAAGCTCACCTTTTCTTCGACAAAACCTGATCCGAGAAGTGCTTGCTGCACAGTCCAGAGACGAACGGTCAACTCTTCCTCTGACGCTTGCTTTGAGTTACCTACTGCCTCATTTGATTGTCCTGTGAAACGGCCCTCTGTCTTGATCAGGTCTAATACTTCCTCCATAAGCTCGGGTGGAAGCCATTTTCTAGTATTCAAGCTTTCTGCTTGACTTCTCAGCAGCCGACGATCCGTTTCCAGTCTTGTCTTCTGGCGGGTGGCATCCCGTTTGGATTTCTGTGCATGCTTCTCCACGAGCACTTGGAGCTCTGATTCTTCGAGCTGCTTTTCGAATTCCTCCGCTGTAAGCGCTTTTTCGTTCCGCACGAGGGAAGAGGTTGCTGGCGCTGTTTGCTCTACCTGTTGGGCATCATCCCCGTCTTTAGGTTCTTTCAAGAGTGCCGATTCCTCCACAGCCTCAGGGAGGTCGACTTTCGGTTTAGAAGCAATAGATGTAGTTGCGAAGCCTCTGGCAGGATTTGAAGCCGGCTTCTTCTTCTTCTTTCCTCCTGCCATCCGGAGTTTTTTTGGTGGATTTCGAGGAAGTGTACGACGCGGGGTGATATGCAGGACGCCTCGATAAAAAAAAATCCACAAACGCGACAGCCTTGGTTAAATTCAACATCGAACTTCAGTTACCGACCAGAAAAATCGACCACCTTTGCAACGACCTTGGCTTGTCTCGAGGCGGTTCAGGTCATGAGAGCTTACTCAAAGCTTCAAAATGACTGAGGTGGAGGTTAATGGAACGGATCTCGATACCACTGCCACCAGGGCAGCACTGGCGTCTGCCAGTACCACTGTTCGCCTTGGGAGTTTGCACGCCTTGGAAGAAAGGCTCTCTAATAACGGTCTGGAGTCTCATTCATGCATTGCGCTATCTGTACAGTTACTGACGGTGGTTTGAAAGTAGACATAGTACACGACCTCTTTCCTCCACTCCTCCGCGTCCTATTCCAAACGTACCCATATTACACCGACCGAAACTCGAGACGTGCTGTCACGCTCTCCATACGGTCTATTTTCAACTCAAGCGCACCTCCCGAGGCTCTGCAGGGCTTTGTTGAACTCGTACACGCAGAGACATTGAAGACGGGCATTTCGCCGGGCAATGCGTTCGTTCTCGTCGAATGGTGTAGCGTATTGCTTCAGGAGCTAAGTGGCACTGATCATTGGGAGAGATGGGGCCTTGCGACTATCGATAGCAATTCTCGAGCACTGGAATTATGTCACAGTCAATCGTCACGGTCCAATGTGAAGCATGCCGCGCTCGTTCATACCCGGCGGGGGCTGCGGAAGGTTTTTTCGAAAGAGAATGATTTCCGGCAAAGGATCCAGGAGACTGTGAAGAGGCTTGCTGCAAAAGGGCCACTACTATCCGCGAAAAATGCCGTCATGTTAGGGGTGGTTGCTGGTGTCTCTGCAAGGAAGCCGTGGGCGAAAGAGGTCCTCCGGACCTTGAAGTCCGAATACTACACATTCTACAACCGGGAAATTATTGGGTCGCGAAGCCAGGTACCAGAGCATTTAGCTAATGCGTTGAGAGATTTCTTTGTCGACTTTGCGACTAAGCAAGATATCGAGAAAGAGATCATTCCAGCTCTCGAGAAAGCCCTCCTTAGATCTCCGGAAATAGTACTCGTCGACTTGGTCAGCCCGCTAATCCATTCCCTTCCAGACTCCATTGATCTGTCAACTATTCTGAAGAATAATCTCCTCAAGCCTCTGCTCGCCAACCTCAAGTCCACAAATGTCACAATACGCCATGGATCGCTTTCTGCTTTCAAAGCCGCTATTCTGAAATCCCAGGATGATAATGTAATTTCACAGATTGCAGAAGAGATTGTGACTCCTCTCAAGACCGGAAAACTTACTTCGGCTGATGGAAGATCTCTTCATTCAGACATGTTGGCTGCGCTCCCCGTGTCACAAACTACAGTGGCAAAAGTTGCCCCAGCGATTGCTATTGTTGCAAGCAAAGAAGCCAACGAGGCCGCTCTTACTTCAGAGACGTCGGCACTTGTTCATTACCTATGCTGGGGCCTGTCAAATGGTGTCCTTATCGAAAAGTCGATCGTGGACGTCTTCGTCAAGGGTCTTTCTGACAAGAAGGTGCCAATCAAAAAGTTGTGGACTATTCGGTTTGGAGAACTGTTTTGGTCTGCGAGTGATGTGGATGCACTCAAGTCCAAACTTCCAAGCCTTGCAGAATCGGCAGTACCAGCTCTGATGGACATCTGGCAGGAGACTCTTGCAAATCCCCTAGCAGCTGCACAATCTGGACTCGTCACAGGCACCTATATCCTCACGGCCATTTCGTCAACAAAGCTCAGTCATACATGCAACGCTAAGGTGGATGCGGCCCTGAAAAAGACTCAAGTTTCGCGGCAGGCGTTGACAATGGAACCCAAACCATCTTTTCTACTGAATCCCCGCATTTATAGCAAGCTTACCACTGATGACGACTTCAAGTGGTTAATTCGAGCTCTTGCTGCGGTTGCACAGGAGCTAAGTGGTCTCGAGCCGGATTCAGCGGTTGCAATTGGTTGGGCCCAAGCTATGATATTTTGTATTTGCTCGTCCAGCGTCAAACGAGGAACTCGAAAAGAAGCCTCTCATACACTGTCCAGGCTCTACTTACATGATCCTAGACTTATTTCTGGAATCATAGTTGCCGGCCTCTGGCGATGGCGACACTCAATCGAATCGGGAGAGAAAGACAGTGCTGCATTTACAGCGAAGACTGAGAATCAGAATCTTCATTTTGTTGTCAAATCAATCTGTCTATTTCAAGCAGAGATTACTCAACTCGACGGATCAGTTGATGAAGCTACGAGAAGAGACCAGATGGTTTCACTGCTAGTTATCGCCAGACCGGAACTGTTGCCAAAGGTCACTTGGATAGACATGTGCCTCAGAGTCCAGGTAGATCCGGGAGAGCTTGCACGAATGTCTGGGGACTCTTTGATCCAACAGATAATCGATAAAACTAGCTTCGATGAAGTAGTGAGTAGCTTAAACTTTGTTCCTGTCTGATTTGTTCTAAACATACACTAGGCACCTCTGCAGCAGTCCGATTCTGTGAGAAAAGCTGCTTTCGATGCAGCTGCCGAGCTTGCTTTTGTTGCCCCGGCCGCCATGACTCCTCGCATTGTAGAGCTTATCGAAGGCGATTTGGCTCCAAGTCAGCTCGCGAATATTGGCCCGACGGAGGCAGCAATATTTCGAACTGAGGAAGGCATTGCTTTTGTTGACGTGCTTGCCTCAAAAGCTCGAAGTTATACTCCCAACAAGAATACGAAAGATTACGATACTTTGAAATGGGAAGAAGAACTGAGAGTACAGCTTGCGCAAAAGAAAGGCCTACAGAAAAAGCTCACTCCGGAGGAGACAGCTAAGGTCAATGCCCAAATAAAGAGAGAATCAGCTATTCGACTTCAGATTCGATACCTTGAAGCCAAGCTCCTAAGGGGAATCGGCATTGTTAAGAGCCTTGCAACCGGTCCTCCCACGGAAGCAGGTGTCTGGATGGGTCCTGCTGTGAAATTGTTGGTAGATGTCATCAATGCCGGTGCAACCCTCATTACCGGAAACGCTGCCCCAGATGCCTATATCCTTTGTTCGGAGAGACTTCCAGCCCGTATCGGCGCCCTCCGTCCATTCATTGGAATTGCAACTTTGAGAGCCTTGGATGTTCCTCACCTGCCTGAACATCTAATGCAGGAACCTCTCGGTGCGCTCATCACTAGGGTTCTGTACCGCCTTCGGTTTTCTGGAGAGCAGCGTCCATTCGACACGGTATCCTTGACATACATACTTCCTTTAGTATTCCTGGTACTCCGAAAAGGTGGTTTTGGTGAGGGCGATGATGCCGAAGCTCAATTAGTCTTAGCTTTGGAGTTCCTTTCTTTCCACACCGATGCTTGCTCCGATGTTCTCGTGCCTCGCGGCGAGGTTTTGTCCGTCCTGATATTATCGATGCAAATGTATAACCAGCATTACAAGGCCATTAAGGATTGCTTGGCAGATCTTTGTCGCTGCATTGCCCCTAATATTACTGACGCAGAGACCGCTATTCTGGCTCGGGGTGCCATTGTCCCCCAGATCTCTGTTCGAACGTCGGTTCTGCAGTCTATCAGCGCGGAGATTGACATGAGCGATCTCGGGTTTTCAGAAGAAATGTGGCTGGCTTGCCACGACGATGTGGATGAAAATGTCGAGCTTGGGAGGGAGATTTGGGAAGAGAGTGGTTTTGAGATCTCAGAGGATTCTCCTTTCAGCATGTTGCCATACCTCGAGAGCATTGATAAACAACTTCGGAGAGCAGCCGCAAGAGCGTTGGCAGAGTCGGTCAAGATCCACCCATCGAAATTCCGTGATGTGCTGCCACGCTTGCAAGCTTCATATCAAGAATTAGCCAAACCGCGAGTATCCCAGCTTGACGAATACGGCATGCCTAAGAAAATGGATCTCTCTGACCCGTGGGAGGCAAGGAATGGAATCGCGCTTGCGTTCAAAGAGTTAGCGCCTGTTTTTGAGGATGCAGTGCTCGATTCGTTTTTGAGATTTCTCATTGAACGAGGACCCCTTGGCGATAGAGATCCAAATGTCAGAGAAGAGATGATCGAAGCTGCGACTACCATCATCGCGGTTCATGGCAAGAATAAGGTCGAAGACTTGATGAAGACATTTGAGCAAACGCTCGAGGCCCCAGATAAAGGATCTGGATTCGCGGATCAAGTGAACGAGGCAGTCATCATCATGTATGGTGCTCTCGCTCGACATTTGCAGAAAGACGATTCTCGAGTGCCAAAGGTAGTTGAGAGACTGCTGGAAACTTTGAGTACGCCTTCGGAAGCTGTTCAATATGCAGTGGCTGAATGTTTACCACCCCTCATTCGCGCCTCAACAGGCAAGACCCCGGAATATGTCCAGCATGTTCTTGATCGACTTTTCAACTCCAAGAAATATGCAGCTCGCCGTGGCGCCGCGTATGGACTTGCAGGAATCGTCAATGGCAAAGGCATCTCTGCACTCAGAGAGTATCGCATCATGTCCACATTGAAGGGCGGCATTGAGAACAAGAAAGACGTTAATCATCGTGAGGGTGCCTTGTTAGCCTACGAGCTCTTCTCAACGATTCTTGGTCGGGTGTTCGAGCCATATGTCATCCAGATTGTGCCCCAGCTTCTCTCCAGCTTTGGGGATGCCAGCGCTGACGTCCGTGATGGTTGTCTCGCCGCTGCTAAAGCTTGCTTCGCAAGTCTCAGCTCGTACGGTGTGAAGCGCATATTGCCCACTCTCCTCGATGGACTCGACGACCAGCAGTGGAGGAGCAAGAAGGGGGCTTGTGATCTGCTTGGTGCCATGGCGTACCTAGATCCTCAGCAGCTCGCCCAAAGCCTGCCAGAGATTATCCCGCCGTTGACTAGCGTCCTCAACGACAGCCATAAGGAAGTCCGCTTGGCTGCGAACCGAAGCTTGAAACGTTTCGGCGAAGTCATAAGCAACCCTGAGATTAAGGGCCTAGTCGACGTTCTGCTGAAGGCTCTGAGTGATCCCACCAAATACACTGATGATGCGTTGGATTCATTAATCAAGGTTCAATTCGTACATTACTTAGATGCACCCTCTCTTGCCCTTGTGGCTCGCATCCTTGAGCGCGGATTAGGCGATCGATCAGCAACGAAGAGAAAATCTGCTCAAGTTATTGGTAGCTTGGCACATTTGACTGAGCGAAAAGACCTCATTTCACATTTGCCAATTCTAGTTGCTGGTCTCAAAGTAGCTGTTGTCGATCCTGTCCCAACAACGCGTGCTACTGCTTCAAAAGCCCTCGGGTCCTTGATCGAGAAACTTGGCGAGGATGCTCTCCCAGACCTGATTCCAGGCTTGATGCAAACATTGAAGTCGGACACCGGTGCTGGCGATCGACTTGGGTCTGCTCAGGCTCTCAGTGAAGTTCTTGCCGGACTTGGAACCGGCCGCCTGGAGGAAACCCTGCCAACGATCCTACAAAACGTCGCCTCCTCCAAACCATCTGTTCGCGAGGGATTCATGTCCCTCTTTATCTTCTTACCTGTCTGCTTTGGTAATAGCTTTGCCAATTACCTTAGCAAGATTATTCCTCCAATTCTGTCTGGACTTGCAGATGACGTTGAATCTATTCGAGACACATCTCTTCGAGCTGGACGCTTGTTGGTCAAGAACTTTGCTACAAGAGCGATTGATCTCCTACTTCCTGAGCTGGAACGAGGACTTGCGGATGACAATTATAGAATTCGTCTCAGCTCCGTCGAGTTGGTTGGTGATCTTCTGTTCAATCTCACTGGGATCACTGCAATCACAGAACAAGATGTTGAAGAAGGAGCACAAGAAGCAGGAGCGTCGCTACTGGAGGTCCTCGGCGAGGAAAAGAGAAACAAAGTCCTTTCTTCTTTGTATATCTGTCGCTGCGATACATCGGGTCTCGTTCGGACTGCTGCGGTTAATGTCTGGAAGGCTTTGGTGGCCAGTCCCAGAACTCTGAAGGAACTGATCCCGACATTAACTCAACTCATCATCCGACGACTCGGTAGTTCTAACATGGAACAGAAAGTCATCGCGGGTAATGCACTTGGAGAGCTGATCCGAAAGGCTGGCGACGGAGTGCTTTCAACATTGTTGCCCACTCTCGAGGAGGGTTTGCAAACGTCTACTGATACAGATGCTAAGCAAGGTATCTGCATAGCACTTCGGGAGCTCATCTCGTCTGCCTCTCCAGACGCCTTGGAAGATCATGAGAAGACCCTGATATCTGTGGTTCGCACTGCTCTTATCGATTCTGATGAAGAGGTCCGGGAGGCTGCTGCTGAGGCGTTCGACTCTCTACAACAGATCCTCGGTAAGAGAGCCGTCGACCAGGTTCTGCCTCATCTCTTGAGCTTGCTGAGGATGGAAGACGAAGCCGATAATGCTTTATCCGCTCTTCTAACATTGTTGACGGAGACGACCCGGTCGAATATTATTCTGCCGAATCTGATACCTACTCTCACTACCTCACCGATATCTCCGTTCAACGCAAAAGCACTTGCTTCCTTGTCTACCGTAGCAGGCTCTGCTATGACCCGAAGACTACCAACCATTCTCAATTCCCTCATGGACAACATCATATCTTGCAAGGACGAAGAACTTCTTGCGGATCTCAACGCCTCCTTCGACACAGTTGTTGTTTCAATTGATGAATTTGATGGTTTGAATACCACTATGAGCGTCTTGCTCGCATTGGTGAAACATGATGATCACCGACGCAGAGCGGCCACGGACTACCATCTTGCGACATTCTTCTCGTCTGCTACCGTCGACTATTCTCGCTACAACCAGGACATCATTCGAGCGTTGCTTATATCATTTGATGACAGAGATGCCGAAGTTGTCAAGGCTGCTTGGGCAGCATTGAACGAATTTACCAAGCACCTCAAGAAGGAAGAAATGGAGGCTCTTGTTTTCTCAACTCGACAGATTCTGCAGCATGTTGGAGTAGCAGGCTCAAATCTACCTGGCTTCGGCTTGCCAAAGGGGATCAACGCCATCCTGCCAATATTCTTGCAGGGTTTAATGAACGGGTCCAGTGAAATAGTAAGTGAACCATTTTTTTCCTTTCCTATTCTGTGTCCCCCCCCTCCTCTTTTGTGTTGGTGGCCAGATGCTCTTGCCCAAATGCATCTGAAGTAGATGTGGAGAGAGCATCCGAGACACCAACATGAAGTCCCTTCCTCCTGGGCTGGATTGGACCTTCCTCCGGATATGGCGACACACACAGGTTGGAAATCTGCCCCGAACTCTTAGTCTCTTTGACCTCCATTACCTTTGCATCAGGGGTTTTCAATGTTCTTCAAGCTGCTTCTCCCCCGACTATCGAGTACTTCAAGACCTTATCAACTGAAACTCTTGCTTGCTGGGCTGTTTCCATTCTGGTCCTGGAGAAACCTCATTGCCGCCCTAGAATCTACATCGGAAGTGGCACAAATTGCCGTGGACTCAGGGCGAGATTTTATGACTACGACGGTCTCAGAGAGCTGCCTCGCTACGTTGAAAAGTCTAACAAGGAAGGCTACGAAATCATGCATAAATCACCCTTATGCTGGATTCCCATGCCATCGGCCTCGTTGAAACCCAAATTTCGCCTATTGTTGGTTGCTCTGGAGGCTACGTTTGCTTACATGCTGTGGGCAATGAGAACAGCATCCCGAGATTATGGAATGCGCATATCTGTCTCTGGGACCGCTCTGATCTTGAATGGGATGGTCTCTGCTCTCATTGCAGCTTATTTGAAGGGATTCATGGCGACTTTGGACTCACGGCCGAGGAAATCGAAGCTCTATCTGCTGAGAAGATGTTCGCGCGTGCTCTCAGGACGAGTGCAACGTCTCCTGAATGGGACCGCGATCAGAGGGAGAACAATCGTGATGAGTATCTCGAGAAGTGAAGAGAGTCTCGAGCAGCACTGGCAGCTAGGAGTTCAGAGAGACTCCGAAAAGACCACAGGGAGTGGCGCGAGAAGAGATATGAAGCAAAGAAATTGTACTGCGAGACTTGCAAAACGACTTTTGCGACTCCAAGCGCTATGGAGATCCACAATGCCACCCCAACCCACCTCAACAAAGCAGAGGAGATGAAGTGTCGTTACACATGCATTCCCTGCGCCTATGGGGCAAACAGGAAGACACTTTCAATACACATTTGAAGACAAAGTTCCACTCGAAGATGGTCTCCGATCTGTCAAGCTCTGATGAGCTTGACTGATATCACTACCTTCAGCCTGGGACCTCTCTTTTTGGAACGAATCGACACTGTCGATTCAAGCAAGCATTGCTATGTCCTTGAAAGTACCTTTCGGTTGCATCGTAAGTCCCAAACTCCCCTAATCGAGAGCTTCGCTTTTTGGTGGCCATAAGAGTACCATACTGTTGTTCTCTCTCGACTACATGCTAATCAAGCAATCTCAGGTTATCATACCATCTTTCTTGCCTTCTTGACTGGACCACTGGATTGGCTCATCCAATTCAATGTATCACTATTCTGCTGTTCGTCTACAAGGCCCTGGGACTTCTTTATGGACCACTCCGGACTTCTGGACCTGGATTATTACTTTAAACATCGCTAACTAATGTTTTTCCCCAGCGCACCCAATCTGCCCTTGCCATATCAGATATCGTTGACAGGACAAGTGGGGATTCTCTGAAACCATTCGTTACGCAGATCACTGGTCCGCTTATCAGAGTGGTCTCAGAACGCTCTGTGGATGTTAAAGCCGCCATTCTACTCACGTTGAACAACCTTCTTGAGAAGATTCCGACGTTCTTGAAACCTTTCCTGCCCCAACTTCAACGCACCTTTGCCAAATCCCTGGCAGACACATCGAGCGAGGTTTTGAGAACTCGGGCCGCAAAGGCTTTGGGCACTTTGATCACGCTTACGCCTCGTATCGATCCCCTAATAGCTGAGTTGGTCACCGGCTCAAGAACCTCAGACGTTGGTGTTAGAAATGCCATGTTGAAAGCGCTCTACGAAGTCATTAGTAAGGCAGGAGCTAATATGAGTGATGCCTCAAGAAGCGCGGTGCTTGGGTTGATCGATGCTGATCCGGAGGATAACGCCATCTCGATGGCAATAACCAACGCCAATTTACTTGGAGCTCTGATCAAGAATGTGCCCGCCGAAAATGCGATGGGTCTTATCAAGAATAGAGTGATGACAACTCACTTCAGCCAAGCTTCGGTTCTCGCACTCAACGCTGTGCTGCTAGAATCACCATCGTCCCTGACGGAGAGTCCCTTTGCCGATGACTTGCCCCAAGTCATTTGCCAAGGCATGGCAAGCAAAAACGTAAGTTGTACCCTACGACAATCATTTTCGTCCTAACATTGTGCAGAACTTCATCTCGGATAATTGCGTGCTCGCAGCTGGCAAATACCTTCTCTCAGAGACTCGCAGCAACGATTTCGAAACGATCAAGCCGTTGTTTGAATCACTAGCCAATCTCATTCAACCGGGTAACCCAGTCGATACCCGGCGCCTGGCACTCGTGGTTGTTCGCACTACCTGTCGGCATCACATGGAACTCGTGCGACGCCACCTTCCACTGCTTGCACCTCCCGTATTTGCAAGCGTCCGAGATCCTGTCATCCCTGTGAAGTTGGCAGCTGAGGCTGCCTTCATGGCATTATTCGATGTTGTTGATCAGGAAAGTAAGGTATTTGACAAGTATATTTCTTCGCAGGACCTTGCAGCGAATCAGAAGAGGAGCATGCAAGATTACTTCAAGCGTGTGGCATTGAGACTTGGAAACACGGCACGAGAGAGAAAGGAGGCAGAGGGTGGACAAGGTGGTTTGGGACTGTCGAATGACGAAGTGGATGATGAGCGAGAGATCTGGAGTGTGGGGAAGGTCGATCTTGGGGAGGCAGCTTTTGATGAGTGAGATGAGAGATGAGTGGAATGAGACATGGACATGGATTGCATACAAAGGTGCATTGTGTGGAATTGGTAGATAAGATCCGTAGACAGAGTCAGTGAAGATGTCGGATATCGAACTTGTTGACTTGTTGTTTTAGGATTGCATGTGAGGACTTTGTTTCTTCAAGAACTTCCGAATTATTCTAATGGGAATTGTACTATGGATATACGATAACAGAGGCAACATTTCGAGGGGAAGCAATTTGGATTGTCCAACTTGCCTTGGGACATGGACAAGCGCCGCGTTTTCTTTTTTTCTTTCTATCGAGCGCAAGCCAGAGCTTCCCGAGGAAGAAGGAAGAATAAGCGAGTCTTGAAAAAAAAAAAAAAAACGGCCTCACTTTTCGAAATCCCACTTTAATTCAATTTTGAAATGGGCTGTCTCCATTGCCGTGGAGCATTACACTTCTGGGAATCAACCATCGTTCACAAAGAGGACGATTGTTTTGTGTTATACTGTTTTGCAGGCTCTGAAAGCCGTTTGCCTTCTAGGGTTTGGCCCGCACAATTCAATTTTCAATAATTACATAAGCGACGCTAGCGACGACTCGTCAAATCGTGATACACCGAGGAATTTCTCATAACAACGACAACCCGATCATCATCACCGACGACATCAAATCTCGCCAAGATGTAAGCCCCTCATTCTCCTTGAGACCATTCGACGATTGCCACGACTTTGAACGGTCTCCGCACGTTGCTCTTCGCACCCAGGAGATGCGTCATAGATCTTTGATCAACAAAAGCTGACGGGCAATTCTCACGATAGGGTCAACCTCACCACCCAGAAGCGCCTCGCGGCGTCTGTCGTCGGCTGCGGAAAGCGCAAGATCTGGCTCGATCCTAATGAGACCAGCGAGATCTCCAACGCCAACTCCCGCCAAACCATCCGAAAGCTTGTTGCAGATGGTCTCATTATCCGAAAGCCCGTCACCATGCACTCTCGATCTCGCGCCCGGGAACTCACAGCTGCACGGAGAATTGGTAGACACCGTGGTTTCGGTAAGAGAAAGGGTACTGCGGATGCTCGTATGCCTAGGTATGCTATTTCACAGTGGGGGAGATGGTGACATGTTCTGATAAATGTAAAGCCAAGTCATCTGGATGCGCCGTCTCCGTGTTCTCCGCCGTCTCCTCGTCAAGTACCGTGCCAGCGGCAAGATCGACAAGCATCTGTACCACGAGCTCTACCACCTGAGCAAGGGTAATACCTTCAAGCACAAGAGAGCATTGGTTGAGCACGTAAGTTGATCTGATTAGGGTAGTCAATATCATGGGCTGACGATTTCGATAGATCCACAAGGCCAAGGCGGAGAAGGCGCGTGAGAGAGTCCTGAAGGAGGAGATGGATGCCAAGCGTGCGAAGACCAAGGCTGCCCGTGAGAGAAAGCAAGAGAGAGTGATTGCCAAGCAAAAGGCGCAGTTCGGTGACGAAGAGGAGACCGAGACAAAGTAGATGAGGGCCTTTTGTTATGTTGCATATGGAGTGTATCTGGCAGGGTCTAAAATACAGGCCGGTTGCTTTTACTAGTCTTTCTGCATTACTGCACGGGGCAATGGTACCATGATCTCTGAATTGAGTTTTATTTGTGCTATCTGCGTGAAATGTGTGAACTTGGACGCGTTCTACTCAAGGTGTCCTAAGAGACCGGTATAGGTGGGGTGCAGATGACATCTGGGGATAGTGGATCACAGTGTCAGAGCAATTCTATGAAGGCCTCGTTGCCGTAAGGATGAACACTTTGGAGGAAAACGCAAACAGAGCTAGAAGGAAATACGATAGTCCTCTCTAACCGGCAGTCGAGTTGCAGGCAAGGCCGTTAAAAAAAGGCGGAGCTATGTCCGCGACACAGCATGAAAATGACATCAAAATACACCAGAATGTCGGATCAGCGTTCCCGATACATATGTACAATGCTTTGACAAAAAGGAAGGGGGTCAGTATTCGGGGGGATTGAATGGATGACAGAGCCCAAAGATCGAAGAACGGTGCATTCTAGAAACGATATTCAGAAGATGTTAAATCAACCAGATAAACGGATCAGATATATTCACATTGTCCCTCAATTGAGTGGTGATGTGAGCCCGAGACATAACAACATCGCCCGCCCGAAGGCCAGAGCTGTACCTGTCGTAGAGGCAATCATCCCTTCCGCATTAGTTGTGTAGAGAGGAAAGAAGGAGAGTGCGGGTGAACGAGCTCTGACATACGGCAGGCACGCGAAGGCGCGCTAGTGGACTGGGGGCTGGGGCTGGGGGCTGGGATTGTGGCGGGGCGGGGGAAATCGATGTGACGGCCTCTTGATTCCCGCTTTTGCATGAGGCGAGAGGATATTTGGACGAGGAGGTGAGTGCCATTGATCGATTCTGCTTTGGATATTTATTGATTGGCGGGTATAGATCATCATGTCTCTCTTCAAGGGAGCTTCTCGGTCTTTTGTGAGGGCTGCTGCTTGCAGAGCTCGACCAGTATGTGGTTCGAGGCGAGCTGCATCATCCATGACGGCAGAGTCTCAGCAGAAGGTATGAACCTGCTTTTGTATGAAAAGATCAAATACTAACTCTATCTGTAAACACAGCTCCTCTCTGCGGACCTCGAACATGCCGACCCCGCTATCTACAAGATTCTCCAGAATGTACGTGCCCTGGAAATTGGACCTAAGTCTAGAGTACTAATTGGAACTGCAGGAGAAACGGAGACAGAAGCATTTCATCAACCTCATTCCCTCCGAAAACTTTACGTCCCAGGCAGTTCTGGATGCTTTGGGAAGTGTTATGCAAAGTGGGTTCGACAACCACATTTGTGGCGTCACAACTAACTGCTCGTAGACAAATACTCTGAGGGATACCCAGGAGCACGATATTATGGCGGTAACGAATTCATTGACGAAGCAGAAAGATTATGTCAAACCCGTGCATTACAAACCTTTGGTTTAAAGGAATCAGATTGGGGTGTAAATGTTCAGCGTATGTCCAGCGGACTCCCTGGCAGGCAATGACTGACTCTCATAGCTCTATCTGGATCTCCTGCAAACCTCTACGCATACTCCGCTCTCCTGAACGCACATGACCGAATAATGGGCTTGGATTTACCTCATGGTGGACATCTTTCTCACGGATATCAAACACCTACAAAGAAGATCTCAGCCATTTCAAAATACTTCGAAACTCTTCCTTACCGACTCGACGAATCTACAGGTCTTATCGACTACTCTAAGCTCGAAGAACTTGCCATGCTCTACCGACCGAAACTCATCATTGCCGGTACCTCTGCCTATAGCAGACTTATTGAGTATGAACGTTTCCGGGAAATCGCCGACAAGGTTGGGGCATATCTTTTGGCGGATATGGCACATATTTCTGGTCTTGTCGCAGCGAAAGTTATCCCAGGTCCTTTCGAGTACGCCGATGTAGTTACTACAACTACGCACAAGTCACTGAGAGGCCCAAGAGGAGCTATGATCTTCTATAGAAAAGGAGTTCGAAGAGTCAACGCCAAGACTAAGGAAGAAGAGATTTGGAACTTGGAAGATCCTATCAATGCTTCCGTTTTCCCTGGACATCAAGGAGGACCTCATAATCATACTATCACTGCTCTGGCCGTTGCTCTTAAGCAAGCACAAAGCAATGAGTTTAGAGCTTATCAGGAAGCAGTTCTTCTGAATGCTAAGGCCTTTGCCAAGCGGCTGGGTGACCCCAAGGAGAAAGGTGGTCTTGGGTACACGATTGTGTCAGGTGGCACTGACAACCATCTCGTGCTTGTTGATCTCAAGCCACAAGGTGTTGATGGTGCGCGAGTGGAGAGAGTGTTGGAGTTGGTCGGTGTTGCTAGTAACAAGAATACCGTACCAGGCGACAAGTCAGCATTGAAACCAGGTGGGTTGAGAATGGGGACGCCAGCAATGACCACGAGAGGTTTCCAGCCAGAGGATTTCGTGAGAGTGGCAGATGTGGTGAACAGAGCAGTCACGATTACTCAGAGACTGGATAAGACGGCGAAGGAAGCGGCTGAGGCGAAGGGAAGGAAGAATCCTGGAAGTGTGAAAGCTTTCTTGGAGTATCTTGGGGAGGGGGAGAATGAGCGGGAGATTGTGCAGTTGAGGGCTGAGGTTGAGGAGTGGGTGGGAACTTTCTCATTGCCTTGGGAGTGAGTTCATTAGCATATAATACTCATGTTTTAGTCGGCGAGCAGTGCATCTCATCTCTGTGACTTTATAGCAAACTCTTAATCTCCCTGTAAGAAATATATATCATTGTCCTAATTCGATAAGTCTACTCGCCTCTACCATTATTGACTTGAGCTTAAGCGAGATTCTGTAGAAGTTTGTTGAAATTTATATAACAGGTCAAAAACTTTCTACAAAACAAAATTGGGGGGTTGTAGCTTAATGGTAAAGCGTACTGAACAGGAGATGCTAACAACCTGTATACTGGTTCTACCTTTCGAGGCCTCGGTACTCGGTGGTTGGAGTCATTTGCTTGCTCAGTGAGATGGCTGGTTCGAGTCCAGCCAACTCCAACAAAAGATTGCCCCTCTTACTATGTTTCTGTATACCCGTTGGGAGGAGGATAATGAGGATTATTGACGAGAGTGGTGTCTTAAGAGAACGAGGGAAGAGGTCACTTTTGGCGAAGTTCCCTGTTTTTTTGGGTTTTTTTTGGCTTATCGATGAAATTCCAGCGCAGTGCAGAAATAATGCAACGGAGGTGTGTTCTGAATATCAATTTGGGGATATTTTGTTGCAGATTGGCAGTGTTGTTTGAAAGTATTTTGGTACAATGATGTTTATTTGAGCAAGTGCCAAGTGGTGTATCGCACTCAGGATACAGAGGGCAAATGCTATGAACACCACCCACAAGTTTGAAACAGTTCTGGGAGAAAGGAATGAAGGGAAAACATTTCCTCTCAGGTCTTTCTTTCTAATCAATCGATTTCATTACGCCGACTTTATTCCTTATATTTTCACATTTCACACAACCGACCTCCCAGCCCAACCGAGCCTTTTCCCCTATTTCAAACCTACAACTTCGACCCCACCAAACTCCCCCCATCCAACGCAATAGTAGCCCCATTGACAAACGCCCCGGCTCTACTACTCAGAAACAAGCAAGCTCCAGCCACATCTTCCGGACTCCCAATCCTCCCTAATGGAATACCCGCAACAATTGTCTCCCCAAAAGTCTTCAACGTAGCAGCCATCATCTTACTCTCAAACGGCCCACACGCCAGCGCGTTACTTGTTATATTTCTCTTGCCCAAATGATTCGCAAGCACTCTGCTCAACTGATGTAATCCCGCCTTCGACGCACTATATGAAAATGTCTCCAGACTCGGAACACGCAGGCCATCGACGGACCCGATGTTTATGATGCGTGCGGGGTCGTCTTTGGTGGCGGCGGCTTCGAGGAGAGGCGTAACGGCTTGGGTGATGGTGAAGACGCGGGTTAGGTTGAGAGTCAGGACTCGCGTCCATGCGGAGTCGGGAAACTCGTCGAAAGGCGCGCCCCAGTTGGAGCCGGAGTTGTTGACTAGAACGTGGAGCTTCGGCTCTCTCTTTTTGAGTTCTTCGGCGAGACGCTTGCAGTCTTCGAGTTTGTAGAAGTCGGCGGGGATGGCGTGGGCAGAGCCTTTCCCTAGGGATTGTTAGAGATGTTGGAAGAGGGGTTGGGCAGGAGAAGTGAGGGGGGAGAGAGAGAGAGAAGGAAAGGTACCCAAGGCGTTCATTTCTTTGCAGGCTTGCTCGCAGGCTTTAGTGTCTCGGGAGGAGATGTAGACTTTTGCTCCGTTTTGCACGAAGCCTTCTGAGATCATGCGGCCAATGCCTTTTGCTCCTCCTGTTACGAGGACGACTTTGCCCTAGAGGTTTGTCAGCGACACCGAATGGAATGGATATTGTCAATTGAATTCTTACCTTGACATTGAATAAGCTTGAAGAATCCATGGTGAATGTTCAGTCGAGAAATTTTGAACAGGAGAAGAGTGAACTTCAATGTTCGAGGTTGATGCGGATATCCGGGGTAATTCATAGCTCGCTATCGAGCCGAGGCACGGCGATAGACAAGGGGTGTTTGACGCGTTTGCTTTCGAGATCATGAAGTCGATAACAAAAGTTCGGCTGAAAGCTTTCTAAAATAAGAGAACTTTTAGCAAAGGAAGGAACGAGTTTGTAGCCCAAACGATCCTTTCCTTGTTGCCTCAAACTTCTTTGCCTAATCCTGTCACTTCTCATTCCCTTAGTCTCCTCTCTTAAGTTTCGTAACAACCTAATTCCTTTGCTTCTTCCGTATTGAAATAACTTGAAACTATATATCATGGATTCACGATTTCCCCCAGGATACCATCTTTCAAGGCCGTCAGAACAGCCACCCCAGCCCACCGACGGAAATCATCCGTCAAAGCTGTTAAACCCGCTTGATCGACCCACCGACGCCCGAGCACGCCTCCTCTCCCACTTCCAGTCTGCGAAAGGCACCACCGAACACGGCCGAAAATGGGACGACCTCTGGAAAGAAGGATTCCTGCCCTGGGACAAAGGCTTCCCGAACCCAGCACTCGTTGACCTCCTCACTGAACGCCAAGATCTCTTCCCTCCTCCCCCAAAGTCTGGGAGAAGAAAAGCGTTGGTTCCGGGATGTGGGAAGGGGTATGATGTGCTTTTGTTGAGTGCGTTTGGGTATGATGCGTATGGACTTGAGATCTCGAGTAATGCTCTGGAGGCAGCGAGGAGGACTGAAAAGGAGATGGATGGGAAGGGTGACTATGAGATGAGGGAGGGGGTGGAGAAGGGGAGGGTTACGTGGTTGGCTGGGGATTTTTTTGCAGATGCTTTTCTGAAGGATGTGGAGGGTGAGGGAGCTTTTGACTTGATTTATGATTATACGGTGAGTTTGTTTCCACATAGGACAAGGTCTAGTGCTGAGGTGACTAGTTCTTGTCTGCCCTGCCACCGGTCATGAGACCTGCGTGGTCGAAGCGATCTGTGGAACTACTTGCTCCCAAAGGGAGAATTGTTTGTGTGGAGTTCCCGACGTATAAACCGGCTTCCACTGGGGGTCCACCTTGGGCTCTGCCTCCGAAGATATATCTGGCTCATTTGTCCCGACCGGGTGAGGAGTTGCCGTATGCTGAAGACGGAGAGCTCGAGGAATCGAAGCTCGGAGAAACAAGTACGACTGGCCTGCGAAGGATAGAGCACTCTCAGCCCAAGAGGACGCATCAGATCGGCTATAATGCAGAGGGCAAGGTGACTGACTGGGTCAGTGTATGGGCCAAGTAAAAAAAGAGTCTGGTCCTTTGTGGTTTCCAATAATCCGTGCTTCAAGTTGCCCTCCGAAGTGAGTTGTAATGTTCTCCCAACCCAAAATTATGCCGATAGTATGCCAGCCATATCTTCTCTGGTGCCTCGGGTCCATCCGAATCAGGCTCAATAGTCTGAGCAATCCCATCCTGCAGCACGCATATCTCCACATTATACGTCTTTGCCAAAGCCAGTAATTCGAGATGCCCACCCCACTCCGCCGTATCCCTAATTTTTTCCACATACTGATTCAAAGGCTCATCCAGCCAAGCCACAAAATCATCAGGATGTCCCTCAATATACCTGGCAGCGGCCTTCCTCACAAGCTTATACCTCTGATCCTCCTTCAACTCCGCATCAGACCCTGCACCTAGCGGAATCCCAACTTGTGATAATTGATCCGCAACAGCAGAGAACAGACAATGCCCATCAGGACGAATGCCCTTCTCCACGAGCCCTTTCTCCTTAAACTGCACCAGCATCTTTGCCCTCTCCACAGTCTTCTTATCTGGTTGATTCGCAGCTTCGTTCTTCGCTTCTTCTACTGCGGCATCTTTTTCTGCAGCTCGTCGTGCCAGGTGTTCCTTAGCCCGGTTGCGTTTTCGAGGTTGGCCGTCTTCTGAGATTGTGGTTCTCTCGAGGTTTTCTACTAGACCGTTCACGCCGTTCGATTGAGGAGCTGCAGGCTCTTCTACTAATTCGTCAAGGTCGGGGATGTCGTCAGCTTCTGGTACCGCTTCTCCGTTGAGAGCGGCTCTTTCCTGTTCTTGTCTTTCCTTGAGTTGACGTTCGAGCTCTTCGCATTCGGTATTCACGCCTTTCCGTGTCTTTTTCGTTGCACCTTTCTTCTTCTGCATAACCCGTGTTTGTAGGTCTTTCTTCTCTTTCCCGTGGCGAGCTTGCATCTCCTCGAGAGTCCCCATTGCTGACATTGTTGTGAGGTAGGTTGGGGCTGTGCGCGACTTATCTTGTCTCTGAAGGTCTAAGGTGGAAGCCCGAATTCTTCGCCGCCTGTGAGAAGCTAAAACGCATCGAATGGATTATCCCACAATGGTTTCGATTGTATTTTCTTTCATGAATCCGCGAGGCTTTTCAAGAATAATCCAATCAGCTTCACAACTCACCTCGAGTCTCGAAATTATTTCTCGGTTTGCTTGCCAAGCAAACACCAGCGGGTGCTTCCGCCCTGCCAATCACACGTCTCTTTGCCCCTGTCAGTGCAGTCCTGCGACCACCTCGGGCTAAACCCTGGCCTACATGCCGAATTGCCGGCCAGACTCAGTGCAAGAGCGACTTCTTCAACCTTTATTCCCGCTTCAAGGTGAAGATGGGCTCCACGCCACATCGGTCATCAGTGCCCTCAATGGGCAGAAGTCCCGCCCCTCCAACAGGGGGTGACAAGCGCTCAATCGAATGGGGGGGATTTCGAGGTTGGGTTTCTTCAGTGTGTTGCTTGTTCTAAGAGTCTACTTAAGTAGTGGGGTATGAAGATCCCGCCTTTTTATATCTTTCTTACGCAAGTGCTTTCCCCTGCGGTCTTGTTACTTCCTGCTTCAAAGTTGCTGCTTCTTGAGTCTCTTTGGCTTCTCTCTGTTTCACGAAGACTTCATCGGAATATCACCCCACTTTGCCTCCTCATCCCACCCTCCCCGATATCGCAACTTCCACAAACAAGAGAGGATGGTTCTTGATCCCGAAAAAGCAGAACTCGAGGCCGCAAGTCATGTACCTCATGACCTCGACGGGCCAGTCTCTCACCCCGGCATCTCAACAACCAAAGACAATGGATTTTCAAAAAGAGAAGAGACAGATGAAGACTCAATCCACTCGCACTCCTCACTAGGAACCATAGAAGCCGTTCCAGAAGAGACTTGCCCCCCTCAACGGTCGAAATCAAAATCCTCATCAGTTCACTCTCGACCATTGTCGATAATACCCCGCTCTAAAAGGAGAGGCTTGCTCGCGAGATTTACTGTCATTCCAGAAGTGGAACGACCTTATGATTATAAAAGAAGCACGAAATGGCTCATCACGCTGCAAGTAGCGTTAGCAGCCGCCGCAGCACCGATGGGGAGCGCGATTCTCCTCCGTAAGCCCCATCCCCACTTCCTCTCTTCATCATTGATATCTTACTGAAAGCTATTTATTATAGCTGCATTGCCGCAACTAGCAACAGACCTCAACAGCACACCAACAATCACTAACCTCTCGGTTGCCATGTACATGCTCTCCATGTCCATCTTCCCTCTCTGGTGGTCCTCCTTCTCGGAAACCCTCGGCCGGCGAACCATCTACCTCGTCTCCTTCGCCCTCTTCGCGCTCTGGAACATCATCTCCGCAGTTAGCACCTCCATGGGCATGCTAATCGTGATGCGGATCCTGGGCGGTGGCGCCTCCGCATCCGTGCAAGCAGTAGGCGCCGGAACCATCGCCGACATCTGGGAAGTGCGCAAGCGAGGCAAAGCCATGGGGATTTTCTACCTAGGGCCTCTCCTCGGACCACTTCTAGCACCAATCATAGGTGGTGTCTTGTCACAAGCTTGGGGATGGAGGAGTACGCAGTGGTTTCAGGTAATTTATGGGGGTGTATTATTTATTATATTAACGTTTTGTCTCCCTGAGACGCTTGCTTTCAAGCAGCCTGCCGTTCCCCCAATGCAAGCCGCGGACGAGAATTCTGTACGGCCGGATCTGGGCCGCGTCTCGACGCGGCAGTCGGTTCAGATGAAGACAAAGAAGGTTGCCAAGGTCTTCAAGCGCTGTATTATCGACCCTCTGAGCGTACTGCTGTACCTCCGCTTCCCGGCTGTCCTCATCACTGTATATCTGGCCTCCATAACGTTTGGCAGCTTGTACATGCTCAACATCGCCATCCAACAAACGTTCTCCGAAAAGCCGTACAACTTCTCCGTCATTATTCTTGGTCTGCTCTACATACCAAGTTCTCTTGGCTATCTCGCAGCATCAGTGCTCGGTGGACGATGGTCTGATTACATTATGCACCGCGAGGCTCGCGCTGCTGGCCGGTACGACGAGCACGGGAAACTGGTGTTCCGTCCTGAAGACCGGATGAGAGAAAATGCCTGGATAGCGTCTGCGATCTTCCCGGGTGCTCTGATCTGGTATGGCTGGACGGCTGAAAAGGGCATCATTTGGATTGTGCCCATCATCTCGAACTTCTTCTTTGGTATGGGAAGCATGGTCGTCTTCGGGTTGTCGACTACCATGCTCACCGAATTCATGCCAAAGCGCAGCAGCAGTGGAGTGGCGGTTAATAATTTCATCAGGAACATATTTAGTTGTGTGGGTGGTATCATTGCCCAGCCTCTCATTGCGGCAATTGGACTCGGGTGGCTGTTCACTGGCTTGGCGGTCATTTGTTGGATCAGTGCCTTCTCCGTCGTTTGGGCGATGAGAAAATACGGTCCGAAGTGGAGGATTGCAATGGATCAGAAACTCCGAATGTGAAGGGCAGGAATTAGATAAACGTCTGATGGCTATCCGTCATCTCAACGTCTGGTTGGTAATTGAATACCTTCGTGGTAGAGACCGATTCACCAGACTCCTCCGCCCACGTGTGCAACCCGAACTTTACCATGACGGGACTGGTCAGAGTCGGGACACGAGAGTCTGAAGGAGACCAAGTTGGATTGGCATGACGAGGAGTGCGGTTCATGGCCAACTGCTGAGCCTGAGCTGCGACATCGGTAGCGGCTCCCTCGTGGAATTGCAGCCTGTTCTTTAACAGGGTGGCATTCTGTCTGTTCCATGCTAAGAGTCGATCGCCATTGGCATCTCGGCTGACGAGTTCTTTCCAGGCTGCGGCAACATTGAAGTCTTGGTAGATCTGCGCCAGGAGACCTTTGACAACCAGGGACTGGGACCAGCGAGCCGTTACAAGGTTTTGCTTTTCATAATGCTCGGCGAGATGAATAAGCCTCCCTAAGGCTCGTTAGCTACAGCTTTTGATGGATGTGACCCGGACAGGGGCATGGTATTGCTAGGAGAAACGATGTCTAGCCTTTATGACTTATCATAAGTCACCCGCATAACAGGTATATAAATCGGGGGATGAGGGAATTGAGTAATTGGGAGGCGTGAAAATAAGACAAGACAAGAAATAAACGTACCCTCCCAAGTGAAAGAACAACCACCACAATATCCACATCCCCAAGCCCATTTCTTCTTCGGTCTTTGATGCCAGCTCTCCCAAAGCGTTGAGCAATTCTCTGATAGAGCATGAACTTGCTGCAAGTGCTGTTTCAACTTGTCCTTTCGATAGAATGTCCTCGCCTCGAGCTTCTTGCTTTTACACACATGGATCTTGTGCTCGTTTATCAAATGCGCAACCATATCGGAACGGTTTGCTTTAAATGAATTGCAGAATACACAAGTCCATCCAGTTGCAGATAACTTTGCCGGCTCTCCAAGTAGGCAGGTCCAAAAATTCTGCGGGTCATGAGACTCTTCGTGTCGTTTCCAGTCGCCTTTACGGTTGAAGCCTCGCTTGCATGAGGTACAAACGTATTTCCCTTGCCCTTTCTGGGAGCTGGTTGGAGTTTCCGGCTCCGATGGAAAGTTGAAGTTAGAGCGAAGTTCGATCCTCTCATGAGCACGTGAGAGGGAGACACGATTTAGACACGGTCCTTCTTCAATGATGGCATTCTGTGGTGCAAAGGTGGAGAGGCGCGGTGGCCTCGTTGGCACCTGCAATTCGCTCGGGTTGATGGACTGATTCGACTCATTCAAATCAGTAGGCTTGAGATCTTCTGTGTACATATCGCAGAAGGAGACCAAGGTTGAGGCTGTATCCCAAGTTCGCAATGATGACTCGTAAGAAGATCGATCTGCATCGTACGATCTATCTCCCTCGATCATACATCTCCGGTGACCTATGGGTTGGGAGAGCAGAGGGCTGGATTCAGAGAAGGAGGATGGAGGTCTTTCAGCCCCCAATGTATTTGACCAGCAAATATTTTGGGGAACTTCGAGCATCGAGGGATGTGAGTTTGAGAAATCCTCATGCGTCACGCCAATTGGAGACCACGCCTGAGTTTCTTGTGATGGAGGCAGAAAGAAGGAGAAGTCCTGGCTTGATAGCCCAAATTGTAGACCATCCATTTGTTGGACCTCTTGGCTGGTTTCAATTGTTGTAAGTTCCTGGTGCTGGAAAGAGTTCTGGCTCGTGTCCACTCTCTGCTGTGGTTGCGTCACAGGTGCAGCATCTTCACATTTAATCAGCCCAACGATTAGGAGCAGCAAACTGTTTGTAGGGTACCTTGAGGCTTGGGAGAATCAATGTTCTTCCACCATGAGTCAATCTGCTCTTCGCTAAGTCCCTTTTCCGCCTTGAGAAATTGTTTATCTCTTTTTCGCGGAGGTTTGCCTATGATGGTAGCCCATCGTCGCAGCGTCCACTCCTGATCTTCCGTGATCGGCTGCATTGTTTCCATCGAAGTACAGCCTTTCGTCGCCTATTGTGCTTCTTAATATTACAGATAATTGATTCAGTGAGTGCAGGACGGTTGGTTGGAATATGGCCGAAAGTGAGGTCAAATAATAGCTTCCAAAAACACATCTTCGCGCTTCAATACGCACCAATATTTGGCTCTTATTTGTTCTCAGCTCCTCTCGTAGGGCAAACTGAGAGGGCGCGATTGTTTCGTTTCAGCACAATTTCGCCCTCTCGAGAAGTGATCTGACGTGCAGGGATGGCCCGTCGCCCTCCACTAACAGGCCTCGCTCCAGTTCCTTGCTGGCGAAAACAATCCGAGGGTGCAGAAACACTCGTTCATCCCGCATGATTCCTTTTGCAAATCGCGACGGTGGCGGTTTCAGGGTGAACTCCCAGCCTCTTACAACACCAGATCGTCCTCTCATTCGCTCCCCATTTCCGGTGACACGACATGGCAAGTTTGTCAGGGTGTCAAGCTGTCAAAGTTGTCGACACCAGGGTGCGTCGCAGCGTACTGCTTGGATTCCTGCCCGATGTCCAGGCGCTACTTCACCCTGCGCTCGCCGCTGAACCCCGGAGAAAATCCATCGATCACTTGAACGAAACGAAGCAGCGGCTCTCTGAAGTCCAGAGAGCTTTCTGCGGAATCCGGGCGACTGAAGCCGTCGTTTTACAAACAGATCTCGACCAGAGAAACCTCCGAGAACTGGGACGAACGGAGGACGATGTGGAAATTCGGAAGAGGCCGTGGCTGGGTCGCGCCTTGGCTTTGCATGCCCGCCTGCGAATACGGGAAGCGGCCGACCAGATATGTGCGTATCATTCTCCTCCTCGAAGAAAGTTCAAGCGCATCAACCTCGTCTGAGCAGTCGATTCTAAATGGGGGAACCCCGAGGGGGCTCAGATCACGTGGAACGGGATGGATCCACTCAGACTTTGCCACATGAGATGAACCTTCCCCTCCACCCCATCCCTAGCAGCTCTCGAGCCGTTTCCCCTTCTCTCCGTCGCTGCTTCTCAAACTCCCTCCAGATAGCCGGTGCCCTTTCTCGGCCGGTCCCACAGAGCTTTCCCACGTCTTGCAAGTCGCAGGCGACCATTGGAGCACGCCCCCCTGACTCTTCGCTTCCTCCTTCCCGGCTGGGCGATGACTTCGTTCCATTTATATCGAGAATTGAAGGCTCGGACATTTCTATTTATATCCATCTCATCCTGTTCTTTTAAGCTTCTCGGCAAAAGCTGCAAGCTGGCTCGAACGCAAGCCTTGGCGGATCTGTCACCGATGAGCTTCGCTTCACTCTGCTTCCAAGCTGTATGGCAAATGGCCTACCCCGAGCCTGATGCCCTCATAGAACCAGAAGCGCATGCCTCAACAAGTCATGGATCTGCTCTTGATGATCCGTAATTCCAAGCTCTACTTTTGAAAATCGAGGCTTTAAGCACAACAATAGCACAAGTCAGCAGCTCTCTGCACTCAAAATCGACAACGAGATCCGATCCTTGATCGAGAAAGGAAGCAGTTGAGACCAACGTCAGCAACAACAAGTTACCCTATCTCCCATGGAAACCGCAGCTATCTCCATGATCGTATTTGTGGCTCTTTGGGTGGTCGACCTCGCCATCTTTCACGATAATGCGAGCAAGTTGTCAAAGGGGTACAAGGGGTTCTTGCCGAGGATTGCCTTGCTTGCTCTACTGGCTGCTAATTTCGGGTTGGTGGCTGCACTGGCTTTGGGGGCGTCGATGGGGGGGTATGTATATGTGTTGTATATTGTTCGGCCGGTGCAGGCGGCCGTGGGGTGGAAGGTTGTTACTGAGAAGGTGAAGGTTGAGGACGTGGGGAAAGGAGAGAAGAAGTGAAGTTCTTACTTCTGCTTCACTATTCTGTGCCTATGTGCGATTTGCTTACTTTCATTGATTACCGCACTCGCAGTTGAAGAATTAAGCTCTGGGTGTTTGTGATCTTCAACCTCGGCCTATGGATAATATCAATGGCCATGGCGTTGCTGATCCTTCTCCTTCCTGTCGTAATCTTGCGAAGTACTTGGCTGGCAATTGCCTCCCAGATCAGGAAGTCATAAGCCGTCTTTCACGAAGTTCCCTAACAGTAAGCAGTTGGAACTTCATTCTCCTTATCATTGCCTTGATCCATTTTGCGAATAGATAGCCTCAACAACCTAGCCTTGACCTCTCGCTTGGGTATTCAACACTTTTAGTTCTATCAGACCTCTAAATGTCCCAAGAGACTTGCAAGGGGTATCCCAGATTAGACGAAAACAACCAAACTTCAGGCGGCCGTCATTCTTTATTCGCCCTGCCGCGCGTCTTAACTCTATCTTGGAAACGAGAAGGGAAGGGCAAGGGCAGGGAGCAGCCACGCCCGATATTTGGTTTTGAGAAAGTTGCCACGCAGCACCTTCCACCTCTTGCTTCCCTCCAACTTTCCCTGTCTCTACTCACACCCTCCTTCTCCCTTCTCTCCGTCGCTGAAAGTACCGACCATAACATATACATTAGCACACGCGCCTTTGGAATAAGGTAGTATTCCACTACGAAGGCGAATTTCCCACAGCAGCTCCTTTCGGCAGGGAATTTTGCGTAGCGCTATTAAAGTGGAACGTTTTGCTGTACATCAATTCGCAAGCCAGAACAAGCGGCTTTAGCGTGAAAGTGATACCTCGCAGAACCCAGCCATTGTTGTGTATCCATCCTGCTTCATCAAAATCGGCGAAGGCAGCTAGCATGATGGCATCGATGACCCCCAACGAACATGCCGCAATTGCTTTGCAACCAAGAGAGGGGTGTTTTGTGCTAGTTTCAATACCCCTTAAATCCAACTCCACTTCAAATTTCCGTGAACCCGAGGTCGCATAAAGAGACTTCGAGGTCAAACCTGTACTCTGATGAGATCCTACAATTCACTATTTTGATCGATGCGAGCCGAAAGTTGACAGTGGACGAGAAGTAACAATGACACCTCGGACGAATTCAGGCAAATCGTCTGAATTATGATTGTTGATTGGGTCATCAAGGTTTTTTGACTTGAAGGCTGTGATAGATTTGAATTGGGAGGGAAGTTGGGTGTGGGCTTTGTGCTCTTATAAGGTTGACGAGAGATGAAGGGTTGCGAACGTACTGTCTGTAAGTTTTCCCACTGCACCCCACATGGGGATTGCTAGAATTCATTGCCTTGTCGGAGGATAGCGACCCTTCCCTTGCAAAATAATACTAAGATAAGGGAGTTCCGCTCACAAGCTCGGGAGTTTGGTATCTCCCTGCCACATTGAAGCGACCTTTCATTTTGTTGACGATTCACAGTTGAGTCATGACTTACCGCCTTGGCAAGAAATCTTCTCAAGTTGAGATGGTCCTGCCTCATGCCGCTCTATATATAAGGAGGCTCTCGATTGTCTAGGGTCCCAAATCATCAACTCTATGGAGATTATGAACAAGATGTCCGATAAAGCGAAGTCTGTCCGCATCACCAAGCCCACCACAACTGCGAACAAAGAAGCCAAGTAGGCCCCTTGGTAGCAAGTCTATTGGAGAATCTTCCTCGGCATAGAGTTCTATTGTTTTTGGTTATTGGGACGATAACAACGGCGCTGACAACGGACGGATCATGACAACGGACGGATCGTGACAACGGAGGAGACAATGACAATGGCTTTCGTCTAAATTCGTATAGAGGTTTTTGTGAATAAGGAGTCTAGAAATGACAGATTGGCATATGAAGGACAATGCTGGATAAAGAGCAAAAAGAGCTAGGCCCTCCAAGTACTCCTTCCTCAGGAGCCACTCTCCGTTGACCCCTCGCCTCAGAATCGTGAGTTGTTCCCGGGAGCAAATTGGGTTTGGTGTGGGAATGGATATATGAGAGTTTGAATATCGAAGTTGAAATACAATGCTTCCTTAATTGGCGCTGCTTTCTAAATACGAGGGTGCGAGCTTTTGTACTCGGTTGCTTTGGATTGGACAATTTGTTCGAGTTCCGTTTTGGCGAAGAGGCAATGGTGCGAATTTCTTAGTAGTTTTACAGTAAGAAAGGGCTGATTCTAAATGGGCATCTAATCATACCTGTTTGAACTAATGAAGTTTGCTATGCTCACAATCCACCACCTTCTCGAGTACAGGTTCAACGGTCTGAGAGGGGACTTGATGCTGTTGATACCCATGCTACAAGAAGCAAGAGTTATCTTTCTCAGAATACAATCCTCTTGTTTCGATCTTGGGACGATATTGACGGCGGGACAAGCCCTGACAACGGACGGATAGTGACAACGGATGAGACGATGTCAGCTGCTTTCGTCTAAATTTTTAGGAAAAGTCTTATAAGTTGGACCCCAGAAGTGTGAATTTAACATTTTGTAGATAATGTTGGACAAAGAGTACTTCATTCTTTTATGTGGTTTGAATATATCGTGGTTTGTTGGCCGAGGCACCGCTTCTATACCTCTTCGGTCATGACACCGTGGTCATCCTCGTCCTTGAAATGCTTCCTCGTGCTCTTTTATCTGTGGCTGGGGAGACATAAGCCATTGAGATGCATGCATTAAAAGGCGTAAGTTCAAGGTGACCGAAAATACGTGGAGCATTGACTCTACCTCCATCCTCGTGAAGATACGTACTCGGGTCATATCGATTCCAACGCCGATGATGAAGCTAGACGTGAACAAGGATATGTATTGTGCGTATCAGATCCCGCTAAAGGCTTGACGAATTGAGTTGTCAGACATGCTAGAATGATGGAATTTATGGAGCTCGCCAGATGCCAAGGACTTGAAAGATATTAGGCAGGGAACTCTTATTTCGGGCATTGTTAACAACTCTTGCACTGTCAAGAACGCAGATGGTATATGCTTGTTGTCAGATAGGTGATTGCTGTCAGATGGGTGATTGCTGTCAGATGGGTGATTGCCGTCAGATGGGTGATTGCTGTCAAATTCTTGACAACACAGCCATAAAGCCTAGTACTTAGAGCAGGGAGGTTACCATTTCCGCAGTGAAGTTACCAGGACGATGAGGTTCAGCCCATGGGTGGCGTGTCACTAAATCAAGCCCTCATAAGATGAGAAAAATCGTTCCAGCCCGCATACGTCCTCTATATGCTGAATTGTTTGTGAAGGCAGCTGCCAAAAGCGGAAGGCAAGACTTATATAAATACCGGGTCCAACCCCGGCTCAGCGAACGCTGCAAAGCTCAGCACCAAGACAATTCACTATTCAAGTCCCATATACCAAATAAGCACGCATACGTACTCGTTCAGCTTTGTATACGTGAAAAGCCATTCGGTCTTCCCTCTTTGGTTTTTCCTAGTGTAATCCCTTGAACCTTTCTTCCTTCAACAAACCTGCTAGGCCGACCTGGCCCTAACCTGTGTCCGTGGGGTTGGTAGACATCGCTGGATCGAAAAGGAAATCCCATAGAGAGCTATTTCATGTCGCATATGATAGAAATTGCACAGGAGAACAGAGACTTAAAATGACAGACTATCCCGACTCCGGGTCTGGTCACAAAACCGTTCACCTTCATGGCCACCAACAACGAGGACTCCGCGGGCGGCACGCCTGAACCTGCCGAACAACTCAGTGGATCTTCACAAAATATTCTAACAATGCAAGAATCTGGTACGAATACGCGCCCGAAATCAATGAAGAAGGCAGATTTGGGCTTGAGTTACATGCTAGGTTTACGCCACCAGAGTCGGCATGCTGGTGATTAAAGCCAAAAAAATCAGCCAAAGGACAGCGGTGAAGATGCTTGACAACAAGAAAGAAATGGGATGAAATTTCCGGATCATGCAGCAACAGCAGAGCTGCTAGACACTTGCCGCGATTCGATGCCTGTACTGTACTTGAACATTTTCGAATGTACACGTTACAGGGTGAATCAACGCCTCTGGAGCCAGTTTAGACCTTGCAACTAGGAGTGCTTCTCGAAATTTCATATGTTCGATATTAAGAGCAAGCAAGCCGTTTTTTATACAAAGGCTACCACCAAAGCCACTCAATGAGAGGACAAGATTGAATCCTCGCTTTTCATTACCAGAAAATGGTCACACCTCTACAGTTTCGCCCTCGCCTCTGTAGCTTTATGCAGCTCACCCCCCTTCTCCCTAAAATACTCCGCAATCTTCTCCCTCGCCACCTCCACAACAGCCGCATCCTCCACGGTTGCGGGAACCTGCACCTCCTTATCAAAGTCTCCGTGCACTGCATTCTCCACCAGCTCTCTCAACACCCTCCTCAACGTCTTGCCAGAGCGAGTCTTTGGGATCATGCCTTTGCCTTGGATCATGCCGCCGAGAGAGGCAATGGCGCCGATTTGCGTGCGGACAAGCTTTTGCACTTCGGCGAAGAGTTGGTCGGAAGGGATGGCGGAGGTGGGGTGGTCGGCTGTGGAGAGAGTTACGAAGGCGAATGGGAGGTGGCCTTTGAGTGCGTCTGGGACGCCAACGACGCAGCATTCGGCGATGGTGGGGTGGGAGGAGATAGCTTGTTCGATGGACCCTGCATACTATCAACGCCGGTAGGAATAGTGAGAAGAGAGTGGGCTTACCAGTGCTAAATCGATGAGCAGCAACGTTAATAATATCGTCCGACCTCGACATAACATGTATATAGCCATCCTCATCAATCATCCCTGCATCCCCAGTATCAATCCACTTCCCCTCAAACCTCTTCAAATACCCCTTATAAAATCTCTCTTCGTCCTGCCAGAGGGTTCGGAAGCCCGTGGGCGCTAGAGGCATGCCCAGGACGATGTTTCCCATCTTTCCCTTTTCGACTTCTTTGCCTGAATCATCAACGATTCGGACGTCGAATCCGGGCATAGCTTTCCCTGCACTGCCGGGTTTGATGCCAAGCGGTTCATGATCTCGGATTGTGGTCTTGCGATCTTTGCCCGCGTGGGGAACGAGTGCTACTCCAGAGATTGGTGATCCGGATTCTGAAGACCACCAGTTGTCGATAACATGTCCTGGTGCGCCGTATTTCTTCAAGAGCTCCTGGTACATGGTGATGATACTTGGTTCTGATCTTTCACCAGCCAAGAAAAGTGCCTTCAGGGTCTTGAGCCCTCGTCTCTCGCCGACCGTCTTGAACATCTTGTTTTCCGGATCATCTCTTCGGATTGCGCGCAGCGCTGTTGGAGCTGTAAATAACGTGTTGACTTTATACTCTTCGATAATACGCCAGAAAGTGCCCGAGTCTGGTGTACCGACTGGCTTTCCTTCGAAGAGTACGGTTGATGCTCCAGTGAGGAGTGGTGCGTAGAGGATGTATGAATGGCCCACTACCCAGCCGATATCTGAGGCGCAGAACATGACATCTCCAGGTCCGTGGATGCCGAAGAGGTAGCTTATTGATAAGTGAAGTCCTACTGCGTGGCCACCGGCTTCTCGTAAAACTCCTTTGGGAAGACCGGTAGTGCCGGAAGTGTAGATGATGTAAATACCGTCACTGGACTTGACTGGAACGCAGTCTGCTTTGACACCTCTGCTCCCGGCGCTTTTTACCAATCGCTGCCAGTTTCTCTCCCCATTTGGCTTGTCAAGATTGTCCCAACGGAGCTGATCTCGTTGCCAAATGATGGTCTTTTCTGGCTTGTGAGATGAGAGAGAAATAGCTTCTGTAATAAATGGCTTATAGGACGTGGGTGGTTTCGCGCCATCAATTCCACAGGAAGCTGTAAGAATGGCGACTGGTTTGGAAGCATCAATTCGTTGTGCCAATGAAGCTGGGGCAAATCCACCAAATACGACAGCGTGGATCGCACCAAGTCGGGAGACTGCGAGAGTTCCAATAAGTGCTGCTGGAATCATGGGCACTTTTCAAGTATCAGCAGATAATCCACACAATCACCCACTCCACAACTCACTATAAATCAAAACAACATCTCCTTTCTTAACACCCTCCTCCCTCAATACCCCAGCAAAAGTCTCAACTTCCTTCTGCAACTGCTTATACGAGAATTTCTGCTTCGTCTTCGTCACCGGACTGTCCCAGATAATCGCCGTATGATCCCCATGCCCCGCCTCGACATGTCTATCCACGCAATTGTAGCATGTTGATATCTCGCCGTCTGGAAACCACTCCCAGTGATCATGGTCAATGCCTGACTTCAGTGACTTCGAGGTTATGCTGAGGGTGGAGCTGGGTTTCTTGTGCCAGTGGAGGTGGGAAGCTTGCTCTGCCCAGAATGATTCGGGATCGTTGAGGGAATGGTGTTGGACTTCGTCTTGGGGGTGGGAAGACATTTTCTGGAAGGATTTAGCATCTGAATGTATGAGGAGGTTAAGATCAATTCGTACCCTTGCTGTGGAGAAGCTGGCAGATCTGAATGGTGCTCAATTGGATTAGATCGTGGCGCTGAAGCACAGCTTACTCAAGGCGAGGTTGCACGGTGGGCAGCGTAAAGGAAAATCAGAGAGTACACTGTATTGAATGTAGCTAAGAAATTAAAAGATGTGTGTACCTGATTGATACTCTTCTAAAACTTGCAAGAAAAAGACGATTCATTTGTAGATGATGACAAAAGAGAAGCTTATGATTTACCCCGGGTATGCGTTCGGGCTGGAGGAACCTTGATGCGACAGCGGTGGAGAGCTTTCTTTCCCCGCACCCTCGGTTGGAAGTGATTGGTTGTACCCCACTGAGTGGGGTATCAACCTCACCACTTTCTTTCTCCATACAGAAATGAGTGACGCCTGATACTCATGGAATTCCGTCTTCGTATCTATTTTATTACAGTTTTTGCTCATACAGTACTCATTTATCGGTATAGCATCAATCCCCATCTGACTCTCTCACCCCCAAGTCCTTGCTTACAGTGCTGCACCATAAAGTATCAAATCGACAAGCCATGGATGTTCTAAACAATCTAGGAAGAATGAGAGCTCTCCCTTACTCTTGTAACAATATTTGCAACACGCTTTCGAGAGTATCGGATTCCGACCGACCTTCCGGTCGGGGCTGTCTCCCGCCTTCTGGATCCTCCTGGACCATTGGTTGTCCCACAGTCTTAGTGACCTCCAATAATCGCTCTTGAACCTTCATGTTAAACTTCTCTACTCATTCTCGACCTGCCTATCCTCGGTCTTCAGCCAATCCTCATACGTGATGGGCACCTCTTGGTACAACGAATGTACCCTCTAATAACCAGTTGCTTTCGAGGGATAATTTGGCCATCGAAGTCCCCTGTTGATCTCCTCATTCCCGTCCTGCTTGCGAAGAACCTAGAATTTATGAGCTGTGAGCATTGCACGTTCGAAAGCTCTTAGAAACGGATCGCGGTTGAGAAACTTTACTTGGCTGCGAGACGGTATGTTGAGAATGTGCAACGTTGCACACAGAGCTCTTGTTCCTCTCTAGCCGTCTTGATATCCCACTTCCGTTGCATGGGGAAGTACTGGGACGTCGAGTACAGCTGAGCGGTTGTCCGTGCTAGGATACCTTTCACGTCGTCTAAGAACTGTGAGGTCGATTAAATAAGTTCCCGGTGTTTGTCGATACATCACCGCTCTTCTTTTGACCATCTTGTCGTAGAACAATGGTCCTGCGTGGTGGGTGCAATCATCTATAATAGGACTAGCACTCACTTTCGGATGAGAGAAGATTCTTCTGCGTTTATCAGGCGCAAGTGTTGACAGACCCTCTGCGATGTCAGCCGCGCTGAGATCCTTGGCCAGCTCGAGGAACTCGTCTAATTTGCGTTCGCTCATCTTGCCAAGGCGACGACGCGATGCGGGAAGATGACGGTGCAGAGTCGCTTTTGCCGATTCAAGAAAGCGAAGGATAGTCTTGGATGAGGGTATCAGACTGTAGAGACTGAGATGTTGTGGGCGAGAGCGTCAGAAATGAGGAGACGCAGATGTGGTCGAGGTGTTTTCGAAGGTTGAAATTTCTCGAGGTCGGCACTGACGTTGCTCTAAAAAAAATATAAAAAAATAGAAGTGAACGCTGAATTGAGTGATGCTGTCGTGAGAGGTCGCGAAAGTGAAGCTTGCTCTCACTTTCTAGGGCAACGAAGACGAGTCTCAACTTACAAGAGGATATCTAGCGTACTTACTATTGATTTTTACCTTCGAAAATACTTTGCAGGCAAAGAGCTTTTATGAAATTGCCATGGCTGGGAAAGGGCTACAGAATTCACTCACATCTTCCAGGAACGAGAATCCAACTCGACAGTCACTTCCCAGATTCGAGGAAACCCTCAATGTATCAGCAACTCTCCGAACATTGAAGCAATTTGCAACAAACCCCCAACTCCCAGAATTCACTCTCAACTCTGAAGCACAAGCTCTAAACGTTTGGAACATTGAAACGATATGGAAACCCCCCCCCTTTTAATTTGATCCTCCTTTGGCGGTACTGCGTATGATATCACAATGATCCGTATTTTCTTGCTTGGGGTCAGACATATATGCCAAAAAAATATGTGGCACCAAGCTTGGAACAAAAAGTAGCAGTTAGGATGATCCTTAAACGAAGTAAACAGGCATCGGGTTGCACTTGAGTTCCAACCAACACTCACAACGGAGAAAGAGAAAGAGCAGGCGAAATGGAAATCCTCTCAACGAGCCATCCACCACTTCACTTGAAGCTACCCATTCGCAAAACGAGCCCCTTCCCAAACATCACTTCCTCTTCCTCTTCCTCTCCCCTTTGCTCCTTCCCCACAGACGTATCCCCTACAACGCGTCCCTCCATGTCTTCCCAAACCACCCTGCCCCAGTATTTCCATTTCCACCTCGCACTCCCCCTCTCCAAATCTCCGGGCCCTCATCCACCTCCGAGCTATCCCCAAATCCCAGGTTCTGCCCACCAGCTCACCTCCTATTGGGCCAACCCCCCAACGAACACACACCCAATCTCGCTTCCACATGCCCTCACCGACCCTGCGCTAATGCAGGGGACGTCCCAAGGTTTTTTGCAGGGGGGATAGACCGACCGAACGGAGCTCGGTCGGGGGAGCTACTACTGTAAGAACGACCGTTCATTTCCGGTTGATTTTTCTTTTTGGGGTCTCGGGGCCCGCCCACCTCTCCTCCGTGGTGGGAACGAGACAGTTTTCTGAGCTGGGTGCGGTTGGTTGGTTGTGCAGCTGACTCCCCAGATTTTTTTGGCAGGTTGCGCTTCCTAGAGAGATAAACATTGTGGAATACAGATGTCTCGAGGTTAGGATTGTAAAAAAAAAAATTTATCTTTTTTTATTTAAAAGAAAACAATCTGAGAAGCCTCGCACCTCTCGAACCCTAAAAAGAACCACCCCAGAAAAATCCAAACCAATTGATTTCTGAAGCAAGGGAAGGGAGAGTTTAACCCCACCATATGTTTCTCGTTAGAAAACAGGTTTTGTTTTAATATCAACTCCTTCTATCATAAAATCAATCAATCAATCCATAATTCAACGACACCTCCCTCCCTCATCTTCCTCTCAAACACCTCGTAACCATTCAGCGATCACAAACGAAACATCACATGTCCCACCCCATCTGATCTCATCTCATCTTCATCTCATCTCGGCCCTTCCCCCCCCCCCCCCCCCCACAAAAACCACATGTCAATTTTCTCCCCCTTCAAAAAAAAAAACCAAACTAAAATAAACTAATTAACACTTCCCTTGAACTGTTTTAACTTTTAACGATGATTCCCTCGCTGCGCCTTCCCCTCCCCCAGGCAAAAGCAGGAAATTATTCCCAGAAAGGGGGGCCTGATCCCCATTTGTGGAGGGCGTGGAGATTACCTTAATCTCGCCCGTGGCATCCGGGGAACCATGTTTCTGCGATCGCTGTGGAAAGCCTTTTCGGCGAGGGGGGGCCAAAAGACAGATTATCAAGATGCGGTGATCGGATCCGGGTTAAATTACGCGTCTGTTGGTTTTGGAGATCTTTGAAGTTTGGGCTGAACGTGTCGCGAGGAGTCGCGGGTGATGTAATTTTTTCTGTCTGTGAAGTGTGGTGTGTTGTGAGCGAACATTTTGAGCAACACGGTGAGAGAGGGCGAGACGAGAAGGTCGAAAAGGGTGCTGGGCCAAAAACTTGGTCTCCGAGCAATGCTGCCGTCTCCGTTTCATTTGATTGTAAGTGTACAGTACAATAGACAGGCGCAAGCACTGTGAACATTTGAAATATTTTTCCATTCCATTTGACCAGAGACCAATAAACACACCCAGCGTAAAGAGTCATTAATGTATGATGAGAACCGAAGAAATTCTATGATGCAGAGGTGAACAGGAAACCCATCCAGTGAGAAGGTTCAGGTGGAACAAGGTGTTGCGTTGTTATTTGACCAGATTCTTTCTTCCTCGACGAAGCGTCTAGAAACGGATGATTATTAATGTAACAAGCCCAAACACCGTGGAAGGTTGTCTCGAGACACCTGAAAGACCGCACACTGGGTATGGGGGATATAGGATCCTTGTGCCGCCGTGAAGCAAACACTCATCGACCGCAAGCAATTACAAGAAAAGGAATTGATGCGCCCTGCATTATGACGAAGGACTCCAGAGAGCAATGCAGAACACCATGATTAAGCCCAAGAACCAGTCCACCTCACCACGCCTCCGATCCACCTTCCCAACGCTTTCCTTCCGTCATGAATTACCGAGTACCAAGAATCGTATGTTCGTGACTATCCGGTTTGCGAGAGGACGTGAACCGCTTACAAGATGTAAGCAGCGAGAGCGAAGAGACCAGCAAGGCTTGCACCAGAGATGGCGACAAGGGAGTTGGCGCCTGAGGTGGTGATGTGCGATGGGGTCGGGGTGCTGGTGGCATAGTTGGAGGTGGTGCCAACTGGGGTCTTGGTGGGGGTGGCAGTGGTAGTGTTGTACACTGGGTAGACCGGGGCAGTGGTGGCCGGGCTATTAACCAATTAGTAAATGCTGTTCAAAACTGTATTGGAACAGTTCAAGGGTACCAGGTGCTGCAGTACGTGTAGCTTGAGGTGGTCACTGGCTTGATGACGGTGCAAGGGCAGTTGGTGACGGTCAAGGTGGTGGCCTGGAAAGCTGTTAGCATTGATAGTATTCACGCTCGAGCCAGGTTTCTACACTGCGATTGTGGGCTTATCGCAGCGAGATCCCCGCTCCTTCGGTTCTACCACATACCTCAGAGATGGTGTAGGTGACGCTGTTGTAGGTCAAGGTGGTGGCCTCTGGGCAGTAGGTGGTGTAAGAGGTGTACACATCAGTGACGTAAACGACGGTGCTGGAGTTGGCTGCAGGGTACCAGGCCTGGGCGGCACCAGCGAGAGCGGCAACGGCGACAACAGCGGAGAATTGCATCTTGACGATTTGTTGATATTATTTACTTTAAAAGTAAAAGGGGTTGGAGGTTGGAGAGATGAGGGATTGAGGTCGAAGTTGTGGATTGCGTTTGTTGAACGAATGTAATTGACTAAAAGTCAGGATTTGTGTGTGAGTGAAAGCGAGAGTGTGGGTGAAGAAGGAGAGTGGGAGTTGTGATGGGTTGGCTTTCTTTATATGGGAGTGCTGCGCTAGAGCAGGAGAGAGCGCGGACAGCCGGGGGGGGCGGCCGGGGTGCCTGCAGCAACCGCAACCATCAACTGCAAGTTTGCACCACAGCGCGACCGCATATCGCTTAGCGTGGGAAGCTAGCGTGGGTGGCTTACGCGGGCTGGGGGTCGAGAAAACGCGAGGAGACAGGGGCTCATCCGTGCCTTTCGTTGGCCCAGTCCCCATCATCTCCCATGGCGAGATGCGAGCTGCAAGCTGCGAACTGCGAGCTGCAAAAACAGCTGCAAAAACAGCCCCAAAGACAGCCCCAAAAACATGCCCGAAGCAAACAAGTGGCCCGCCGTCCTGCCTGTCCCTGCTCGCAATTAATCGATCTCTGTGGCCCACTGGCCCACGGGCCTTCTGGCCCTGTTGAGCTGCTTTCACATGAATCTCGTACCCGCTGGCTGCCAATTCTACCGCTTCAGGGGGCCTCTCACACGAGCCACTGGTGGAATGAGCCGTTTTCACTGCCCTCTGCTGGAAGTGAAGCTTGAGCTGGGTTCTCAGGGCAACGGATTCTTTTGCTGTTGCTGACTGCCTGTCTTTGCTGCAAGTATATTGCGTATGGAAGATGTAAATACAGTACACCCACCATGTTGTGTTCATCCACGTCACACACAGCACACAGCACACGCAGCGGTAACCGCATCTCATCTGATCTCGTGCTCGTGCTTCCCGTCTCTGCTTCAGCGTCTTGACGTTGGGCTGCAGCCCGCCGTTTTTGCTAGTCAGGGGCGGCGAACAGTGGCACTGTGGCAGAAACCACAGAGGCGCCGCCTGCCAAGTTCCCAGTTCCCAGTTCCAACGCTCCATCGCTCGCTCGTGGGATGGGCTGATCGATTGGATCCATTTTACCCCATTGAACAAATTGTCTACCGCTGGTTGGCTAAAGTGGCTTCCAGAATCCCCTATTGGAAGAGCCATCATTTCGCTTGTCGCGTGTGGCGAGGCGTGAAATCCTTTCTGGCTTCCTGATGGCGGCGGAGGGAGCACGAGGAGTCGAGGGCTTCCAGCACACCCATGATTAGTGTGATTACTGTGCAGAGAAGTGGTCTCGTATGGAGGAGATTTTCATACACGGGGAAACACGGCGAGACGGGCCTGCCAGGGCGGGAGATTACCTTGTCGCGCTTGCTACCCAATGTCACCATGATCCAGCAAATCATGCTTCATGCTTCATGCTTCAACTTTCAAGCGCACAGAAGATCGGTCCTTGACTAATTGGACTTTGAGACCCACCATGATCTTTTCCCCCAAGTTCCCAACTGAAGTGAGCAACCGCCGAGCCAGGCCCTGGCCCGCCGTCGTCATTCCAAAAACCTGGATTCCTGATGGTGGGCACTGGGCATGCGACCATTTCCAAGGCCGATAGAAGCTCTGGAGCGTGAAAGATGGGGATGGCCATGTTGGAAACTCGCGCATCTTGCACATCGGTCATTAGATAAAAATAAAATAGATTAATTTAACGTCATCGCAACAGAGCCCTCGCGTTCCCCAACATCACATCTCGAGTTTTCCTGCTGGCACTGGCCGAACAGGAATCGATCAGTCCTCAGTGGCAACCTGCCGTTACTCCATACAGAAGCAACTAGGACGACGGCCCTCCGCAATGCAACCTTAACTCACGGGCCGCAACACATCACGAGAAAACCCAACGGTTTACGGATCCTCGGTACAGGAAACACCTTCCGACATGGGCCTTCTCGTGTTCTCGAAAATGCCATCTCCAGCTTTGATACCTCAATCTCTGCGCATCTCCACTGATCTCCGCGCCCGCCTCAGACACCCTCATCTTGGCTGGAAATAGCGAACGCCGTGGCGGCACCGGGCTACAAGTACTTCCCCTTTCGCAGCGAAAAGTGGAGCCGCAAATTTCCCTCGAGAAATTTCCAGCGAGATTTTTGGAAGGAAGGCCAACGAAAGTGGATGGCCGGAACCCGCCCTTCGGCTTGTGCCACCCAGAAACCCAGGGATGTGCGGTGCTAAAAATAGATTTTGCTGCTCAAGAGAAAACATTCCTTTTTTGGCATTGCCCTCCTTTGCCTCCTTCATAACTCCTTCATTATTTACTCTATTCATTTTTCCCGGTGTTGGCCGATGCGGAGAACTGGTCGACGGCACAGTCTGAGAGGAAGATTGTTCCATGCAAGAGAAGGTTCCTGCAGCGAGTCGACGGCGAGGTGCGAGTGGTCGAGCTGTCAAGATGGAGGCGTGGTGCCTGCGCAAGCGTCGAGAGCCGCCTGCCAACCGATGGGGAGCTCACGTCATGTTCTCGCCAAGCTGAAGTGTTCGCCTTTGCTTTCCCCGGGGGATGGAGATATCCTCGCCATTCAGGTCTAATACATATTTTTCTGGGCAGGATGGAGGCTGAGTGTGAAGACGGCGTGCCCGAATGCGAAAATGGAAGTTCATGGGATTCTTGGTTTCGGCTGTCAATATGGGGTAGCCCCTGAATCGATGTTATGTCTCCTTTTCTTCTCCTGAGAATCCATGGTTCCATATTCCTCCTTCTCCTTCAGCTTGCTGGTCAAGATGTTTATTCTTCTTATTATTCATCGTGCATCACAAATACATATTGTCAATTCCATGCCCGACGGCCGTCTCCATACTGGAAACAAGTGTTTGGTCGGAGTTGATCAGGCTGCTATCAGGAAGGACACTAAAAGAGTCGTTCGCGAGAAGCTTAGCATAAGTAACATGTCGACGGATCAACAGCACTTACTAGGCTCTGTCTTACTCTTGCGTGGTCAGTGGAACCACGATACTATTCGGGTTACCGCATCAGAAGCCCTTAGTCCTCCTTCCCTGAGGCAGAGATCCCGGGAAGAGTTCACCTCGCCATCGAGAGATCCACAGAAGCGACCAAAGAAGGGGAAGAAGGCCGAGGTTGAGGGAACTTGGAAATGAACGGATATGTGCATATTTGCTGCGCTGCCGCGTCTATTGATTTAGTGTTTTGTATGGCGTCACTTTCTAAGTTCGGATGAAGTTCATCTGGAATCCAAGGTTTCGCTGTCAAAGCTCATACGTTGTCAAATTTCAGCCCTTCGCTATCGCTGAGTATGAATGGAATTCGATGAGGGCAACTACTGGAGTTAGTATAAAGTAGGGATTCAAGTCTTTGTGCAACCTCAGATCCAGATATTTTGCATTTCCCAACTCTAGCGATATTTGCGGTGTGATATGAGGACAGCTGCTATCAAAGCAAAGTTGAGCAAAGAGAATATTCATGCTGCTGGGCATTTTCGAGTAGAAGTTATTTTTTGAGCTTCTTCTGGCGATGTTCGCTCTATTGAGTTGGGCTTCTCAAATTCATCCAAGGGCAGTACGCCTCTCTACTCCCACCTATTTACCCTTCTTCTTCTCCTTAGCTTCTATACTTTGCACTGCAGGAATTTGCTAAAGCCCACAGCAGGATATTGAAGTCGTTCTTGCGTGGAGAGAAGAGAGACTAAAAAGGCTTTGTTACCCAATAATTCAATCTTCCAAAAGTTTTAGGACAATGGGAAAGCCAGAAAATAGGGGTAAATCGTGCTTACAGAGTTTCGTTGCACATCGCACCAATCCTTACTTTGTACCGGTCCTAGACACCAAGGCCAACTTCAACCTCACTGTCACCTTCAAGTGAATCACTGTTCCTAGAGCGTTGACGTTTCGTTGCACTTCGCACGAATCTCGACTGCATCGCTTTCAGAACTACTTAATTCAGCACCGGCTCGCTTTCATCGAGCGAGGTCCGAAGTTGGGCTGGTGCTTTGAATAACTTTTCTTTTTTTATTATCGCATCGTCGAGTGTTATGTCAACGCCATGTTTACGAGCAGTTTACCTATATACTATTACTGTAATGGCCTTGGTAACGTATTCCCCATCGCTGATTTGCCATTTGCCCTCGTGGTCGTTTCTGCGTTGTTTCCTTGTCGAGCATCGATGATTTCACATGACACAAGTCACGTGATTACATTGGGTGTGTCTTCTTCTAAAGTGCGTTGACCTTGATAACCCTTTATTTTGCAGGAACGGGTTGTATTAGATAGCTAATTCGACCAAGAAGGGTCAATTGGCCGCTCCCTCCAAGAGCAGTGCCTGTCGACGCACTTCTAACGCAATGAAGGCCGGAGTCTCACCACAAGCAGACGATATGCACAAGATCCTGAAGTACATGGGTGGTGAATATTCGACAGCTTGGGAGCGCAAGATTGCCAAGTTCGAGAACAAACAGGGCAAGAAGGCCGAAAAGGTTGTCAAGAAGACTGAGAAGATTGTCAAGAAGGAGAAATCATTCAGCTATCAACGAGACGAACCATCTGTCCAAATGATGTTGACATACGACTTTGAAGTTTTTATCAAGCGAGGGCAACGTGAAGCATGTAGGGATCTTCAAGGCTAAGGTCTCGGAAATCCCATGCATATAATTTTCCAGCAGGAGTTACGACCTGCAAAATCTTCCAATGCCTGCTCTATTTAAGCACGCAGTAAGGGGGAAGTACCTCATTAGCATCATCTGCATGGCCGCGGTCGCGCTGCATAACACCAGTAGGTCAATAGCATTCGCAGCTTGCTCACTGCTTGTCCCTTGGATGCTCATTGGTCTTTCTTGTGAATTCAAATCTGCTTGATACAAGTACAAATCACAACTCATGTTATTTCCCTCTCATTCCACTGTTGGCTACCGTCTGTTGTCAAGTATCGTTTCGCCTCTATTGGCAAAGGAATTGAGGAGTCTCGGGGTCTTGGCCATGCCTTTTCTTCTGGTTTCCGGGTCTGCTTTGAGTTTCCTATTAAGGAGTGGTCGAAGTAGAGAGTCCTTTCGACGTACTGCTCCTGAAGAAGACTGGTCGAGTGTGGTGTTTCCTGCGGTGGTCTCGAGTAGTTGTTCAAACACCCCTTAATTAAGCTTCATTGAAGAGCTCTGGGGGAGAGCTGTGTGTATATTTTTGATATCTCTGGTGGCTTCTAACATATTTACCGCAATACTTGGGATTAGAGAGTTTATCGAAGGTAAGGTACTCTATGTTGAACTTAGTATCTCAGAGAATCATAGCTTGCTAATCTGTAGCTGAAGCTTGCAAATCTCTATATATGTAGGTTCTTTCACCCTCCTCAAAGACAAACAACAGAGATCAAGATCTTCTTCGCCCAGCGTGTTCGGCTGGCTGGCTTTCACACTCACCCTACTTCAAGCACAGGTCCTTCGTTTTCCGCCCACCTTGTTCTTTCTTCGCCGATGTTTGTCCTGAGACCCTTTCACTTACTCTTCGCGCAACGTTTAGCGGAAACGACAGGTCTGACAACAAGACAAGACTTTGACAGCAACTCTCTAGTCATGAATAACCAGGCCAGTGAAAGGAGTGTCCACTAGCATTAAAGCTGCCTTTGATTTACGCTCATGTTCATTCCCCACCCGTCTCTTTCGTTTCCTGACATCAGCGTAGAAACTTCCCTTCAGCTAGATAAATTCTTAAATGGGCACTGTTGTCGGTTTGATGCTAGCACAAATGCTGATTCATACTTACATAGAGGTCTCTGTCGATATACTCCTACCTAACAGCAGCCACAGCTCCTATCTTTGAGACGTACCCTTGAGCTTCTCCGCAACGAGCAGTCGAGCTCCATTTAAACGCAACACTCCCAGGCTCTTGTACTCATTAGGACAAGAGAAGTGTCACGAGCAGAACAAGTGCGTAGATGAGGCAGATCAGGTCAGACTGCACGACTGCCGCGACATCATGATCCCTTTTGCGTAAGAGTCAATGACCCCTCCCTCCACTTTTTTTATTAACTTTCAGTGCTGAATGAAGCTTCATCGAGTAAGCCCCTTCATCTTTTGAGCAGCTGGCACAAGTGGGCTTGTTGACAGTGACTAGGATGTTGACAACAAGAATGCTGGGATAAGGTAAAACTTCCGCTCGCTTTGCCAAGTGATCATGAATGCATATTATCTACGCCAATATTCCCGAGATACGATTGAGATTGAGCAAGAATCGATTAGTTACACCTCCCAGTGCATGTATTGAGGTAAAATGCGATTGGAGTCGCGTTCGAATGTCATTCGAGTAGTGATTAAAGGGAGGTGATCTTG